TGCGTATAAGCACATGACTTCTTCAAAAAATTCTGAAGTTGTAGCTGAACTATTGAAGTGATGAAAAAGAAGGCCGAAAGCATGGCAGGCGTAGAGGGAGGTGTCAGTCATGAGAAGTAGGCGTGTCTACTAACCAGAGCAGGAACGCAGAGTCCGGAGGTCGGTGCTATCCCCTGAAGCCCGAGCAAACTCGAAATTAAGCAAAGTTAACATCAAATTCATCATGCAAAAGAATAATAGAAAATTTACAAGTCCCTTTTTATCATCTGTTCAACCATTCCCAGGGCAAGTAATACTTTGTCCTGCGGCGAATCAATTTTCTTACATTTTTCTACAAATTCTAGGAATTTGACTGCAATCTTCTGAAGGTTTTTATCCATCGCGAAGTCCACTTTAGCTGGAGTACTAGCATCTGAGTGGGAGACTGATGGCATACTATTTTCTTTCTGTAATGGTATTTCAGTCAACGGAGACATATTCATAGACTACGACTTCCGCGCTGAAATCCTTTTCATCCTGTCAGAGACAACACGAATTTTTGGTTTAAATTCGCATAACTATTCCAATTAACATTTAACAATTTCAATAAAAAGTGGCGACTAATTTTCTTATACTGTTATGTTTGTTTTTATTGCAAAATATTCCGTTACACTGCAGAAATCCACATTAACACAGGACATAACCAAGGTTAAAGTAATATAAGTTCCCCTTGACATAACTCAAACGAAGCATATCATATAATGGAATCTTTTCAGCCTGACGTCATAAACGGCAATCAATAAGAACAGGGGTGGCGGCTGGGGCCAGGCGTTTGTTGCTAATACGGGGTTTTATGTCAGCCAATAAGAGAGCAGTAGTACTTGCTATGATCCACTCCGTCACCACCGGAAAACATCCGGTGTTGTGCCGGTGGTAACGTCTACGTTCGACACCGCGGAGAATGGTCACACTCACATAAGCTCTTGGGAGAAAACTTGACGCGCTAGAAGAAAACTAACTACAGTTTTGAAATCAAGATGCCTCTAAAACAAAATTCAATTAAAATTCTGTTGAGTTCAATTTAAAATTGAACTCAGCAGAAACTGTATTGCAAAGATTTCCCCGAAGTTATTGTGGCGAAATGGCCTTGATGAAATAAAAATCCACTTCGCCGGGTTTATAATCTACGGTTGTGGTGTAGTGGTGTGGTGTATTTAATTATGGCAAAGCACACTAGGGCTATCTGCCTAAGAGGAGGGATGCCTTTCGTGGAGAACTTTCTAAGGGAAACTGGCTCGTATACACGTTACACATGGGGAAAACCTCGAAAACACCCATGCAGCCAGCCCGTTCGCGGGATTCGAACCTCGGACCGAACTACCAGTGTTCAGCGACTTTAACGCTCGGCCGCTGGTGGGCCCTCCATATAATATAATATAATCTACGGTGTTTTTCCCACATCTTAAAAATGTTTTCTGGAATAGCTGACTCAACTAACGTAAAAGCATCCCTGCATATTTTTCTGTAGTTACGCCTAAAGATTCTAAAGCACGTAAATGTGTTTCTAGTTTGTCATAGAGTTGCGAAACTTGAATATTTTTCCCTTTTAGTAGAACTAGAGAGAATAATTCACGAACATAGAAGTCTATTAAAATCTTCCTTCCCTATCTGGATTTTAAAGCTCTATAGCTTTCTCATAATTTTTTTTGACGGTGGGAAAACTCGATTAATTTTTGTGCTGATGACCAAAGTTTCATACTAAGTCTCAAATATCCAAATTTATCGTCATCTGATAAAGAATGATCATGATGAATTTGGTGCTACTTTGGTAGACGGTTGCACGGATTTTTGGCGATTTACGTTGGCGCAGTTGTCGGCGCGATTCTTACAAACGTCAGCTATCTTGAAAAACGCTCTTTTTACGTATAGTAAAGTATTCCAAACTTTAAAAAAAATAAATATCATTAAAAGTAATGGATTCATTTTTTGTTGAAAATGTCGTTTTTTAAGATGGCAGGCAAGTGTAAATAAATACATTTACTATGAGTATAAAATACTAAAGTAAGGTTATTATTACTTTCATATAGCAAAGCAGAGAATAAAAAGCACCGCTATAAAAACATTGGGCCAACGTTTAATTAGATTAAAATATTATTGAAATTGAATATCGAATTAAAAACCATCATACCAACATTTAAAAGAATTAGAATATTATTAAATTCAAATACTTTAAAATACGTTATATGGAATATTAATTAACATTTAAACGTACGGACAATAATTTTCTCAGCAATTTCTGAAAATAGTGTATTAATTTTTTTAACAAAAATTAAAGTATACAATTATAAAATAAAAGAAAAGTATGTACTTACATTTTTTTGAGTATTTAACCTGTTGTTTTATTGATAAGTACCACAAAAAAAATCAGAATCATAATTTAGATAACATCTTTGAATTAGTCACGAGGTATAGTTGACTAATGCCCGCTTTTGATATGGCGGTAGTGCTTTTTATTTCCGTCTGCTAGCAGTCAGCAGACAACGGCCTCGAATTAGGTTGTCTGTTTTTTTCAATTATATTTAGATATAAACTTAACCGCTTTTTCCTGAATATTTATCTATATTTTTAATAATCGCTTTAAATTATTTTGCACCATTGTTTAAGATGTTTAGGTTAAATAATTTTAGGAGAAAATCTAAAATAAAATAAAAAATTGAGATGGAAACTTTAATTTTGAATAACGTTAAAAAATTAATTGCACTACTGTTATAATATTTGAGAAGGTAAAAAAAATCTCGTTTAATTTTAATGCATTGCATCCTAAAGAGAAAAAGAAAATCACATTGCATTATACGTATTTATGCCATTGATTGCCTCTCTTTTCTTGAGATTATATTGCTGGAACAAAATAATGCACTCTCTTTTCTTGAGATTATATTACTGGGACAAAATAATGCAATCTTAATTACTGATTTCCACACTCATGTGTATGTCATGGCGGGGATCAATACATCTTATTAACTATAACAATATTTTATATTGAATATGTATCAAACGGTAACAAACTTCAACTCAGTATTTATTATTAGGATCAAAACAGTTAAATTCTCTCACTCTCTCTTTTTTTTTTTTTTTTTAAATACTATTTAAAATATGGAAGTTTTCACATCACATTTTTTCAATATAATAAATTTCTCTAACAGCATCGTAGATGAGACAGAATTATAATCCAGATTATTTTTATTTTAATTGATTTTATAGAAAATAATGATAAAGCATTGAGCTTTATAAAAGTAATCTGATTTTTAAAATAATGCTGTTTAACTGTTTATGTTCAATGTTGCATGAATCAAGATCTTGAGCTTTTTTTTTTAACAAAGTAAACATATCGCACAATCTTTCTCAATAATTTAATGCTAATAATAGCATTTTTCTTTTTTATCGCAGGTAGTAATTGTTTATGAAATCAAAACGCGCACGACTTGGCGAAAAAAGGTTAACGCCAATTGGCGCAGCTTTCTATTTCAACGGAGTACGCGGAAAAAGAATATAAAATTCAATTATTTGTAAAGGGTGATTCCAGTAAAATAGTATCACAGTATTTAATACATTTTGATGCTAATAATACATGATAAAAATGTCATATTCAGCGGCAATGTTCTGCCTCTGAATATGATATGGCTGAAACTTTCCAACCACTTCAACAGAGATAGCAAAATGACAAAAATACTGGAAAATAAAATAATAAATCACGCAATTTTAACTTACCTATGAAAGGTTACAAGTCCTCCTTTTACGAAACTTTCTTTACATCTATAGGCGCTGCAGCGAATAACCATTTTTTACTTAAATTTTATGTCACCAAGCAGAGCTGGCGTCTTTCGTCCCATATAAATGAATGTAAAGTATTTCCGGACTTTCGGAATTCGCGCAGCAGTCACGTGACACTAATGTTGGAACCGGTTGAAGGTTGCAATACGCTCTCTACCAGTATACTATCTCGTTGAGATGAACACCTTTTTCACAAATCCCTTTACTTGCCTAGTAAACGTAACCAAAATAAATTGCGTAATTACAGAATTTATTCACTCATGAAAGAAAGAACTAGAACTAGAAATTTTGCATCTTCAAAGTGACGTTGTTCTAAAACTCAATATTTTAGATGAGAACTTTTGGAGAACAAACAGAAACAAATTTTCATTCTTCAAAAGAGCATCCTAGCAATTATATATCTAGTTGGCCTTGATCCTAATAATTATAATCTCCCAGTTATGAAGCAATGTCCAATGGCATGAAATGCCAAATAGCACACTGGCTTTATGAATCACAGTTTTTACACAGAAGTTTTATACCAACGAATTGTAAACTAAAGAATTTGTAAATATAGTCTATTTTTAAGTAATATTCACGTAAGTATATTTCACGTAAGAATGCAATCGTTATATTTTATACCTTATAATTATATTCTCGGAATACTATTTTTTGTATATTATCTGTATGTTATGTGTAATAACTATGTCAACGTACAAATTCAACTTGAAAATTAGATTTGCCAGCCGTCTCATCGGTGTTCCAGTACGTGCTCTAAGTTTAGTTGGTTTAAAAAAGGTTGGGGATTCCTGTTTCAACTCTTTCAAATTTGTGTTGCAAGCTTCGTGCTCAAAAGATTGAGTGAAAGAAATGTGCAGCTACGTAGACATTCCTTTCGTTTTCAATGCAGATTTTAAAAATATAAAAATCATAAAATTTAAAAAGTTGCACAGGCACAATTTTTTTTTTTTTTTTTTTTTTAAGTTCACTGCTTTTTTAAATTTTTAAGTTTTTGTTTTTATCTTTTTGGAACTTTGATGATAAACTTTTCGAACTGCTTTACCATCATAAAAGATTTTCAGGTTATAATTTTTTATTCTTATTTCTTTTGTTTTCGTTGCTATTGTTTTCTCTTTGATGCAATTATAATTACACTGCAGATATAGCTATTAGATGTTCCTGTTTTGGCAATGATAGTTTCTGTAGTTTGGGTCGTGGTGTTGTTTAACGTTTCCTGTTTCGTCCCTTAATTTATTAATTTTATCTGCAACAGGTAAAGTTGATTGTATTAATTTCTACCAATATCAAAACATTAACGCAAAATGCGATCACGTTAATGCATTGTTTTTAAAATTATGTATATTTGGAGTAATAGTTATCATATTTTAAGGGCTCCACCTCCTTTGACGTTTCTGTTATTCGCAATTTAAAGAGGCTATTGAGAATAATTTGTATTTTTAAGGTTTGCGCATATTATACATAAGTCTTAAATGTGTGGTGAAGAATTCTTATTTTTAATTTTGCATAATTAAGGAAATATGTTCTCTAAATAATTCTTATGCTGTTGCTCTTATAAGACCAAAATTTTTTTGACGTAATTATTAATAACTATACAGAAATTAAAATTATATCCATTAATAATTAACAGAAAGCTGTGAAATATTTCTTAGAAATTTAAACTGTGATGTAGTTTTCTTTTAGTAATGAAAAAGTATTTTATTTATATATTTTTTTGGTAAAAATTCCGATTATTATAAAAGCAAGGTTCTTTGAAACTCTTCTTATTGTTAAGTATTACTGTCAGTAATAAAAATGCATGCGTCTGGAAGCTATAAATATAATAAAAAATATTTGCTGCAATTTTATCAGAAGTACTAACATATATTTGTCTGTGTTGTACATGATCACTATACAGCTATTGAAGTATCATGTTAGGTTTTCTGACATGTAAATGATACCAAATGTTGATTTCCTGTATTTTAGCTTTACATGTATGTTTAGCATAGCTGAGTGTATATTGTAGTTACTCAGTTTCAGTGAAAGTGCTTCTGTCTTTATTTTAAATCAGCCCGAAGTTATTTCTATTTTAGTCTGTTTTTAAGGTATTTAAATTTTTTCATTTAATTTGTGAAATGTATGATGTAATTTTTCTTGAAAATTATAATCTCTCACCTATTAAAATCAATTTCACAGAATATATTGTTTCAATTTTGTATTATTAGACATAGGTTTTTTTGGAATAAGCATAAAATTTTGGCATGTTTTAAGCTAGAGTGTGGGGATTCAAATTGATAAAATATTAAATACAATTATATTTTGGAGTAATTTGTGTATTGTTTTTATGAATGAAATTGTAATATGTGTCCTCATTTTTACAGAACAGCATTTCTACATAATTATTATTAATGGTGAAAAGAAATTAATGTAAGCAGCCAAATTTAATATTAGAAGTTTAAATAGTTATTAGTATTGTTCTTGTTGTCTTGTCCATCTTACATGAAACAGTGGTTGCCGCAGGCTACTCTGAAGAGAGGTTGGACTTCTATTTTCCACCCCTAGTTTTCGGGGGTAGCACACCCATGGAGGTAAGAATGAAAGGAGGATCAACCTTGCATTACTAGTGAAGCACTGCTCCCAAGCTTTGGTCTCCAGATAGGGTGGTTTTTGTTTATATCCAGAAGCTCTCTTGACAGCTTTGATGGTATTCCGACACATGACAGTTCCATACAAATCGAGAAATGGGACACTTCGACATAAAAGAAACCTTCATTGTGTGATAGATTGCAATCTGATGATAGTGAGGTTAATGTTTAAATGTGAAATGGATAGTTATTATTTATATTATCAGAGAATTATTAAACTGGGTAAATTCGCTAAAAGAGGTACTGAGTGCTGTACCAGATTTGAATTTGATAATGAATGTATCCTAAAACGTGTTTTAAGTCAAAAGTTTGAAACTTGAGGGCTAAATGTAAATATAAAATTATGCATGTTAAAATATTTGTAATTAGGCACATAGGTGAGGTTAGTTTTTATTATATAGAGTAAGGCATGCAGGGGCTATCTGCCTAAAGGGAGAAATGCCATCGTGGAGGAATATTGAGAAAAAAACTAACTTTTGAGTGGGTATTGAAAATAATGCATCTAATTTTCATTTAAATTATATTTATACATATTTCTTACGTTTTAATATATATATTATTGATTTAATTTTTAGCAGTATTTCGTGAAAAGTTTTTATTATATAGAGTAAGGCATGCAGGGGCTATCTGCCTAAAGGGAGAAATGCCATCGTGGAGGAATATTGAGAAAAAAACTAACTTTTGAGTGGGTATTGAAAATAATGCATCTAATTTTCATTCAAATTATATTTATTATGTTTTAATATATATATTATTGATTTAATTTTTAGCAGTGTTTCGTGAAAAACTTCTAAATATTTTAAAACTTTTTCCTTATAAAATGCGGATTTTTTGAGTTCTCAAAGTATTAATGAGTTGCTGGTAAATCTGCATTTGTGTCTTTTGAAAGTTTGGGCTATTAACTGAAGAATTTGTGCAATTATAAACTATATATGAAACATGTACTAATACTACTTAACATTTGTATGTTACTTCTCATTTCTTGGATAAAAATTAAATTTCTTTTTAAGCTACATTAGAGAATCTTTGTATCAATAAATATCTAAAGCAATAAATTTTAAAGAAAACTTAGTAAGAGAACTGTAGAATGTATGTTCAGTATTTGCTGTTGGTTATAAATATGAATCACATGATATATTAACTGGATAGCAAATTATCATCTGAATTATACTGATCCTGGTATGATGCCAGCACTCCCACAACAGATTATTTTCTGGGGTCATTCTAAACAAATAATGGTATGGAATATGAGAGGAAAACACCTGCAATGCCTCATCACCTTGCTGAATTGTGACAATCTGTCAACAATGGTGACAAGTCTTTGGCCTTGTTGAGAGGAATCAGGTATCAGTCATGTTGTTTTATATCTGATAATAGTAAAATAAACACTATCAACAAATCTGAAATAGAACTGCTTCAGTTGACAGATCCAGATAGGATTGCTTGAACTGCTTATGTAAGCTATTTACTATGATATTCATCAAGGGATATAGGTCCTTTTAGGGAGGATATCGGTAAATTCTGGTAACATTGTATAATAACCTAGTAATGAAAATAAATATGTATAATTTCTTTGCATTTATTTATTTATCTACTACTGCTGTTCATCTAGTTTAATCATGGTTCATGGGCAGGTCACCTGTTGTAGGGATATCAAAAACATGTAGTCTGTTACCTCACTAAGCTCAATTTAGCCATACCATAATAAAATTTCAAGGCAGACAGTTATTCTAGTGTTGGTAATTTCTCTGATACGTTAATCATTTTTTGTTCAATATTTGAGAAACCCCAAGTGTTGGCACAAGGAACCACCATGTAATAGCTATTTGTTTTGGTCAGAGTATATGGCATCTGTAGGATTTATAAGTGGTAGAATTACTTCAGAAAGAATGAAATACTGTTAATGTTTCATTTTCTTAAGTAATACCACTTATCCACTTGTGGAGGAATTATTCAGTTAATTATTTAGCCTATCATGTTTGTTTAAATTTCTAAAGTTGCTTTTTTTTTTTAAATTCCTTTTGCCTTTAATGCACTTAGCACAGTAATCCATTAAGAAAGAAAAGCATGTTTTGTTAGCCTTTCCTTCCTGGGCAGTAGGCTTTAATTCATAATTGTTATTGAATTATAAACCATGCATGTGCTGCTCCAGTTTTGGAAACAAAAGAAATCACTTGGATGTGTTAATGTCAAATAAAGAGAATAGCATAATAAATACTTGTTATGTTGTGTGGGTTCTGAACTTAGGAAACCAAGTTTATCCTTTATACGTATTTCCATATCATACTATCTTGGTTCATTTCTGAATCATAATGTTCAACAAGCTATGTTTCATCTTCATCTGTTGTCATTAACTGTAAGGAAGTTTTTATGAACATTTGTCATTGAGAGCAGTTCTTACAAATATTCGACTGAAATGTTTTTTCATTACTGGCATGAGCACTGAGTACCCATCTGGCACTGAATTTTGGTATCTCCAGCTAGTCAGGTAGGATCTTATTTGTTATTAATACTGGTGCTCATTTCAGTAGCAGCTTGAGAAAATGTTATTATATTATTTTCTCTGTCACATATTCCTTAATATTTCTTCAGAGGTGATGTCCACTTTGTGACCTGAGATCATATTTGAATGATTCTTTTCCCTGTTTAAATATAGTGGTATAAGAAGGTGACTTGCAATAAACTACAACCATGCATTCATAAATATTAGGTTAGTATAAACAAGGTTTGATATATTTTAGTATTATCAAAAGTTGCTGATAGCATTTAACAACTTCTTAATAATCAATATCTGTTGTATATGTTTTCTTTATATATATATATATTTCCAAAGAATGATAGCATTTTATATTGGTTATACCAAACCAAATACACCATTTTTTATTTGCGGTCTGTAAAAATTTTATTTTCATTTTTCAGAAAGAAATTGTGAAAATGTCTGGAGGAGCATCAGAAATTGAGATCCTTCAAATGAAGGCAAATCAAGTTACTGATGAAGTAAGAAATTCTTTCAGAATTCTATGATTCATTTTGATAATTAATTCACAATTTAATGTGTTTCACATAATATTGTTTTAAATTTGCCAAAATGGAACATTATTGTAAAATTAATGATATGAAAAGCAATAGAAGTGGGAATGTTTTATGTTTTTTCCCTCATCTATATATATATATATCAGAAAGTAGCAAGACAACATGAATTAGAGAAATCTTAGTGGTCAAGAATTTTGCGCATTGAGCTGTAGAATTTAAAAAATTTTATAAGAAAGAGTAATGTTTAAAAGCTTATGCTAAAAAATACATTTGACTAAAAAATGTTAAATCATGCAACAATTAGAAACAATAAAGCATACACACACATTTAATTTTTTAAATAAGCTATAAGAATGAAATAAATTTATTCCTATAGCTATTTGAAATAAGTTTAAATAAGCTATTTGTAAATAAATGAAGAGATCAGGAATTAAAAGTAGTGTCTAAATACTGTGAAACAGTGTTAGTTATTAACTCCCTTTCATGATGGCATGCTGCTGAACTGAAAATCTTTTGGAAACTTATGTGTCATATGTGCATATCAGTCCTAAATGTCACTAGCATTGGGTGTTGCACTGGTGCATTGCTGCTTACATTGATTTACCAGCTGAGTGTATCATACATGCATTTGTACATTTTTTTTAGAATTTTTTTTAAATCGCTAGATTGTGCTTTGCTTCCATTGTGGTTAGTTAATTTAAATCTATACATTGTTGACCTTGTGTCCATAAAATACTTTCTGATTTTGATAATTCATTTAGATGTACAAGCCAGAAATATAAAGTAAACAAAACAGCTGATGCATAGCTGTGGTTTCATGTGATATAAACACTGGACAGTTTTTGCACCAGTTTAGAGAATTAAACTAAGATTGTGATGTCTGAGAGAACAAAATTTTTATGGGAAGAAGAGTGTACTCAAATGATAAACATGCCCATAGGAGACTATTATGACAACAAAGACTCTAGATTTAAGTGAGAGTAGTGATTTAAATACCGAAATTTTGTCTGAGACTGAAATGGAAACTTGTTTTGCTTCCAACTTACAATCCAACACAGCAATGGTTAGTTAATCATGGACTATGAATCTGTTAAGGAATTGAAGCTATATGAATTTAAGGGAATTAATTGCAGGAGAAAATTTAATTCAAAGTTAAAAGAACGAGATTGATTTTTTTCAATATATTTTGTATGATGATCCTAATGAACATAATAACTGAAGAAACTAATAATTTCTATGAACAAAAGATGAGAGAAAATCCATATTCTCTGAAATCAACAAAGTTTAGTACTGTTGATGTGCCTAATATGAAGTATTCTAATGGGAATAATTAAAAAGCTCAATCTCAAAATATTTTTCACAACTAATGAAATCTCAACACTGTCTCCTTTCGGAATAATTTGTGGTATAACATTTAATTGTACATTTTTATTATTTTTTTAATATACATAAGTTTTGTACAATATTTAATCGAGATGGGTCAAATATTTTATTTTGGATTTAGATTTTAATTTAAAAACTTTTTTAAAATATCTTGATATTTTGTGTTTATGATTATATTGTTGTTAGTTATGATTACAGAAGAAATCACAGCAGTTGATAAAGAACATTTTTATTGAATTTTTTAAGTTAGGCTTAAGGACATGTAACATCCCTATTTTATGAGATTGCACTATTGCAACTGCATACCTTCTCTAAGGTGAGTTGCATTAATATGCATGCCATTGCATTAGAGGGTTAACTACTGACACATATATGATACATCTGTGGTGAAGGGGTTAAATGGAATAATTTTAGATTGAAAATAGAAATTTAAAGTCAAAATTTTCATGGAGAAAGATAAAATAAGTTGTTTTGGCTATAAATACTTCATTTAAATAAATATAACAACCTTTTTTTAATAAACTGTTTTATGTCTGTATAATTGAGGTATAGTGATTTATTTTGTAATTCAATATTCTGCAGTTTAAAAAGTAGTTTTAAAAAAGGTACATCTATGAGAAATTATTCAAACATATTGAAAATTTTTGCAGTATACATGAATAGCAAAAGAAATCTGTATACAACTCAAGGAGTGGTTTGTTATCTATTTAAAATGAATACAAAAAAGTCAGTGCTGTAGCATCATTTTTGCCTCAGGTGCAAACAATCACCTAGTATGGTATTGAAGCATTACTATTCATGGATGATAACCTTAAGTATATAGATCAGTTGGTTGCCATTGTAGTAACATTCTGTGTGCATGGACTCTCTCAAATACTTGAATAAAAATGAAAAAGCTCATGATGAAGCTTATGAAATTATTGTATGCCTAATATTTTTAAATAATTTGTTAAAGGATAAACTACCACAATCCTGCAATATACTGTTTAGCAACATTGTAAAGCATAATTGATTTAAGTGCCACAGACTTAATTTAATTCTAGAATGAGCATATGCAAGTTTCATTGAGGAACACACAAAGGAAAAAGTAGTCCATGAAATAAAAATATAAATGCTTGTTACAAAATTTGGGTAACTTCTGTTAAAAGCATGCCACGTTTTTTTCAGTGCCATATAAGCACATTTTGGCTTCTTTCTTTCCTCACACCTTTGGCTCTACACTAGATGCTTTTTCCAACTAAGAATTTGTGTTTTACTTTATTATTGAGTTTATTTTTTCTTTTCTACTAACTTTTGTTGATGTTTTTTACATCTGTTAATTTCATCTTTAAGTTGCTCTGTTAAATCACTTGTCATAATTTTTCACATTGCATTCCATTGTTTATCATTTGTTAAATAAAGTAGCTTATTGTGTTTATTAACGTACTTTTTTTCATACCATGATCCCTTAATTTTGAAAATACTCCACTGCATGCTGTTCCATTTAGCGTATGTCTTAAATTTTAATCCCCCCCCCTTTTTTTTTTTTTTTTTTTTTTTTTTCAAATATTATGGAAAAACAGATGAACAGCATTTAATGTTATGTCCTTCACAAAAACCAGCTTACAGAAAATTTTGGATTTATATAAAACCAAAGCGAAAAACATGAATGTATCTACATCATGGTTATCTGTTTTGTGACAATTTTTGTTTGTTCTGAATCATAGCCTTATATGGGCTTTATGATGGCTTTTAAGTCTCTCATTTGCTTAGATTTTTTATGGGGGAAGAAAATTCTAAAATTTAAAAATACCCCGACTATTTTGAGTTTTCTAGTTAGTTGAATTTATGGTAATCTGATATTGTACCTGGTTTGCAGTGTTGTATACTTTATATACCTGTATACTTTAATTTAGCAATATATAAGTGTACAAATGTAATATATCCTAAGCTTTTAATCATTTCACTACTTACTGAAGATTCAATCATAAGAATAGTTTCAATAAGACAATTCAAGAAACCTTTTGGTTATCCATGTTCCTCTTTCCCACAAAAAGTATTTAACTCATTGGTGACTTTCATGAATTGATAAAAACCTTTTGGTTTTAAAATGCTATTCTTTTATTAAATAACAATAAAAAGAATTTTATATGAAACAAAAAATTTTATGATTAGAAGAAAAAATAATCTATACATAACTAATGCATACATTTTTTACAGCTGGTTGATGCTGTTTAGCAAAATGATATTAAGCATAAATTGCATAAATCCATGTATAATCAGTCATGTGTGATAAGGATTTGTGAGTTAGCCTGTTATTATATATATACTAAAAAGCATACTAGACGCATTGTAATATACATGATGTTGAAACTGGGGCTGTAGATAATTAAAAAGTACCATACTTTCTTTAACTGTTTCTTTACGGAATGTAACAGGCCCAATTAAGAATAAATTGCATAAATCCACATATAATTAATCTCATGGAATATGCACATGTGGAATAAACTGTTATCCTGTATTTACTAAGAAACAGGCCAGACATGTAATTTTGAAAGTGAGGGTGTCGTTAATTAGAAAATACCGTCATGAATTTTTCTCTTGAATGTAACAGGGCCACCCCCAAGTATAAGACAACACAGGCAGTCATTGGGGCATTGATATTTGGAGGCCAGATAGGTTGAGCTCACAGGAGACACCTAAATAAGGGTTTATTTTTGTTTGATTTATTAATATGTTTAATTTATGTGGTGCTACAACTTTACTGATTGCATATGGAGGAATCGCCAATCTTTTTGTCAATAATTGCACAATATAAATTCAAAAGTTATTGAGGTGCATGAAAGGAATTTGAGAATATTAAAAGTTTTATTTCAAGAAATATAACTTGGCATAATTACATTATAGATACAAAATAAATGATGACAGATCCAAAAATCTAAATAGTGCGACATCTCCATTTGTTATGAGTGGGAGTATAATTCGAATTACTTTTTTTAAACAGTTATATAAATTGGAATCTGTACTCTTTGCATAATATTTTTATTTTAAATACATCATATATGAAAACAAACATTTGCAATGATACCTAGTAGTAAAATATGAACAAATTCTTAGTGCACATTTTCTTAAAGTAGGACATTTATCTTTACGAACTCAGTCCTAAAACATGTTAATGTTACCATTATAATGGGCCCTTCAGCCACTAAACGGTAAACTCGCTAAACCAGCCACTAAACCCCAGACTGATAGTTCAGTGCTTAACATGTATATGAGCCAGTTTCTCCTAGAAAGTTTTCTTCTTAGTCAGATAGCCCTCGTGTCTTTTGTCATAACCAAACCAAACCAGAGTTATCATTATGACATGCTTACAAAATAATATAGTTTTGCAGATCTGTTATTTTGCTATATCAATATATAACTTTATTTTGCTGTGTGTTATTTAGAATTTTGAATAAGTCATTTCAGTATTAGACCACCAGAAGTGAAAGGGTTAAAACAGTATTTTAATATTCTTACACATTCTGTATGTGTATTGGGTTAAAATTAGTCGAATTTCAAACAGAAGATAATTTAGAGTAAACATGTATTCATTTGGCCCCCTTTTTTTTTTCTTTTTCCAAGCATATGGCCCAAGTAAAATTTTACCGTAATCTTAACAGGTATTTTAAATACAGGAAGGTTTCATATTGATGTGATAGTTTTATCTTGATGTGAGAACTATAAAAAACCTCATTTTCTCCATAATTAAAAGTAATTGTATGTGAATTATCTATAATTCTCCTGTTAACTTGTTAGATTGTTTGAGGAAAAGTTGTGCTTTGGAAGAGTGACCAAGTAAATGTAATATCAAAAATATGTCAAGATTGCACAAATTACATTTTCTCTATTGCTATTTAATTTTCCATTTAAAATGGCCATCAAATTAAGCTTTAAATTTTCCTTTCCTGTAATGGTTTCCAAATGTCTTGTGCTAGAATATATATATATTTGTACTTTTCTGCTAACATACACAAGTTAACAGTCACCAGAGTGCCAAAAGTGGTAACCTGTTTATATCATTTCATAAATAGCTGTGCACTGTTTTATGTGTGCAGCAGCAGGGTTATCCATAATGCCGAATTGGTATGCGGAAAGAACTGTCGTTCTTGCCATTTTCACAGCAATCTGTTTTTCTCTTTTTAGAAAACCAGAGCATTGCAAATAGTAAATAATATATGTATCATATTATGCAATGCATTCCTCTTATTACAAATTAACTTTTTTCATGACAAGTTACAAATTATTTTTTTTTTTCATGAAGCTTAATAAATTGGTAGGATTGCTATTGTGTAGTTAAATTTCACACCAATATTTATGGTTCATGCTAAGAGGCACCCCCTCCATTAATGCATTTATTTTCACATTCTTCAGAAAGAAGTTTGTTTACTAATCTGGACTCTATGTAAAAATTGTCATTTTTATGCAATGCAATTTTTTAATATATTATTTTTTATGCAATGCAATTTTTTTACTATATTATTAAATGTAATATTTTTTCAGTCATTGGAAAGTACAAGACGTATGCTTCAGTTGGTTGAAGAGGTAAGGTCTTAATTTTTTCTTATAAAACTTGGGACTTGAGTTTTACGTTACTTAAAAAAAATAACTTTTTAGTTTTAGTTAAGCATTGCATTACATCATATGCCAATAAGTATTTGGACACCCATGCAAATGGCAATATCTGCAGTCCTGATATATGTCATGCCCCTCCCCCATTAAATATTGTGTAGGAAACAACATTGACTTTAGTCACATGCAAGATGTCATGATGGGCACATGCAAGATGTCATTATTTGATTTCAATTGAGTATGATTGTTGGATGTCACAGACATGGCTGATCCTTAAGGGCATATCTAATGAGCTGAATTACCCAAAACTGAGAATGGTCTACATGCTTCAGAAGTGGAGTAGAGCAGTGATTGTCAGATTGCGCTCTGAGTCGACAGACCGATGAAACTGAGAGATAGAGACCGACATATGCTTTCCAAAAAATTCAGAACTGCACCCAACCGATGGCCCACATGCTCAGCAAGTTTCAACAGGCATGTGGGAGTGTTTTGATGAATACCATCTGTAAAGAAACACATCTGCTTGGCTTTCATGGTAGTGCTGCCTTTGTTCACAAAGTCCAACCACACAACTCAGTTAATATGGTGTAAAACATGTTGACAGTAGACCTTGGTTCAGTGGAAACAGGTTCTCTGGAGCAAAGAATCAAGGTTATCTCTCTACCAGGGTTCGTAGCCGTCCTTACAAGTGCTTATAAGTCCTTATATTTGAAAATAAAATATAAAGGCCCTTATATGTGCTTGCTTTTTCTTTAAAGCCCTTATTTTTTTTGTTTTTAGTGCTTATTTTTTGCTTTTAGTTCTTTTTTTTAATCCTTTGTTTTTAACGAACGCTCATTTTTTCCCCGTACCAAAGCTGAAACTAAATAAACAACTTTTCGTATATGCAACGTCAGATGGTGAATCATACTCCTGGAAATTGCTTTCCCCCCTTCCTCTGCATTAACGTAACCTATGGTACGTGCGAGAGTACAGACAGGTGCACGTCCTTCTATTGGCCAAGAATTGCGAAAACGTAGAAAATTCCGGTACATTCGGGTATTCTTTTCATCCCACCCAAATACTACACACGTTTGAATTTCTATCAAGATTTTAATAATTTGCATTCTCGTTCCGCATGGTCAGTTCATATTCGTGTTTATTATGATCGTTATGCTTATATTATGAGCATATGTATGAATATTTAATAATTAGTTGCAGTAGCTGCTGAAGTGTAGATAAACTTCCAAAAATGGGTATATTTTTACACAGATTAGCTTTCTAAGGAATAATATTCGGAATGGCTTAAATAAAAGGAAAGTAATCGAACAATCAGAATAATTTTTTTCCCCCAATACATTATACAGTACAGAGGTTGGGAGGTTCTCCTCTTTCTCCGCAAAATCTCTTATATTGAAGCAGCGGACTTTTTTTTTTTTTGTCACTGTCCAATCGGGATTGAATAAGACTAAAAATTTTGCGGTCTACCCAACCCAAGCGAAGAATGATTCTATTCCAGAAATTTAACGCAGTCTATTCAAAATTAGAATCAAAAACACCCCAAATTAGTAAGTCTCTTTCTTTTCTTTTATTTAGTTCTTTATTCTCCGAATACCGGCAGCTGTTGATTCCGATTGCGTAATAATCACATGTGGCAAGAGTTACTGCCGCATGTATTGTGCAATAACGTTTGCCGTATTTTGCAGAGATAATTAATTTTGATGTTCAGTCTGAGATTTGTTTATAAACAAAAAGAATTTTACTGTGCTTTCTAAGCAGAATACTTCTCAGTTCCGTTGGTCTATGTTTATATGATGCACATATCGAAATGTCAAAATCATGTATTTAGCCGAGAAATCTAAAGAACGGTCTACAATCCCCCCTGCTCTTGTTTTCCAGTTACGCTCAGTTACTATCCGGAATATTTGGGCAATTTCCTAGTATGCGGGTTAGTTTTAAGCTTTTACTGTTTAAGGATGACTGCATTGAAGCAATTTCCCTTCCCTGATTCAGAAATGTTCCTCTTTTTTTACTTAAATTACTTCGCTTGGAATATAGGTTAAGGAAAAACTGTAATGCAATGAAAATTTAGAAAATGTTCAGAATTTTGATTTAAATTATTTAAATATTAATATGAGTGGAAAAATAAATTGTATTATTATTAGGTGCCAAAGCGAATACAATTAATATGGCTTATTATTATTATTTTCTATATTTTGAACTGAAATTTCATCATTAAATCTCTTGTAATATAGTTTAGTTCTGCATATTTTTTTTTTTTTTTTTTTTTTTTTTTTTTTTTTTTTCCATTGTAAACTAATTCTGTAAATTTAAAATTTAAAAAAAAAAGTTGTTTTCCATGGTTGAGGTAATGCTCATTGCATTGCTCATATTTTAAATTGCAAGTCTAATTTTTCTTTTAAGGTTATGCAGTTGTGTATAATGTAATTAGACAGGTGCTTATTTTTTTTTTTTTTTTTTCTTAAAATGTGCTTGTAAAGTGCTTATTTTTTTAACTAAAATGTGGCTATGAACCCTGTCTACCATTTGGGTCTCTGACAGAATCTGGATCTGTCTGAAAATGCCTCCTCTTGGAATGCATTGTACCTGCAGTAAAGTTTGGTGGAGGTGTAATAATGGTATGGAGCTGTTTCTCCTGGTACAGAATGGAACCCTTGGTCTAAATTCCTGGTAAGCTTAGTGCCAACACCCTCGTACACTTTTTTGGATGTTAGTGTGCTTCCTACATTGTGGGCAGTTTTATGAGTTGGACCCATGTTACTTTCAGGGCAACAATGCCAGCTGTCATGTGAGGGGTCTACCATGGATTGGCATGGTGACAATGGGGTTAACTGAATAAACTGGCCAGACCTAAACCTTATCTAGAACCTCTGGGATGAGTTGGATCACTGAATTAAGGGCTGTAGCAATCCTTCAATATTGGTGAAGGAATTTACATGTTTTCTCCAACCCGAGTGGAAGAAAATACCAATAGCCATCATGCAAGGACGTGTGGAAAGCATGACCCTCAGGATTGTGAGACTGTAATCACCACTCGTGGAGGCTCTACCAGCTATTGAATATGAATATTTATTTTTATAATTATCTCGTCTATCACAGGTGTCTAAATACTTATTTGTAGATAGTGTAGATAGTATATAGCATTAGGATTATCATCAATTTTACATACCAGTGGTTGGTTTTTGAAATGTTTTATTAATAGATATGGAGACACTATTATATACTTTTAGTGTTTCTATAGATCTCTCTTTCTGTTTAAAAAAGTTTTATTACATATTTTTCAGTTAGCAAAATAAGTATTTCTTATCTGATGCATGGTAGCAAATTAGTACTAATATTATTTAAAATTGCCTAATATTAATTTCTTTAATAGCAAATAAAAAAAGTGAGTTAAGTGACACTAACCAACATTGAAAATGCAGCACTAAGAAGGAGTGGCCAGAAACAGATGAAACTCGACAAACAGAGAGAGACAGCAACAAACAATAAGTGACCTTTATTTTGAAATTATACGCATAATAAAGAGCGAGAACAGCGTTTGCTCAGTAGGTTGTAGAACCACCTTGGACAGTGATACAGAAAGCAACACATCTAGGTACAGAGTCGATGAAACTGTGGATGGTGTCGGGAAGAATGGCTCTTCATTCCCTGTCAACCATTTGCCACAGTTTGTCTTCTTGACATGGCAATGACAAAGTCTGCAAATAGCCTCCGTTCACATCCCAAATGTGTTGGAGCTCAGGAAAGAACGGTGGCCAGGGAAGCATATGTACACCTTTGCACAGCATGTTGGCTGATGTGAGCAGTGTGTGGCCGAGCATTATCCTGCTGATAAATGGCACTGGGCACTCCTTGAAGGTAGGGGAGTGTCACTGGCCACAGCAAATCATCCACATATTGTTGGGCCATCATAGTGTCCTGAATACGAACTAGAGGTGACCTGGAATCATACACATTTGTGCCAAAACCATGATGCCGCTTTGTCACGAGGTGGAGCATTCAACACTTGCTGCCAGATTGGACCTGTCTCCACATCGACACTTCACTCATACGTGGCGACTATCATTGGAGAGACAAGTGTGACTCATCTGATAACACGACCCTGTGCCATTCCATCATCCAAGCACCACTGCAGATGTTGGTATCTATGATGTTGGTCAGTGACAGTCTTCTTAACAAATGCCATGAGTGTAGGCCACTAGCCACCAATCGATATAGGGACATCCAGAATGTCCTGAACATGCTGACATCTTTTTGGCTGTACCGGCACCCCTCGAACTTGCCACATTTTCTTGTTGTAACCATTGTCAGCACAGTTAATGCAGTGTGGATGTTTCCAGGAGTGTGTCGGCTGAGGTTTGTTGTATGTACCAACCTGCCCTTCTCAGTCCGATCACTATGCCCCTCATAAAATCATCTGTCTGCTGTAACTGCCTCTGTTGATGATGGCCTGGTATTCTCTGCTGTTACACGAATCCCCTTGGAGACAAAAAGAAATTTTATAGGATGATTTCCCTAGCAGAAATAATGGCATAAAAATTGAACATTCTGCAGGTTCCTTCCATTATATCTTCTTCAGTATGCACTGATAAGGTGTGTATTTCACATTATTTGCATAACTTAGTGACGTATGCCTACACTTAATTTGCATAATTTTCAGGCCATTCCTTCTCGGTGTTACATTTTCAATGTCGGGTAGTGTAGATTTTAATATGAGGGTTGGAACTTTAATAGTGGGCAACTATTTATTTACAAGGAATACAAAAGTGATTCATGTCACCATGTTTTACAGTCCTTCAGTATAATTGCCAGCATTGTGTACAACCCGTTTCCAACGATGTGGAAGTCGCAGAATACCTGTAACAGCGCCTGTTTTGTTGATAGTTTGAATGGACCGGTCTACTGCCGCAAAAATCTCGGGAACAGTTTGGAAGCGAGTGCCACGAAGTGGTTCCTTCATCTTAGGAATTAAGTCACAGTTACAAGTGCTTAGATCTGGGGAGTATGGTGGATGGTAAAGCACTTCCCAGCCCCATCGCTTGAACAAATCAGTCACAGCTTGCGCTGCATGCGGCCGAGCATTGTCATGCAAAATGAGAGGAGTGTTCTGCAGAAAGTGTCGCCGTTTTTTTTCTCAAAGCTGGTCAGAGATTGTGCTCCAAAAATGAGCAGTAATACTGCGCAGTGACGGTCGTGCTGTATGACCTCTGGCACATTCAATTTTTTATCCAACATCGTTGTTCTTGTTTTGAAAACATCCTGACAACACTTACTTTAGACCGCGAGCTAATACAAGGATCTGTTCTTCGCGTCACTCCGCATGCGCGTGACGTAGGCAGGACGAGTCTTTTTGCTGAGAGGTAAGGTAGGTATGTAGTTTACATGTGGTATACGCGATATTCTTTTGTTTTGTTGCGTATCGTTTTTTCAGCTGTGTTGCCACTATTAAAGTTCCAACCCTCGTATATTATTCTTCATCTGCACTATCAGATTAAGGAAGTAATCACTCATAATTGCATTCTTACATTAGGAAAAGAATTTGAAATTCATATTAGGAGTGGAAATAAAATATCCTTGATTAAAGAAATACAGTTGTGCAGAAAGCAAAATATTATTTCTCATTAGCTATTTTAGTTAACATTAATATATGAGTAACATCATATTGAACGAACTGTATGAATATGCCTTGCTATTGAAATCTGAAGCCACTACTTTCTGATTTGACATGCATTTCTGTTCTTCATGGGACATTGCTATAATAAAGGTTTTAAAAAAATGCCTATTTGGATCCATTTTGTTCTGCTTTATTTTTTAGTTTCAGTTTTCATTAACATATAATTGATGATTAAGTAATTTTTCACAGTTTCAGTTTTAATTGTTTTACTGTGATTTTGACTTCCTTGTATGAAGTAAAGGAAGTATTGTAATCATGAAAGATTCCAGGCATAATACTTTAGTGAAAATATCCATTTTTATTGCTATTGAATGCAATTTAATGATATTTTTGTTTGTCATCTGTATGTAAGGGCTGAAAAAAGTGTTCTTTTTTCCCAAACAAATCATAAAATTGATTTAAAATGGATTCAGAAGAGATTTGTTTTGTGGCATCTGTATGTATTTACATATGTATCTTGCATAACTCAGAAACAAGTACTCTCAGAACATTGAAATTTTTATATAAGGACTGCTATAACATGTAGTTGTGCACCTCCCGTTTTGGTTGCAATCGACCGCACCAAAGGTTTGTGCATTTTTTGCATTAAAAATGATTGAATTATGTTGTCTGCATGTTCCGGTTAAGGTTTTTATGCCTTTAGTTAATCTGCATGCAATAGTTGTAGAATTATCAACAATTTAAAAGTTGTTTAAGTGTGGCTAAACCTGCTATGGTAAACTATGTTTTTACCATAGCAGCCATATTTGTTTACATTTGAAAATTTGGCAGAATAGTGTATCAAGTATAGAACTATATTTTGCATTTGGAAATTTGGCAGAATAGTGTATTAAGTATAGAAGCCAGAAACAATCTGCCATTTTTCAGGTTTTTTTTGCCGAGTGGGTCCAAAATGAAACTTGGTTTTGTCCACTCCCTTCTTGCCTGCTGGCTGAATTGTTTGTTTTTGCATCGAAACTGTAATATTAATCTTAAAAATTGTTGTTCTATATCTTAAAATTTTTAATGAAGATATTTTGAGTTTTTATGTATTTTTGCCTTGCCGCAAAGTGAGAACTGAATTAATTGAATGAAAAATATATCTGTAATAAAATTTGAGGGAAAAAATTTAATGAAATGCAGGAAAAAATGTGTATAATTTAATATTCTATACAAGTAAATCATGTGGTGTACACATCAGATTTTTATCGGATGATTTTAATTGAGTCAATTCATAATTATAAAATTTTCATTACCTGAGTTTTTAGCTTCCTGGTTTTCAGGATAAGTATCTGCCATTTTTGAGTAGAAATTATGCTAAACAAAGAAATTTTAATTCTTCATTCATTTCTAATTTAAAGTATACATTCTGTTTTAATCAATTTTAACCATTTTTTTTAACTTAACTGTAAATTTCAGAATCTCAGATGAAAGTCAGTTAAACTTTCCTGAATTATTTTAAGGTTTCATTGCCTTATACATACTTTAACACTAATAAATAAAAAAAATTGTGCTAGACTTGTATATTCTAACAAAAAGTTTAGTAGAAAGTGACAGAAACTATTTTTCACTTATTTAATTATTCCTTGCTGGTTCTAGAATTGTTTAGAGGTGTTTCAATGGTTATGTATATATATATACTGAAAGAATTATTTTAATTGAAGAAATATTTAATGATTAAATGAAAAAAATTGCACTTGAGCATTTTTAGCAAGCCGATAAGTACATTTTTATACTTTTGTTTGGTGGGTCATGAATGAGAATTTTTTTACTTCCCCCCGCTTCCTTGAAAGAGACTTTTGGTTCCTTCAGCTTCACAACTCTGTTCTTCATGTTAGCTATTATCAAATATACAACCATTAGTTTTTAATATACAACCAAATTTAGTGTCATATTTAACCAATTTAATATTTATACATTACAAAACATTGGAATAATAATACTTTAGGATAGTGGTTTTTTTTTTTTTTTTTTTTTTTTTTTTTTTTTTTTTTTTAAGCTTGTTTACTTTTTAGAAATTACTGTTTTAAATTGTTAAAATTCATTTTATTATATATTCTTCAAATTCTGTTGATTTAATGTTAGCATTTTATTTATTTTAAATGAAAAACCTACTTTATCATCTTGGAGGAAAATATTTTGTCTGTGTAAAATGCCTTATTTCCTGCCTTATTGTCTGTGTAAAAGGCCTTAGATTTCATTTGTATGTCATTCATTTGTCCATATATTTTAAATTAAAAATATTTTATTATTTTACAGTAAGAATTTGTGTATTTTAAAGAATTATCTAAATGATACGTAATTCATCCCCCTCCCCACTTAGAAACAAAGCTACTTACTCCATCTTAAAAATTTTTGTTGTAAATTATTTATTTAATTTTTCTCAAAACAGTAAGCATTTTGTATAGGTCATTTGTTATCCTTAAACCATTTTTTAAAGAAAGGGATACTGATACTCAAAATTTTTCTAATTATTGTTGAGAAGATGAGTGTGATAAGTAGTCTTCACAAATACATTATATTTTGAAGTTAATTTGTTATCCACATATAATTTTCTGCATGTTTAATAATTTTGAAATTACTGTTATTGCTGCCTTTAGAGTAAGGACACTGGTATTCAAACTCTGGTTGCTCTTGATGAGCAAGGAGGTAAGCTTATTACACTGAAGTGGTAAAATATATAAGAATATTATTTTTGAATATTTTGTGAATGATTTATTTATTAAAGCAGATTTATCTAAAATTATTCAAGCAAAGAAAACTAAAATGTATTTTTAAATATTATTTTTATATTAATTTTTTTTTTTTTTTTTTTAAGTCTTCTGTCTCAGAAAAAAGTTCATTCTTTATCTAGTATCCTAAAATTATGGTCCTTTCTTACTCTCCCCTCTCTAAAAAAATTCAAACACTAGTAAAATAGATGAGATGATGTGAAGTAGGTGTTAGATGTATATCCTGTTCGGTAGGGGTTTGAACATAGGGCAAGTATGTATTCACAAGAATTGACTTCCAATCATTGAAGAGTTGAATTAATTCATTCAACAAATTAAAGAGAAAATGCAGAGGAAGATAATTCTATCTAGTCTGTCTGTAGTGTGTCGAGAATTGTTTGCAGTGCAGTTATGTTCATAGTTACGTTCATTATTACTTATAACATGCCTTTTTTATCTACATATTGTAGGTTAGTCTTCACAAGCTATTAATTAACCTATTAGTATTGACTATGTTAGCTGGAAATAAGTTATTGTATTCACGAATTTAAATCATGAAATATATACTAAGTAATTAAGACACAATAACACGCCGAATAAATACTAATTCACAAGTCAAACAAAAAAATCAGCGTTATATTTACAAAACTTTCACAGGACTAGTTTCGATGGTTTTACCGAACCACCATCCTCAGCTGCAAAACCACAAATGAACAAGATAAGAAATAATGATTAGATGAGATAAGAAAGGCCTGGACAAGAATAAGCAAGTGGCGCCATCTGTTGGTGAAACCAGAACTAAAACATAATTTCTTTAAAGGCCGAAGGCAAATTTGGATTGGAATTAGGATCGTTAACTAGAACAGAAAGTTTTTTATGAATATGAAATGCCTCTAGAAAATCCATTTCTCCAATGGAAGATGTTTTTTGAATAATTTTGGCAGCAGAAAAATTGAAAGAGTGATTTTCGGACCAATAATGTTGAGCAACAGAAGACTTCTGTGTTTCCTTTTTTTCTAACATATGCCTCATGTTCCTTGATGCGAAATTTTAAGGCTCTCTTAGTTTGGCCAATGTAAATTAAACCACACTGGCAAGGAATCCTATAAATACCACAGGAATTCATATCCGGAATGGGGTCTTTGAGTATGGAACTCGGAATTTTATTGATGGGAGAATAAACAACCCGAAAGTTAAATTTCTGCAAAATATGTGCAACTTTATAGCTAATTGATGGAAAGAAGGGAATGACAACAGAATTTTTATAATCTCCTAAAACAAGAGTGTGCCTTTTAGTGTGTTGAGATGAGAATTTTTTAACTGCTTGATTAATAATGTTGGGTGAAAAGCCCCTGTCAATAGCTATTGCTTTTAAATAATTTAGTTCTTCTTCAAGGGCTAGTTTGGAGGAGCAAACTTGAAGAGCACGGAAAACATATGAATAAAATGAAGCTAACTTTTGTTTAGTCCGATGACATGATTTAAAGTGTGGTGGAAGGCAAACCGATGAAAGTTGACGGTAAACCGTAGTACTGAAGTTGGATGTGTTACGTGTGACCAGAATGTCGAGAAACGGAAGAGAATTGCAAGTCTCAAGTTCAAAAGTGAACTGAATAGCAGGATCAATAGAATTCATTGTTGAAAGAACTTTATTTAAATCATCTTTATTACCTTCAAACAGGGTAAAAGTATCGTCTACATAGCAGAACCATGCCGGGAAGTTTAAAGTTTCAAACAATTTTGATTCATAATAATGCATGTAGATATCAGCCAGGATGGGACTGAGGGGGCTTCCCATGGTTAATCCCTCAGCTTGCTTGTAATATTTATTTTGGAAAACAAAATGTGTTTGTTTCAAACAGAGTTGAGTGAGAGAAATTAGCTCATCAATTTCGATGCAAGTGAAATGAAATTCGCGAAGTCTGGTTTCTAGACATCTTAATGCACCCTCCACTGGGACATTGGTGAATAATGATTTTACATCAAAAGAAACCATGAGTAAATTACTAGGAGAAATGTTTTTAACTTTTTTTACAAACTCTTGAATTTTTTATGGTGTAAGTGTTATTGTCTAATAGAGTGGAAAATCTAGAAACTAAATATTTAGCTAATGAATACGAGGCAGTACCTAAATTTGATACGATAGGGCGGAAAGGAATACCACTTTTATGAATTTTGGGAAGAGCATATAATCTGGCACAATTCGCAACAGATGGGATAAGCAAATGTTTTAAGTTGCTTGAAATGATTTGCAAAGATTTGTTCGTAGTTTTTATTTTTGGCAAGTTCAAAGGTGAAGGATATTTAAGGATCGGATTATATGGTCCTTCGTTTAAGAGTTCAGTGACACCATCGATGTAAGTGTTCTTATCCATGACGACTATCTGGCCACCTTTGTCGGCCTTTGAAATGATAATATCCGGGTTAGAATGAATTTCGCGCATTGTAGCTCTTTCTCTCACAGTTAGATTTGGTTTCAAAGGTTTATTATTGAATTTCACATTATGATCGATAAGATGCCTAATCATTTCTTTCTGTGAATCTGAAACTTTACTTGAAAGCTTTTTCGATAGGAGCCAAAATCTTCTTGTTTATGTACACTGCCGGGGAAACAGTTGTATATCTCCCAATCTACTGGGCCAATTGATGAAATTCAAACTGCATTTTTCATGTCTTGAAATGTATGACTTAGGATATATGTTAGATTTACATATTGCATTGTTCTAATATAGGTATTTTCACGCAAAATCGGATTTTTTCTGAATTGTCATGCCAATGTTTTTTCCATATTTCGATTCTGTGGTTCAAATTATGCCTAAATATTAAATTTTGTAAAATTTTGTGTGAAATTTATAGAGAAATTCAAAAATTTATCTTGCCGCATTTTTGTTTCAGTTTGCGCTAAGAATAATACACTTGGCGAATGTCTTAATTTATCGTAACTTACTTTCTTTTTCCTTTAATTTGCTTTGGAACTATGTTACTGATATCTGCCATTCCATTAGTTGCTTAATGACTGAGGCATTTTCATCAGAATGTAAGGCTTCAGTTGCATCATCTTTATTATAGCATATCTGCTCATATTCCATTAACTGGGAAATTTCATTTTTTTCTTTTGATATCCAAAAACCTTCAGTTTCACATCATGTAATTTAGTTGCTAGCTATAAATTATGCCAAGCATTTTGAAAATATGTTCAGATACATTTTTTGGGGCATGCATCTTTCCTGCAATGCCCCACACATTAGATCTTATATTAAAATATTTCTAGAATTTTTGGATGATCTTGCTTCAGTATCAGTTTTTAAAAAGCTACTTTGTATTTTAGTGGGCACAGAGTTCCAGTATACATTGGCTGATGACCGATATACAATTTCGGGGAAATGGTATATAGATCATTTTATCATTAACTAAAATTGTGCCATGTTATCATGAACTAAAACTGTAATTCTGGTAATATTAAATAATAGGCAGAAGAAAATAAGATGCTTCATATCGGGAAAATTAAGGCAAGAGTGCAATTTACTGGGCTAACTTAGGTTCCTCAGAATTAAATTCTTTCTCTCTTTTCTGCTGCTGTGCTAATAAAAGAAAACCATATGAATGACATATTACTTCAAATAAATATGTGTTAGGGATTTACTAATTGTTTACATCAAACAGAAGAATACAACCGTTCAAAGGCTGAAAGTGCAGTCATGGTGAATATCAATCAACGTATTGTCATTGGCCATAATGCAATTCCCTAGACAATAGATGCTTGAAAATGGGACAGAATAATCTCAGTTAATTGGGAAAAAAATCACTTTTATAGCACACCTGCTTTTTTTTCTATTATTATGTTCTCCAGTCCTAGATTTTATTAAAAAAAGTTCTTTAAAAAAAAAGGCTAGTGATCCAGAAGTGGCATTTCGGACTATGTATTGTATTTTCTCTTTTTTGTATATTTTCATAAATGCATAGAAGTATGTATGTTTGTGTAAAAATTTGCTTTAATATATATACATGTAACTTTTGTTCATTTTACGCAGCATATGTATTACTTTTGTTTAGTTATCCATTTTGTAGTAAGAAAAGTTGTACCAAACTCCTTTCTTAATGCAGTATGACTGTAATAACTTCATATTCAGTTATGTTCTTTATTTTATTTTTTTTATGTGATTTTGTACTACTTGATTATACTGGCATTTTGCTTTAAGTAATGTTTAAAAATAACCAATACAAGTGTAGCATTAAAAATAAAGAAGTGTGTAAATTCTGAAAAAAATTAGAGCTGACCTTTCATTCTAATAATATATTCAGGTTTTTAATTATTTTAATGCTGATCACAGCTGTCATTTTGTCAGTTATTTGTTAAATGTTTAGAAGGTTTGAAAAACGTATTTAATTTACATTGTATGTTATTTATGTATGTATTGTATATTATGTATGATTTATTAAATTTTGTTAAGCTTTGGTCTTTGCAGTTATGCTACTTTTACTGAAGCAAAATCTATTAGCAAAAGTAATGAATGTTTCAGAATAGTCTTTTTCAGTTCTTGCATTTAAATAAATCATAGCATTATCAACGATTGTTTACAAATATAGTTTTCAAGCATTATTAAGTATATGATAATTAACTGTAATCAAACTTCAGATTGTTTTTGTTCAGAATTTAAATTTCACTACCCCTTCCTTTTTTTTTTTTTTTTTTTTAATTATTATTATTATTATTAACTTGATAGTCTGAATTTTTTGGCGATTTTTATCCCTTTTCATCTTTAAGTTGTTTTGCTTTTGTTTTGTACTTTATTTTTTATTTTACGTAAATTCTTTAAAATTTTCTTTTATTATTGCATTAAGTTTGTCTTTTTTCCTCCCTGTTTTTCTTCATTTTAGTATATGGTTATATTTTGTTTTTAGAGCGAAGATATTGGCAGCAAAACCATAGTTATGCTGAATGATCAAGGGGGTAAGATAAAAATTGTCCTCCATTTGTTAAGCCCCTTGATATACTAATTTTATTTCAAAAACTTAGAGTACAAGAACGTCACTTTCATACTAATTTTACAATTTAACATGATGTAGGGAGTAAGGATTTTTATTTAACTGTTTGTTAATTGCTTAATACTGCTTCATTGATTATTACATTAAAATAAGTATTTGCATTAAGGATACAAGATTAAAAGCTGGTTATATTCTGCACTGAATTTTCTCTTAACATTTTTACTGTTAGGTGTGGATCCTCCATGTAATAAACATGTATTGGATCATCTGGAAAGTTCTGCAGTTTTTATTATAAACATAAATGAAGCAGTATAAGAACATGAAAAAAATTATTGAATTACATAAGCACCATTTTGTAATGTGACTTGTTGCCATCTCTCCAGCAGTTAAAGATTCCTTTTTAAAAAAGTCATTAGATTTATTCATAAATAAATTATGGATCTGCCATTTGACAGTCTCTAAAGAAGTGAACACCAGACTGTTCAGAGAATTTTGAAGTGACATGAAAAGATGAAAATCCAAGAGACCAAGATCTAATGAATATAAGGGGAAGTGACATAAAATATCCAGCCTAATCTGACACTTACCAAAATTTGGGGTTGAATATTGTCATGATAGAAAACAATACTTTGATGATTGATCAGTTCTGAGCACTTTCCTTTAATTTTTGCTTTTAAAGTGGCCATTTGGGAACACTATTTTTCTGAATTTGTTATCTGATTTGGTGGCAACAGTTCATAATATACAATTCTTTTGTACATAGTTCTACCATATAAAGCATTATTATTTGTAGGGAATCCAGCCCCCTTCTTGATGTTGTTACTAAAGAAGGTTCTTCATGATTTTTTTTTTTTTTTTTTTTTTTTTTTTTTTTTTTTTTTTTTTGTAATATTATTGTATATTATTCATTTCCTACTCTTAGTAATAAACCTTTTCAAAAAAGGAGCTTCGTTATTTGCTTTCAGCAAAGAATCACATGTCGAAACTTGAGCAAGTACATTCTTTTCTGTTTAGGTGTATGGTTATACATTAGGGTGGGCCGAAAAACACATTTTTCAAAATTTTTCTATCGCTATATGCTGGAAAAGTTGTCTTTTACCTAGCTAAGATGAATAATATCATTCAATAATAAAATGAAAAAATAAATAAATAAAATAATATCATTCATTTGTGCATTGCACTCACAGTTTTGAAAAATGATGAAATTTTGATTTTGATTTTTTTATATTCCTAAACTGACTACTATCGAAAAGGTTTAGGTTGTAATGTGAATTTTGGAACATGAGAAAAGTTTTAAAACCTGTAATTTCAAATTATCTATATTGTTTGCACAAAAAAAATTGAAAAAAATCTATTTTATTTTATTTTATTTATTTATTTATTTTGTAAAAATAGCAATAGTTTGTAGTAATTTCACTTTTTCATTTTTAGTAAATGGGGAATATATTTATCATTTTTTATTTTGTTATTCAAAAGGTTATTGTTTTGGAAAAATTATGTCATAATGTAACTTAATGGGAGGGTGTTAAAAAAAGTTAGTGTTTTGGAAATTAGTTTTAAAAATTAGCGTTTTGAAAAAATTATGTCATAATATAACTTAATTGGAGGGTCATCTTAACCCGGCGGAAGTCGCACCAAGGAAAGTTACTAGAGTGGCCGCATGGGGTATCACATACTCCAATATTTCAAATATGATAAAAATAATGTTATTTAGTTTTAAAACTTTTTTTTTTTTTTTTTTTTTTTTTTTTTTTTTTTTTTTGTTCTCGTGTATTATAAATACGTGAATAATAATTGAGTTTCAAAAAATTAATTTCCGAAATAATCTTAGAGTTAAAAATTAAGATAAATGAAAATAATAAAAAAATAAACATCATGCCTCTAAGTTTCATTGCATCTCTAATACAACATGCTTATTTTATTTCTTCACACTTTGAACGGAATACATTCATGTGTTCTTGGCACAGAATGTTTTGAAATTTTAAACATTGCATTCACGTTCTTCTGTCCTTGATGCGAAGGCAAAAAAATTTATCACATCTTTCATACTTAGTTATTCGAATTTCATGTATTCGTTTTAATTCTTCATCGAAATTTCTGCTTTTGTTTTGCATGCAGTACGTCAATGTCTTGGAAAAGTATTAATCTCTGATCTTTGTTCAATACTTTTTTTCATTAATTGTAATGCTAAATCCTTCAAAAACAGACTTCTGCTTCTGGTTGGTGGATTAGCAGTTGAATGTAATATAATTCAAGCATTTATTACAGTAACATTCAGTGCAGGAAAGAAAATTACCATTGGCCACTCCTTGTTATCCTGGCAATTGAATAATTGGCTGACATTTCATCCCCTATACCCACTGCTCCTTTAGTCATATTATTAAAACATATAATTCCTGACGTTTTATTTTCTCCAATACTATCATCTATAGTATGATCGTTATATAATGTCGAAAGCATAAGAACAGTTTTTCCTTTTTTAGGAACATCAGGAATTAATGTTTTATGTTTTTCGAAACCAAAACATTGTAGAAAATATTCTTAGTTTCATTTTCAGTTTCCGAAATGCAATCTTCGTCGCTTTCAAATATTTCTAATAAATTTCACATGCGTTGCATCTCCAGTTCATAGGGACTCATTCTTTTTACCATAATGCAGTTAGAAATTTTTAAGAATTTCATGTCAAGTACTTTAAAATCACTTGCGAGTAGAAATATTTACTGTTACACTCTAGAAATAAATTTCTGAACTAAATATTCAGTCAGAAAAACCCTTACACGGACAGGCGCGTGGGGTGTGTCATACCCCAGTTCCAACAAAATACCGATAAAGCTTTTTCTGAAACACACAGGCAAAGAAAAAGCAGTTCTGAAAGTAGCACAGAATTTCAGTTTCACAAGTTAAAAATATTCCACTTTTATATAGAGTTGGGGTATGATACACCCCACGCGCTTTCCCGTGGGTTAATCAAATCATCTCTTACATCAGTGCCATGCACCATTTTAGAAGCTTCAGTCACAAGTTTGACACACTGTTCTACAGCCTGAATGTGATAAGGGAGGCTTTGGAAATCTGGTTACAGCAGTGTGCCAGACTTTAATTTTTTTCCCCTCATTCATCATGTTCCTTTCTAGTGGAGAAAGAAAGATATTGCAGTTATCCTATCAAATTATGTTGACATAGTCTGTTGCCATCAAATTATGTTGACAGTTATTATTATTAGTCAAATTATGTAGTCTGTTGCTTTGAAGTTGAGTTTTAAGTTAATAACCTTTCCTTTGGAAAGTGATTAAGCTTTCAGCAACCGGCACTGCCAAAGTTCTCTAATATGGCCTCATTCATCCACAATCATTGCAAGGAGCAAATTTTTTGGATTAAAAAAAAAAAAAAATCTTTTGAATTGCCACTTTTCTGGGGAATAGTGATGGGGGGGAAGTGTTTTGGGGCCCTTCCTGTTATCAAGTGATTGTGTATTTTACTTTTTGGAATATTTAATCTATGTGATAGTTACTGAACTTTTAAATGGGAATTCAGTGATAGTTTCTTTTAATAGGTCCTTGTTTATAGAGGATAATTGTCCAGAGCAGGCATCATATTTGAGGCTAAAATTGCCATAGTTGAACTTCTCAAATCACCTTTAAACTGTGTCTTCAGAAATAACACTATGTCAACATGTAACACAAATTTTAGAAACCATCTGACTGGTTTTCCCCCCTCCCAAAGTAAAACAGTATATATATGTCAAAAATGAGCTTTTGAGTTTTCCATTCTTAGCCTTACACTGAAGCAAAATTATGCAATGACACATGCTAGAATTATGATGTGAAAGCAGGAAAGACTATATTTAGACATCCGCATCGATCAAGGTCACTACTTATCAGCAATAACAAAATAATTTGAAGGGAATTTACTTTGATTTGAATAATCACAGGGCTGTCTGGATGACCCAGTATGTACAGACAAAACCCACCTGCTGGTCTCAACACCTATACAATTAATGTTGATTTTATGCTGTTTATAGCAAAACTTCAAAAGGATGAAAACTGAATATAGTGAACTCTGTGGATAGCTTGGATTGAACCTTTTTATATTTTTTAAAATTTTTCCAGAATTTTTGTGAATTTTGACAAAAAAATTACTAAACTTGAAATTATCCATTGATCTACATCTAGGATATTAGGATTTACAATCCATCCATAAAGAAAAACAACTTTTTTTTTTTTTTTTTTCTTAACCTTCATTTCTTTCTGTCTTCTTACGAAGGCTATGCAAGGCAAGATACCCAGGCATTGGAGAATGAGGATACAATAAGCATCTCTTAGAATACCATAATGATATTCATGATCATTAAAAAAAAGTGTGAGTGGGTTGATTTCATTCAGATTCTTTGATTGAGTTGCAAGCATAACTTTGTTCAAGGCTGATATTATGATATTACGTTCAGGGAAAGTGGAAGTAGTGAATCTTTACGAGTTAGTGATTTTTTTTCTTTTATAATATTAAAAATTTTTATCCTTATTTGTCAAATTCAGGTATTCCAAATTCTAGCCTCTGTGTAGGGGTTTTTAGGTCTTTAGCGAGACATACAATATTCTTCATAAAGATGGTTCATCCTTTGTATCACAACCACACATACCTTGGAAGAAATGCTTGTGTTGTCATTGAACATTAAATAAGACCCATATGTGATAAAATTATCTTCCTCTTTAATGTTTTTCTAAAGAACAAAATTCTCACATTTTCTTTGACTAACTTCTCTGACTGTGTGTCCATCAAAATTTATCATAATGGGAGCTGTAAATGTAAAGTTTCTGCATTGAAGATAAGGTAAGCATTATTCGGGAATCACAAAAGGATGCAGCCAACTCATATCTGGCAGAATTCAATGTATCCAAATCTACAGTTGGCACCATGTAAAAAAATCAAAACTTCATAATTTCTGCTCATACAAAAATTTGAATACAATGAAAAAGTTGAGAAATCCAGGTCACGGGAATGTTGACGAAGCACTGCCGATATAGTTCACCATTAAGAGAAGCTGTAATCTACCAGCATGTGACCAAATGCTTTGAGCAAATGCCAGTGAATTTACCAGACACTTTATAGAGACTGGAAAAGAACAAACAATAAATTGAATAACTGCAATTAAATCTTTAATATAAATTTCTAGTTACATTTATTATTCATTTTTCTTGATAGATGTGACAATCCAATTTTTCTTCATTCATCATTAAGTTTTTACAAGTTTTTGTGAGCTAATCTATTATTGGATCAAATATAGTGAACCAAATACATATTGCCGAAGTCTATTATAGTGGGTTTTGAGTGTATATGTAGAGAGGAAAAGAAATTAAAAACTTTTATTGTAAGCTTCAATTGTAGTGAGACAGAAGGAGAATGCAGTTTGAGTGAAAATTTAGAATCTGAAAAAGTAAAATGGTTTAAAAACTTAAAAAAAAAAAACTTCAACTAGTAAAGGAATAAATGTTGAAAAATACAACCCATAGCAAATATTAAAAATGAAGTAATATGAGATGTGATGACAGAATGGCTAATTTATTTCATCAGGAGAGCAGCAGGTAGAAATTTGTGATATGGTTTTTGTAAAAAAATTTTTACGATGGTGGGCAGTATCAAGATTACTATATAAATAATATACATAAAAGAGTAATTTGTTGTTAAATGTGAAGATTTGATTTATGCTGGCCCCCAAAAAGGAATCTATTTAGATTTGCAATAGCTATTGTGCCAGAAATCTAATATATGATCTGATAAAATAAATTAGCCATGCGATTACAACTTTTTGTGTTCATTTTTTATATTTGTCCGGATTCTATTTTTCTATCATATTCTGATTTGTGTACTGCTTACAGGATATTTTATTGGGGTTTATACTATTTTTAATTCTGTATTCACATCCAAGTTTAAATCCTTCAGTAGTGGTAAAATCTTTAAATTTTAATGTTTGTAGTTTTTTAATTTATTGTTCAGTCTCACTTACTCTTACATTAGATTGCAGCTATTAATGCAGATAATACTTTTTCATTTGATAAATTTTACATATATTTTTTAGTTAAAACAATTTTTTAAACTGTAAAATTAAAATTCTTCCAGCTGAAATCATAGATACAAAACCATAGATAATTTTGTATTCCATAACACTTTGGTCTTTGCATTAGTCAGAAGCATTTATTACAGTTTGTTAATTTAATGGTTGAAGCTTTTATTATTTTTATTATTATTTCAAAATGCAAAATTACATCTCCGTGCTATTATTAAAATTGTAATATTTAACTAGAAATAAGCTTATGTGATTGAAAGATCTTGAAAATGTTTTAAGCGGCTAAATAAAATAAGTGAAAAAAAATAATTTTGTACTATATTTTTATTTCTTGTTCAAATGCTAAAGAACATTACAATAGTGGCTAGTAGCCTTTTTTTAATAGTAAATTTTGAAACTCGGGGAAATAAATATAAAGGATAAAATCTAAAATAATTTTCCAAATTTGCAGTCTTATGCATTTTAAATTACAAAATTATTCTAAATTTGAAAATATTTCAAAAATTTCATTTTTTAAAAAAAGTGACGTTTTAAAAATTTTTGTAACAAAAACAAAAGCTTATGTGTCCCAATAAATTGTTTTAAAATCACTTTAATATTCATTAAATTTTTCCCCAAAAAAGTTATTGGAAATTAATCCATGTTTTAAAAATATGGCAATATATTTTATGCTCAGTCATGTGATGACTAATTGTTAACTTTTAGCTGACAATCATGTGATGGCTTTTAAATTTAACAACTGATATAACCCAAGTTAAAATGTCACTTTTGCTGACTTATGTTGGCTGGGGCATTCAGTATATCATGAACAGTCCACTTAGCTCCATGGTGTTTATATGAGTCATTAATTTTACCAATAAATTTTCATCAGATTTAAATCTTTACATTAACAGCATGCTCACTTAAGGGGTATAAATTTATTGCAATAAGAACACTGGGCCATAATCCTTATTAGAGTTGCAACATTTTCCATTTTTATGCAATGTTTTAAACAATCTCTTGATAATTTTGAAACATTCCTTCTTTTTGCTATATTATCTTTTTTGTGGATATTTCCTGCTATTTGACAAAATGGTGAATAATTCTTTTAAGCAAGAAATATATTGCTAGTTAATGCTGTCAGGATTATTTCAATCAACAGTTGAGAAATTTTTAAAAACCTTTTTATTGATAATATATACTTTGACAACAATAATGATGTTAAAAGAGGTTTAATTTAACCCTCCGAGCGTTATGGGTTTAGCCCTGAAATTGCAAAGTTTCTCAAAATGTCATGAATAAGTGTATTTTCTTGATTTTAATTAAAAAGTGACCCTCTCATTTTGTACCTTGATTCCTTTTCTTCCAATATACATCCAAACTGAAGTCAGATACATTAAAACGTAGCAGACATTTTCATGTATAATGAATATAGAAGGCAACCTTCTATACAGAATTTTCCGGCCATAACGCTAAGAGGGTTAAAGCTGAGGAATAAGGGAGCAGCTTCAGATAAGATCTTATTCAAATATGTTTTTGCCTACAGTATCTACTTTGTATTTACATAAAGGATCAAATAAAATACAAGCCATATCACAGTTGGCTCTTCTAGAAAATTATTTGGCATATGTTGTTCTATGGTGAGGGAAAATTTTTTTAATATGTCTAATTTTAATAATTCTGTGAATTGTCACAGAAATTTGCTTTCTGCATGAAAGAAAACTTTTGTTTCAGAACAACTTGACAGAATTGAAGAAGAAATGGATGCCATTCATTCTGATATGCGTGAAGCGGAGAAGAACTTAACTGGAATGGAAAAATGTTGCGGTATTTGTGTTTGCCCGTGTTTTAAGTAAGTACAAAAGACTTTCTAATTATAGTGCAGAATACTTTAGAAAACTCCAATTTAGAATTTTCCAACAACAAACATTAATTTAATGCTATGTAGTTTATTTTAACTTAGTCTTTCCATTTTAATTTACTCATATAGAAAAATTATAGGATTTCCTTAAAAACTTTTTAATTAGATTTGTATATATAAATCATCACATATCTCTTCTTTATTAATGTCTCCGGAAATTAGATGATGTATTATTAAAAAACACTTTTAGCATTTTATTGGCTTATAACAAGTATTTAAATAAACTATTTGATAGCAATTTATAGGGATACCTGGATCCTCTGAATTTTATCTACATCTTTAATGTGTTGTTATGAAGAGAAAAACAAGTGAAAGATGTAAATTCTTTCAGCATTAATGTCCTCATTGATAATACAAAAACTTGAATATTGCCGAAAAAGGTGGAGCAGTGTAATGACGGAACATAGTTTTAATAATCTTCTTGTAAAATTTTATATGGCAGCCAAAGGTATATACTAATTTTTTTTAATTGTTTGTGTTGCTGAGAAAATTTTTATTATATCAGGTAGTTGGTAGCTGAACAATTTCATGTTCACTTGACTCTTGTATGATCAAAATAACATAAGGAAATGAAATATTCAGCCAACATAGGTTTGAACGCAAAATGTCATGTGAATTGAAAACCTCCTTTCCCATACTTTTTCATCGTATGGCTAGGAGGATAAACTTTTATAATTAAAAAAAAAAAAATTAATCATTATTCTGGTGTCATATTTTATAATGCAGGTTGAAAAAAGTTATTCTTAATATAATAATATGTGTTTTGAAATGCAATTTCTTCATTCAAATTGATGTATGTATTTTCAATATAATCTGTGATTATATATGAAATCATTTACTTTACTGGCAACAGTATTAAGTAGTCTTGCATATTAAATAACCTTAACATTTTTGAAGCTATTTTGGAAGGGAAGAAAAAGTTTATATGCAAGGTGGGCGTACATATAATGTGATATATTAAAGGTATTTTATAAAAAAGGAAATTAAATTATATAAATATCATGCAAGATAAAGTTAGGCAATATATTTCTTTTCATGTAAAATTTAAGGAATGAATGAAGAATTACCTAATGTATTTTTCTGTGTGCGAGACAAATATAGTTTTCATGAAATCATTAGGTGAAATCCTGTTTTTAGATCAATATGATATTTTGTATTTTTATTTTTGCTATGCAAGCTTTACTGAATCAAAGCGTTTCTGTAACATTGTTATTAGCAATAAAAAACAAGGCAATTTTCATTAATTTACATTAGAAAAAAAGATAAGCATTCCCATGCTTTCAAAGATAATCTAATTATTATACCAAGTAATATATGAAAACTTAATACTAAAAGCATAAAATATATGATCTCATTTTAAAGACAGCCTGTATACACTGAAGTTTCACCCTTTAAAAAATGAAAAGAAAAGAAATGCATTAAAGGCATTTTAGATGGTAGCTGTGACGATGGTATGTTAGCATCAAATATTCATGTGAAAAGTACAAATGATTAGAGTATGAGGCACGTTTGGTTATTGTTTGTAGCTTGTTAGGTCACTACAGTTACCATTTTTTAATCTGCTGGTTCCATTCTGCCCTGAAATGTCATGCTGTTACGTGATGATGTAAAAATATAACTGAACTTTGAATTATAAGTCATACTTTATTCCCGAAACATTACATTAAACAATTGCTGAACAATATTTTTAAAGAAGAGAAAATCTCTCTAATTTTCTTTAATCACAAAAAAAAAAAAAAAAAAGAATACTGAAATAAGGTGCTGTGCATATATTTTTTTAATTATTTATTATTTTTAAGGGCATCAGATTTCAAAGATGATTCTCGAGCCTGGAGAAGTAATGAGGATGGGAAAGTGGTCAATACCCAACCAACAAGGGTAGTTGATAACAGAAATGGTGCTGGTCCCATGGTTGGAGGATTTGTACAAAGGTAATTGTATTAGTTATCTGAAGTTTGAAAAAAAGCTCATTAACAAACTTTAAGGATACGTCAGGTAATTAAAAGGTTAGCTATTATTCCCAGCAAGCATTATTTGCTGGTCATGGTATTAGGAGAGGGAGTTGTTTGAAACACTGGTGTTCACCACAATCCAGTTGTCCCCTTGGTTTCTTTCTCAAGGCTTACCTCTAAAACCTGGGGTAAGAAACCCCCTGATCATGTTACAAAAATTGTTGAGAGGCTTAGCATATTCAACATCTTCGTTGATCCATGCATAGATGTTGTAAGGCTTGTATTATCATGGATGGAATGAATTTTCTCTGAAATTGTAAACATAATTTTGTTTAATAACTTACTTGTATACCTTTACCTTTTTTTCTCCCTGTATTTTAATCGTAATCAAAATTATGTTGCTTAATAACTTACTCGCATAACTTTACCTTTTATTCTCCCTGTATTTTAATCATAATCAGGATGTATTTGTACCCACATGTTCTTATGTAAAAAAATAATTTTTGTTTTCTGTGTGCATGATCTACTTTTAAAAGTTTGTCTATAAGCCTTTTAGCCATTCCATACATATATGATATATGAATCTTAGCTTATTAAAAAAAGGAAAACTTAATTAAAAGCAGCAGCGCAATGTGTGTGTACAACAGACATACTTAAGATTGCTTATTGAAATTTTATGTAACATTTATGTTTTTTTATTCATGTGAATGTAGTCTTACCTTAGCAACACATTGTTTTTTAAAAGACAGCTATGATACATGGAATAAAATTTTATTTTCATAGAATAACAAATGATGCTCGTGAAGATGAAATGGAAGAAAATATGCAACAGGTTAGCTCCATTATTGGAAATCTTAAAAATATGGCAATAGACATGGGTAGTGAGATTGATTCACAAAACATGCAAATTGACAGGATTAACATGAAGGTAAATTTATTTGAAATCTTTAGAATATTTTATTATTATTTAGAAGTACTTTTACAGATTCTTGAATGTATTAGAATTAAATTGGATTTGAATATATTTCTTCTATATTTTCCTAAAAGTTTGGTTAATTTGATATACTGTTTGCTTCAGAATCTAAGGAATGATGATGCCTGATTGATGGTTTTGATAAACCAATTGTTCTATTAACTTATTTTCATTACATTGCATGTTGAAAAACTATGCTTCTATCTGAATTTAATTTAACAACCTTTTATTCACTTCCCTGTATATTTCTGATCTCCATGATAAGCCTTATCGTGGAGATTTCAGCCTTATCACATTTCTTAGTTCAGTAATATATAGTTCTAGAACTAAATAATACAAATGAAAAGCAGTAGTGTGTGGAAAAAATATTTGTTATTTTTGGTGGAGTTCAAAATTTAAATAAATTTCTGGTTTATTAAGATTTTTCTTTAGAAAATAAATTAAAAATTTGTTTGAGGTTATTCATCATAAAATTATTTTATCACATGATTCTAAAATACTTGTATTTACATGTTACATTTCGAGATGCGTACATTTTTATTATGACTATTTCTTCTTTGATTGTCACTAGTTACAGATTATAAACTAGCCATTTGGCTGAACTACTGTTAAATTTAGTGTCATTTTGCAGATCATATGGAAATGCACATAGTCCAGCTTTAGTAGTCATTCTTGCACCATATTCTATAATTAAAAAAATTGCATACAAAAATAAATCATACTAAATTGGGTGTTATTGATTGTATGATAAACAGATTGTGTTATACAGCAGCCCTGGAATGGTTAATTGTAGACCCTGTAATTCCAATTTAAGGAATTTTAATAATGCTGTATGGCAGCCAACGTGTATTTAATAGTGTCTGCATCAGAGGTTTTCCTACTCATAAAATATGTGGGGTGAAAACTGCTATCACCTGGGGGTTTCTGCATTAGAATCGCCCTTATCCTTCTATGCTGGCATCTGTGTGTAGTTCGGTTTCATAATGAGGGTTATAAATTGCAAGTACAGGCTTCTCAGCTAGCGCTGATTTCAAACGATTGAATGCGATCTTTTGTTCTTTACCAAATTCGAACTTATTAACCTTTTTTAGCAGGTTGCTAAGTGGCCTCACCAACCACCTCTTCTGTACTCTGCATGAATTATGTAGCCTTTGTCTGCAAGTCTGCTGTGATGTCTTCTGAACATATATTGGTGTCATATAGGATTCAGGCCATGATGGGTTAGTTTTACATGGGAAAATAGAGCAGAGAGTGGTCATAATATTTTGATTCAGCCTTTTTTTTAAAAAAATAATACGTTAACTTTGAAAACTACAAAACTTTTAAATTCTGAATGTCATTTATTAACTTTAAATGTGGTGGCCGTAATATTGAATTTCCTTGATCTAACTCAATTATCTTCACTCATGTACTATAAAATCAACATTTGCATCTGTGAAGTTTTAAGAGCTGAAAAAAAATCAGTCAAGTATGATAAATTGTTCAAAACAGTTTACTTGCATCAATGGCTTTGTCCTTTATTTTAGGAAGCTACGAATCTTTCATTTATGCAAGTGATAACTGATTCTCTGAACTCACGCTAGATGGTATGATTGAAATCCGAATTGAAGATATAATGCGCACAAGATATAGAGAGATGTGGATACACATCGAAATAAATAAAAATATATGTATATATTCTTTTTAAACGATAATATCCTTGTACATATGTATTAATAAAGAAAATTTGTGTATTTTATATAGTCTATAATTTATTTAGCATCTTTCATGTATCCTGAATGTCCATAACATTAATAAATACATAATGGGTCATGTACAGAATAATTCGGAAGATACATGTTTGTAAGCACGCGGAAATTCATTCCAAAGGCTTCCAGTATTAGTTGCATTAATTTACAGCAAAAGAGTGTACATTAAGTTTATGTAATAATATTGTAGTACCGAATTACATCTTGCATTTCAAAACAGAGCTTTCACTGATAAGAAATATGCTTACTATTTTTCCTCTTAAAAATTTAATGAAATTATAATTTAAGTTTTTTGTGCTTTAGTATTCTCATAATAGACTTAAAATGTATTTTTACTACCAGACGTTTATAGAAACTAGCTATTCTGCTTAACATGGTAAGTTTCTGAACTTTTTATATTGTATATCAGGTGAAAAAGAGCTTCCCCCCTTCTAAATCTGTCAAATCAAAATATCTTGCATATTTTTATATTGATATTGTGTAACTGCTGACAATTTGCACTTGAAAGCTCATATATTTCATGGTGGAAGAAATGTTTTATTATACATGGAAGACAATTTGTCAAGAATTCTACAATTAAATGTTAAATTAGAAATAATAAAATCAAGCACCTGTACTATGTAATCTTGAGTTAAAATTCTGCTTAATGTTCATCATAAAATAATTACTTACAGCAGCAAGATTTGAGGAGTTTTATATATATATATGTGTGTGTGTGTGTGTTTGTGGATGTTAGTCTAAGAATGTGTGCTGTTTGAGCCCCTTAAAAAAGGTATATGCTTTTTTTATAAGAAACTGGCAGTAGTATTACGTGTCCAGATATGCTGAAAAATTTTTTCATTTTACATTTGTGCAATGAAGATCAAGGATACCTTCACTTCGAGTGACTACCTCATAGAAGCCTAATATTGTTGACTTGAGTTAATAGACTTTTCTCGTATCTTATACAAGCTGCCTTTTCGTAAATTTTCCATCAAATTGATTCATTGTTCCATCCTTAACCACGATTATCTGACCAAACATTCAAACCATCAAGCCAGATGCAGAAGCGATGCCAGATATGTTGAGTATGAAAAGAGTTCAGTGAAATATTTTCCACTGATAGCTGTCATTTTGAATGAGAATAACTGTGTCTAAATAAAATGTGATATATTTTGCTGCTAAATTACTTCAACTAATCAAATCTTCTGAATAAATTTCTATATGCTTTAGAATTGCAGTAAAGTCCTTAACACTTTGCTTTTATAATAAATTTTAATAAATTTTGAATGATCTAGATGGCTATAACTTCTGGTAGTTTAGCTTGCATTTTATGTTATATTTTATTTAATTGTTCCACATATATAATATAGTTTTAATATAGTCCTGTAACAAGTTAATGAATAAATATATCTTGTATTTTATCTTCCCTTTTTCATTTTATAAAAAGCATATTTCAATAAGGTGTGCTTCCAAAGGATGACCACAAATCTGTTTTGGTACGCATTTTATCTGTAGTAATTTTTGTTAGTTATTATGATTATATGAATTTAATAACAAATCAAAGTACTTCAACAACTAAATGTTATTTAGGTCTTCAGCTTTTTTTTATGAAAATTATATAATTAGCATAATATATTAAAAGAAGCAGGTGTATTATAAACAGGATTGATTTTTCTCGGTGCTCAGATTTCTGCATGTCACTTTCAAAACACCTGCTGGTTAAGAAATCGCACCATGGCCAGTTGCATCAATTTGCATTGTATTGGTGTTTGATAGCCACAATCACACTTTCAGCTTGATTGGTTGTGGATATTTCTCTCTGATCTAAGCAATAAGTTAAACCAAAATATTATCATATCGGTATGTCATCTTACTAGATTTAAACTGATGATCTAAAGTCCATAATTGCCAAAGTTCCAATCATTCTAGATCTCGAAACTTTATACTGTATTCCCCCCAAATGTTGTTGGAAAATTTTTCGATTACTCTATTACTCCCCCCCCCAATGTTTTTAGAAAATTTCTTGCTTATTGATAAAGCACAAATGAACTTATGAAGTTATATTATTGTATATTTCACTTAATAATTGGTGTTTTATTTAATGGTTTAATCTCCTTGCCCTCATTCCTATTATTTCTTGGTATTTCTATTGAAAATTCACTTGGTAATTAAAAAGTTAAACTGTTCTACACGTCCAATATAATAACTTTATGAAAGAGGAGTCACTAGCATATCTGTGGGCAAGAGAAACATGTTTGTTTGCATTGCAAATATTTACAAACTTTCTGTTGGTGAATCATTTTTCAAATAGATCCTTGCAGTATTTACATTCTTGCCATACTATGTATATTGATTTTGATGGTTGTCTGAATGCTCACTTGTGGCTTTAGCCAATCTTGACGTAGTGATGATACATATCTAGCATTTCATAAAGAAAAATATTACAAGGTGTATGATGCTGAGCTTGATAGTCGTAACAAAATGTCAAGCCATTGCAATAATATGACCTTCCCAGCAATGAAGCAGATGTTTATTTTCACTGTGAAATTTTGATTTTTCGCCTGTCCATTGATAATTCTGTTATTCTTTTGTCAAACTTATTTAATTTTAACAAGTACATATATTATAATTTCATTTACTTACTGGCTGTTTGATTATATTATACTGACAGGTTTAGAAGCCAAGGTGAAACTTCTTGCATTAATCTACTTTAGTTTTATTACTATTGATCTATTTCAAATGACATAACTAATTGAGAAAAGAAATTTCAAGTTTCAACAATGGAAAGGGGAAATTGCAAATTTCCTTTCATAACTCATTTGTTATATTATTAAAAGCTTATTTAAGCAGTTTTGCTATTTTCAATATGTAAATATAGATTGAAGTTTTAATTAAATTTTTTGAATAGCTAGAGTTGACAGCAGTAATCCATTTGTATTTAAGATTGAAATGTTGATTTGAAAGTTAATAGAGTTGAATATGCAGTGCACATTTTTTGTTTTGATAGTTTTTAAACTAAAATATTTTGGTAACTAAGCTAAACTGAAATAAATCTCTGCAATATAAATTGTTAGTTTAAAGCCTATACCTTTGATATATGTGATCTGGAAATTATTTTTGTCAGTATCCAAAAAACATGCATTGGTTTTATTCGATGCTTTTTAGAATTTAAGAAAATAATGCTACAAGACATTCTGATCAAACATTTTTAAATAAGCTAAAGAAAAAGAAAGTAATAGTTTCTTAAGTAAATATATTGAATTTCAATAAAAACCTGTCTAAAAATATGGAAGCCTGAATTCAAAATGAGTATTTTAATAACTTATTTCTACTAATATTTTCCTTCCTAATGACCAAGTTTTTAATAATTGGTTTTAAAAAAATTAAACTTGATTTTACAAGAGGTGTTTTTGAATACCTATTTTAAAATCATTTAATTTTTTTTATTATTATTTTGGTTTTCTTGTTTTAAAATCTTAATGAGTTTAAATTTGAAAGTGGCCATTTTTTATTATTTTTACAGTTTTAAAATCTTACTGCAACTTTAATTTGAAGTCCTATATTTTGCTATTGGTAAATGTTTTCTCACCATTACCACCATTAATATACTTGATATCAAATGGTCATATAAAATGTACATAAAAATTATGTACAGTGTTATAGCACTTTAGGGAAAATTTGGATTGTCTCCCCTTCTGGTTTTAGAAGCGTAATTCACTGCTCCCCCTCCCCTAACTTTGTGGTTAAATACTTCTGAATTTTCTTAATATTTTTCATGCTTCGAAAAAACCTGTATAAACCAAGATTTAAGTAATTATAACAGCATGCAGTCAATATTCTATTGCTTATATGTAATTTTAAGTAGATTTAAATTCATAATAAAAAAATTCCTGACTTATTGTATATGTGTTATTGACTTTTAAACTTTTCCTTGAGTGTACCAGTATTCTATGTACTTAAAGAAAAATATTGCTGAAAATTGTTGTTTTGGTTTTATAGTCTTTTTTTCTAACTAGTCTTCTTTGTTCGAATTTTAGGCACAATCAAATGAAACTCACATTGTTAATGCTAATGAAAGGGCTTCCAAGCTGCTGAAGAATTAAATCTATTATGTGAAAACTTGAAACTTTTGGTGATGTGTAGGGTGTTGCTGTATCCAAGAGTGAGGCTTAGTAGAAGAGCAGTCTACCTTCTATGTAAAAGGCCTCAAACATATCGTTTTTCTGCTTTTTCAGAGAGTAGATGTTGTGCCAGTGCATTCATTTCTTTCTGCAACCATTAAATACTACCTTCTGAGGCACAAAGGCCCAATATGTTTTTCAGATTTCATTACATGTTTGTTTAATCTGTACTTATTTATGAAATAATACCCATACTAGTAAAATTTTGAGCTTACTTTTAAAACTACATTTTTTTAAATGTGCTAATACCTGTAAATTTGCTTTAAAAAGTTTATGTAGCACCTTTGGACTTTACATCATGTGTATATAAATGACAGCAAAAGAAAAATTTTTTTAATGTTTTTGTTACTATAATTTACTATATAGCATTTCATAATAAGTTTTATCATCATAAATATTCTTTTCTTGTGTTAATTGGTTAGCTTGGTATCATGCATTTTTATTTACCTACCTTTTTTTTTATCATGTTTTAGGGTATGTTTGGTATTTTACTGCATCTATTTCGTTAAAACTGTAATCTGTTAAATCTTTTATTGTGTTAAAATGTTGAATGTAATGATCAATCAAAATATTTCATATGTCATAAAATTATAATGTTATTATAATATTGAACATTAAAGTTAATGAATTTTCTATACTGAAATTAAGCATAAAAATTTTGTTAAAATGATAAATATATTTTGTGTGAGTCTGGGCTGAATGTATATGTATCATAAAATGTTTGAATTTAAAGAAAGATCTAAAATATTTTTATGTATATTTTAAATAAGAAATTTAAATTTTGAAAGAATTGTGGGATGTTTGTTATACAGATTATGCTTTATGTACTTATATTTAAAACATTTATAGTAGCTTAAATATTTAATGTTTCAGAAAGTGATTGTGTATGTTGTTGTACTTACGTTTTTATAACAATATTGTTATAAAGTTACAATGTATAATCATTGTAAAATGTTTGTGTTTCATATGCCACGTGGTTTGATTTATTCTACAGTAATTAAATGAGGTAACATTTTTTGTGTAATTTTGGTAGGTAGTATGTTCCAATATTTTCAAACAGATTTATTCAAAACATTTTACTCTGCATTGATCTTTTTTCCTATATTAGTATTTTATAACTATTGTTTGTGATGCTATTACGTACAAAAAACTTCATTGTAATGCTTATATTTTCTGGGGGGGGAAAGAGTGTGAAAAATCACTTTCTGTGGAAAGTTTTGGTAATTTTTTTATAATATATTAGACATTTTTAAAATAAAATCAATAAGGATTCAGTATATTTATATAAATGAATCGTGCATAATCGTGCAGGAAAGAAATATTAAATTACATTTACAAAGATATTACATGAAAACATTGATATAATGGAGAGCAAGAACTGAATTTCTGATCTCATGAATCAGGTAGTACCAGTTATTAATCTATAATGTGTTATTTATAAAAGTTCAAGTTCATTAAGTTTAAATAACTTGCTTCATATGTATGCATTTATATATATAGAGAGAGAGAGAGAAGAAATAAATACAAAGTAAAAAAAAAAAGTTCAAAATTTTATAAAATTGTACGCTGAAAGCACAACATTTGATGGTAATAATGCATAAGGAAACAAAATAAAAAATACTTTTAAAATTTATCCCATATTCAATTCAGAATAAACGAGATACAGATACAAAATGGCAAACCTCAAGAAATGGAAGGGGGGCAAAACCCAAAATTAAGAATATTTACATCTTTCATCACATTTTCATCACGGGATTAATGTCACAAAAGAAGCAAATAAATAAAATAGCCTTTTTCTGTACTGACAAAGACAAATTAGAGTTTAAAATTTTAAAAAAAATTATCTTAGAAAAGCAATCGAAGTAATCTGTGACTCTATCTTTCCATCCCCTACAGGCCGAAATAAGCGTTACAGAAATTCTAGTGTTGAAACCATAGATAAACTGAAAAAGACTGAAATAATAAATGAATTTTAAAAATATTTTTGAGTAGATTTTGTCCCAAAAACTTGCAGAAATAATAATCCAGCACTTGAAAAAAAACAAAACTGTGTAAACTAAATGCAATTTTTGAGACATACGGGCCATGTAAAAAATAATACTAAATTAAAAAAATTAAAAGTTTGGTACTGTGCTTCTGTTTTTTGTTATTTGCATATGGTTTATTCCGAATTGAGTATAGGATAAATTTTAAACATATTTTCTGTTTTTTAATATATTTTGTTTTGTATTATATGTATATGTGTGCACACAACATTTGTGCATGTATGCAGTCTTAAGATTTACCTAAAATTAAGTTCACATTTTTTTAAATACGCATTAATATATTTTCATTAATAAACTACATTTTCATATAAAGGGTTTTAAAAGGACAAATTTATGAATTTTTATTGATAAAATAAATTTTCATATAAAGGGTTTTAAAATATATGTGTGGATTTGTTAACATAAGTATGGTAAAAAAATTTATTTTCAAACATATTTTACTGTTTTCTATATATCTGTTGGTGTAAAGTTTTTTATATGTAGAAAGTAGCTGTCGGCTTTGTTTCCTCAAACATACATTGTAGATGGTGCTTCTGATTATAAAATTTTTCAAAATAGGCCAAATTTTTCCAAGAATAGTTTTAACACTGTAATTACAATTTTGCAAATATGAGATTTAACTTTTTATATGTTATGCTGGGTTTAAGCAATTCAAGAAGTTCCATATATCTCTATGTGAGATTCATCTAATTAATATATATATGGGTCAGATGTAAATGAAATAATGAGTACTGCTTTACCCAGTAAGAAATTATTGATCACTAAAATGAGGAACTTGTGTTTACTCTTAAAATTTGCTCAGAAAATTGCTGAATTTCGTTGGTTATAGCATGGAGAAAGTGCAGAAACTAAATTTGTTTTTTAGTATTGTAATGAATTTTTTAAGTAAAAAATTAAGCATTATGAACATTATACTGGTGAAGTTTTGCGGCACAGGAATATTATAAAAAGTTAGATTTTAATGTCTGCAAAGGCCAAACCACTTACTTTGTTAAAACTGCTCTTTGCCTTTTTATAGAGACCTCTCTAATATTTACTTCTGAAATCCATACCTTATATAAATAATATGTGGAATTCATGTATAGAGTACATATGGAGTACATATCTTGTCTCTAAGGAAATAAAGCCTGTAGCTACTTTTTTCAAACAATCTGTATATGTGCGTGTAATATATATATGTATATATATGAAACAAGTGTTTGCAGAAAATAGTGATCACAATATTAATATATGCTCATGAGGAGATTGTGCACAAACTATAGTGCTGTGAAAATTAGTGCTGTGAAAAGTGAGAAAATATGCTCAGTGTATTTGCTATAGAATATTAAATAATTTTCTAATCATAACTTTAAAATATTTGACAGTTAAATTTTTTGCAGTTAACTTTTGAAATTAATTTTATAATTTGACTTGTCAATAAGATTATGTGCCTTGTTAATATTATATGCCAAAAAATATAGATAAAAATGTAATTGTCTTTTTCTCAAAAACATTAAAATTAATTACCAAAATTCTACAAAAGTTATTCATTTACAAAATCAGAGGAGTTATTAAAATTCAGTTCACTCATATTTTAATTCAACAAATTTTTCAAAATTTAGTTCCGCCTTCCCCCCCTTTCCTTTTTGAAGGCCTAAATAGGAGCTAAGCTTCATGTGAAGTAATTTATTTTCCTGTCAGTTTTATAAAGTGTACTACTAACTTGTGTGTTTTTGAAGAAGCATAAAAGTATTGAATTTATGAATGGAAACTGTTTTCTTTTATTCTGCATATCACTACCTTTTTCAATCGGAGATTCCCATTTAGTATGAGTAAGATGTAAGCATATTATTGAAAATTTCTTGTAAAATTTTGTAAATTTCTATAACATATGCTATCAACATTTATATATCTATATTTACATAAATAATTCTCAGAAAAAGATTTAAATTGGGCCAAACATTGATTATACTGTATCATTTTGCACAACATTTAATTCTTTGTTTGATAGTGTACCATTGGATATATATGTATTTTGTCATTAATGTGAAATACTTTTATGAAATATAGATCTATATATTTGTACAAATGATTTTGAAGCTGTGTACTTAAATTCTTTGTAGTTCGCTGAATGAATAATGAGATTATTTTCAGGTGAGAGAAAATTATAAACATTCCTTGAATAACTGAGAATTAACTCACAAATATAGTAGTTGCAGTCTTGGATGTTGTACTTAATATACACTATTAAAGTTTAGATAACTAGTCAGGATAAATGTTGCAGTGTTATTAAGTGGCATGTAAACATCAGTTTATTGTAGTACTTCGTGTGTTGGTGCTTTTTAAATCAACAGTGAGCTGGGTGTTTCTTTCCTATGAATATGTATTATTTTAATGTGTGAACCTGTATAGTTTTAGTGGTTCTCAATAGAAGTTATAGTTCCTGATTTTATTAAAGGGGGACTAGCTGTGTTTTTCTGATTTAATTAATCTTTTTAAAGACTGTTTTTTAATATTGTAAAACAACATTTAATATAGTGAAAGGAATTGTAAGATTATGTAAAAGTAAAGTTAATATATTTAATTAACTTTATGAAATGAATTAAAAGCTTTTTTTTTTTTTTTTTTTTTTTTTTATTTGGGAAAAAAAATGCAAAAATATTTTACTGTAGATATTAATTCTTTTTTTCCACCCTTTGAATGTTAAATTTGTTGCTTGCTTGTTTGAGGGGAAAGGAGTCTTATTAATTGCATAAAACTACTAAATTTGTTGTAGTTGTAAAACTTTTGCTTTGTAAAAAGTGTGCATGTAGATTTTTTTTTTAATACTGTAAAAATGTAAGTTGTATACAGCCATTTTTAAGTTTGTAATTTTCTACCAAAATGAAAAAAATTGAATTTTGAAAATAGTAATTTTGTGCCAAATAACAAATAAACAGCATAGTTTATGCTAGCAAATTTGATAGTATTTTGACCTCTTTTGAATAAAAACATGTAAATTATATAATACATTTCTTTTCTTGAATCTTTTTATGTCAAAAAATTCTAGTGGAATCAAATTGAAATTATAACTTGGCGCTTTGTAGTTTTCCTCCTTCCTTCTCATTCTCAAGCCATTAAGATTTTTTTGTTATCATATATAAAATGGAGTGTAATATATGTTGAGTTAAAGTTTAAAGGAGGTGTTTTTTTTTAATTTAATTTTATACCTAATATAATAATATTGAGAACCATCATGTAACTATCAAATGTTGATGTTTGTCTTCTGTGTTGTGATGATACTAGAGTTCTGGCTTTTGTAGCCAAGCATTACTAGTAGAAAAATGATCTTTTTGATCATTATGTTGTATCATTGTGTAAATAAAAGATGTCCTGTGATGTATGTTTTCAGTCAGTTAGGGAAAATTTGATGGAATGCAATGGATATAAAATACACTTGTCAGAATTTCAAACTGGGCAGAAGTGATAAATTTAGTACTAGCCAGTTGCGGCATAATGATCAAAAAGATTTTTTATATACTGTATACTTTTTCTGTTTATTTGTGTTTCATATTTTAGATGATGTTTCCCTCCTTGTTGTAATCAAAAAATGGTTCTTTAATTATTTTTTAAATGTTCCTACTCTTTGATATTGTATGCCGTTATGGTAAATGTAACTTGAAAATTCAGTGTTATAATATTAATTTTCTGGATTGCCTTCCTTTTACAAGTTGCCAACTCTTTTTCTGTTTTATTAATGAAATGAAATTCTATGCTTATGTTGAACATGCCTTCTTATTGCTCATGAATGGTGCCTCATTTGTGTTATGAAGAGTAAATTAATTGCACATTATGATAATGATAATCATTTTATACAAATAAAATTTATTCTTTCATATTTATATAAATATACATTTCATAACAGTGTTTGAAATAAAAGAATTTGCTAAAAACAAACTAAATTCACATCATAGGTACTGTGCATTTTATACCCAATAAGTCTTAAAAATAAATTATCTCTATCCCATACCGTCCGTATATTATACGCCTTCACAGATTTTGTTTTAAGCTTGCCTGATATGAAATTTCTTACTTTTATGAAGCAGAAAATATGTCTTGCTTATTATTTATTAACATATATATTGTTGAAAAGGGTTGGCAACTAATTGTGCTTGTAAAAATATCATTTATATTTACTTGTGACTATGGGACCACATTTATATCAACTGAAGCTCCAGTAAAATTATATTATGCAGAAAAATACAGCAAAATGATGAATGTTTAAAATCTTTAGAAGGAAATATAGGTATGTGGACAGCACTGATTTATTCTTAAAATTATGTAATGTTTTATTCTTCAGAGCAGTTTATCTAACATTTCAGATTTTAGATTTTTCACATTTCACATAGTTTCGTCTTTGTAAAGTAAAATAAAAATAAATAGGCTTGATTAACACAAAACAAACTCTTTTTTGCACAGTTTAGTCTAAAAATTCTTAACACTACAGTAATATTTTAAACTATTAATTTAGAAATCAGATGCAGATATTTTAATTGTATTTTGCACCTATTTTGAATATAATACTCGTGGAAGAAAAGTTTGAAATAAGTGGAGCGAAGCAAAGGTTGACATACATAATAATTCAAATAATAACAGTTTCCTTGTATTAATCATTCATATAACTTTGGGACATATTTCTCTAATATTGTACTGGAAACGCTTTGTATATTACATTTGACATAAATTTTTCTTAGAAGTAATTTTTGATAAAAAAAAAAAAAAAGGTTCTGGTTCAATATCAGTTTTAACATAAAACATGCTTTTAAATATCTCAATTTTTAATATAATATTGTAATTGGGAAAAAATTTATAACATTTTTTACTAAATTATATATTTTTATCATTTGTAAATATCTAAATTTTGTAACATATATAGCATATCTGCACCTAAATTCTGGAAGCTGTCGAGAGAGAGAGAAATTTGAGAGGTTAAAAACTGCTTACTTCGTTACAAAACAATAAGTTTCTCAAATATGCCTTACTTTGGCTGCATTGCAATGGTTTGTTGGTAAGTCGCTGCAAGCTGAAGCCATACATTTCTATGCCCCCCCCCTTTTTTTTTTTTTTTTTTTTTTTTTTTTTTTTTTTATTTTATGAACTGTTTATGCATTTTCTCAACCCCATGCACTCTTCTCTTTTAAAATTATTTTATAAAAATTTTCTTCTTAGAATTTTTATTTATTTATACTTTTATGTTAACTAACAATGAATGGGGGTACTTTGCTTCTTTATATACATAATACCTATTTTTAACATTTAATCTCTTAACATGACATTTTACGTTTGCCTGTTTTATATGTAAACTAATGTTAACTTCATTCTCAATTCAACATAAAACCAGATTATCAACTGTAAAATTATTTTATTTTGAACCTTTTTATTATCAAATTTGTGATTTGAAAAATATTTTTAAATTTTATTAAAATATGAACAGAGATTGTTAGCATGTAAAATGTCATGTGCTAAACATTTACATATCAGTATGTTATATGTGAAGTAAAATATTCCCCAATTACTTGGGGCTAATTTTATTTATTATTTCTCTCATATTATTTTTAAATACCATGTGTGTCTTTTATAGAATTGCTGTCTAATTCCAGTGGAAGAGCATATTTCTAGTGATTAATTTTTTTAAGAAAAATAATTTTAATCAGTTCATCTGCATTATAAGTGGAACCGTACTCTTCTTTATTATAAAGCTAATTAAGTGTTTAAAATTGTTCCAAAATTGAAATATTTCTGCAAAAAACAGAAAAATAATTTTCATTTTGAAATATTTTTCTGTATTTCCTTTATATCTCTGTGTACATTTTTATTTATCTTTAAAATATTGCTCAGTTTTAAATCTGAATATGATTCAGAAGCATAAATTTGGCATGGGGTTTAAAAATTCTTTTAATGAATCCTGTTTTCTGAGGTTTCATAAACAGAGCATTTGCTATGATTGAACCAAAGAACTTTTTATCTTCAAACTATATTTCTATTGAATTCTATTTTATGAACAGATTGTAAATCTATCATTAATGATCCGTGCTAAACTGTGCCAATATTTTTCTTACTCTTTGTCATACCTGAAGCACATTTTTCTGCAATTTTGAAATATTTGTAAATAAGTTGATATGAAGAATTTATTTTCCTCATGTTTTGGAGACCCGGTGACATGCATCAGCAACAAACGTGTGGGGTCCCATTTTTAATGTTTGTAATATATTGTAATACATTTCACTGAAATTCAGTATGAATTGTAATGAATGTGAAATTCAACTCTTTTTAAATGAAAAGCAAATTATGATATTTTGTATGTTTTTAATTTCATACAAGTCTACAATTATTGTGCTTGTATCAAGTGTAATGCCTTGTAAATCTGTCTGTATGCTGCCTTTGTGTATATGTTTGTTGCTGGGATTGAATAAGTGTTATAAAAATGCATGTCTTATATAAGCTACGTGAATAAACAATACTGTGATAGCACAATAAGTGTTTTGTGTTCATTTGAAGAACTGAATTTGTTTGAGGTGTGTTAATATTTTGTAAACATTATGACTTTACATGTATAGCGAAATTTAGAGGTTTTTTTGGGGGGGGTAGTAGGAGGGATCAGAATTCCACTTGCTAAACATATCAGTGCAATACGTTTTACTGGTGCTAAAAAGTTTCATATAAGGGATTATTTTGAGGTTCATGAAAATGTGAAAAATCTCGCTATTTTTCATCTAAATGATAAATTAATCATTCTGAACTTTTTCAAACACTTGCCTGCCTTGAACTTTCAATATTTTGTTCAAAAATATATATAAATCAACTAATTTAAGAAAACATACTGATAAAAAAATATTGTCTAAAATGATGTAAAAATGTAAATTAAGATCCATAAAATACATCTGCGTGATGCTCACGTCGCGTCATAGAAAGGAACATTTGATGTGGACATGTCAACATGTCCATTGAACAGCTGATCAGTGGGGGACTGAGTCCAGATTTAGCCTCCAAAGCGATAGTAAGCGTTATTTGATTTTGAGAGAAATGGAATCTGTTATCATCCATCAAACATCTTGAAAGAGATGTATAACGGAGGAGACAATGGTATCTCTTTGGACGTATAGACCTGCACATCTTTTCATGTGGAACTATGAGTGCTTAGTAACTTTTTGAATAATCGTTTGTGATTTTACTTTAATTAATGATAACCAATGTGTCATGTTAAGTATAAACTAATGTTGAATGTAAATACAGTCAAAAGTCCTTAATCCGGACTCGTCGGGACTTCGGCGATTCCGGATTATCGATTTTTCCAGATTATAGATCATCAGTTTAAATCTGGTAAGATGTCATGCAGAAATTATAAAATTAAAAATATAAAACAGTAATTTATAAAATAATGAGCAATTATGATCTAAAGGGTATCAAAATTTGCAAAAAAAAAAGCTTAATATTTGTTTACTTTCAGTGTAAGTTGTTTCTTTCATGTGATAATACTTTCTTTTAATTCTATTAAACAGCAATTTGTTGTTTAGTTACAAAGTCCTATAATTGCATGCGTCGAGAATACCGACTAATTTGTCAATTGAAATTTTTTTCGTTTTCAATAACCCTTGAGTCACTTTCTTCACTATCGGAAGCGAATTATAATGATGAGGAATTTGATTTAAATCATATCAAAGACGAAGTAACATTGAGATGAAATACTACATTTAATAAAGGAATTATAAGCCGAATAAAATAAAAACATCTGCCCTGAAGATAACGATAGTGTTGACATATCAACTTCCATTCACTGCGCGCCGTGTCCGTTTCCCCCCCCCGCGCAAAGCAGCGTGAAATTGATAAACAGATTTCCGAACGGTTAAATAAACAAAGGATATGCCTTTATCCATTTCTTGGAGCAATTTCACTTTTTGTTTGATGGACATCGAAACATACATTCGTTTTCGTAGATCCTTTGGGAGCTATTAGTAAATATATATCGGAAATTCTATTTGACATAATCGAAAGTTCAAGCTTACTTTTATAAAATTGCTCTTACAGTCTGTAAAAAATAATAAGCCGGATCCAATTCGAAGATTAAGGAACAACGCAATCATCAACATTAACTGAAATAGACAATTAGATAATTTGAGCTTATACCGTCCGTTATACATTAAACGCGCATGTGAAAACGTATTCTGCGCTTGTGCACACGCAAATTCGCAGTCGTAAAGGTCTTACGCGCACGCGTAAACGCCTGCGCATGCGTAAACGCGACGCATGCGCAGAAAGTTTTTAGCTTTGAGGTCTGGATTATAGATTATTCCGGGTTATGGGTGTCCGAATTAACGACTTTTGACTGTATATTGATTGTAATTGTGATGAATTAATTTTGAATGCAATGTAGTTTGAATCTCTCTGTGATTGCCTTCAGTTAGACACGGAAACGCCGCAGTTATCTCAAGAAATGGTGTCCATTCTATCTCTGTTTTTCAAGTACACATTTTCTTGAATCTCTGCTCCCATCAGGACTTGGGAATATTAATTATCAAAAGTAATGCTTAATTAAAAATTAATTTTTACTTTTTTCAAATTCGTCAAGTTTATTGAAAATAATATACACACGCAGTGTTTCTCTCTATATAGTATATACAGGATGTTTCATAGATAATGGGACAAACTTAGAGGGGTGGTGGAGCATACTAAAACATGCATTTTTTGTATAGGAATGTAGGGTCTAAAGTGACGGATTAAGGCAGGAACGCAAAAAAACGACAGGAGAGGAAAATGTGTTTATGTACAAAATCAACGCAAAGTGCTTCTTTGCAGCAATACAGTATTCACAATAAATGTTCAAAAAAGGGAACACTAACAGTAATAGGAACTACAACTGTGATTGGCTGGCAATGCTGCAGTAGAGTGAGCTGGACAAACCACGATCCGATGCATCAGAGTATCATTTGCAACTCTTATGTCGAGCATGATGGGTGAGTTTACGCACAGGGAAAAAAGCTGACATGCATCTCACGTATGGCGCTGCTAATGGGAACAGCAGAGCAGCGCTGCGGTTATACCAGGAACGGTTTCCGAACAGGCATATGCCGAAGCACACAATGTTCGAGAGGTTGCATCGGTCTCTGTGTGAAAACTGGCCATTGGAAGCCATCTCTGACACCTAGGAGTGGAAGGAGAAATGCACGAAAACTTCGCATTGAAGAATCCATCTTGGAATATTGCGCATGAATCACCTCAGACAAGTACAAGAGCTGTTGCACGTCGTCTGCAGCTGAGTCATTCCACCGTTTGGAGAGTATTGCATAAAAATGGTTTGCACCCATACCATTTGCAGAGTCCAAGCCTTGCAAGAGATGGATTACCCTCTTCGAGTTCATTTCTGTCATTGGTTCTTGCAGCAGAGTGCAGCGCAGGCGGATTTCCCATCAGATGTGTTATTCACGGACGAGGCAACTTTCTCACAGGATTGCATCTTCAATAGCCACAACATGCACGTGTGGGCAACTCATAATCCACACGGCACACGTCCACATGCATTACAAACCCGCTTCTCCGTTAATGTGTGAGTGGGTATTGTTAACGACTACCTCATAGGCTCATACCTCTTACCTGCACGTACAAATGGCTTATGTTATCATATTTTTCTGCAAGAGGTGCTACTGGAATTGCTGCAGGATGTTCCGGCTGTCGTTCGTGATCGCATGTGGTTCCAGAATGATGGTGCACCAGCCCATAACCACGTGCGGGTCCGCAAGTTCTTGGATGGGACATTTCCTGGCCTATGGATTGGCTGTAGTAGAACCGTTCGATGGCCACCCCATTCGCCAGATTTATCTAGCTTGGATTTTTTTTTATGGGGCCTTCTGAAGAGCATCATTTATGAGACTCCCATTGACTCACTGGACGACCTCGTTGCACGACTATCCATTCTGGCTGCAAGCGTGCATGAAATGCCTGTCGTTTTTCAAAATGTTCATCAATCCCTTCTGCTACATTACCAAGCATGTATTACTGCTGGTGGTCACAATTTTGAACATTTATTGTGAATACTGTATTGCTGTAAAGAAGCCCTTTGCGTTGATTTTGTACATAAACACATTTTCCTCTCGTGTCGGTTTTTTTTTTTTTTTTTTTTTTTTTTTTTTTTTTTTCCCGTTTCTGCCTTAACCCGTCACTTTAGACCCTACATTCCTATACAAAAAATGCATATTTTAGCACGCTCCACCACTCCTCCAAGTTTGTCCCATGATCTATGAAACACTCTGTATATATATGCGTGTATAAGATAACTAAGTTAAAAACTGTGGTATCGGTTCCCCTATAATATCAACCACCTAGAGATAAACTATAACAAAACGAAATCATAGTTAGGATCTTGGCAAAGGTATAGCAGAACAAGGTTGTATAACTCATTAGCTTTCCTATAATTTGAATAAACAGACAATTTTTCGTATATTTTTATATATAATTATAACTTTTTATGTATAACTGTAAAACGGCGTTTCACTTTTCAAATTGTTGCCACTAAATATTAGAGCCCTGCATTATATTTAATAATTAAATGATGAAAATTATGCATGAATGTATGTATGTTTTTCACATTATGAAAAAACAACGGTATATAGAGACACCAAATTTTGAATGACATAGTCCTCCGCTCGAATATGGGCATCTGGAAGCCCAAATTTGGAGTTTGTTTTATTATCTATTTTATATTTTGTAAAACTTTAACGAAATTTTGACTAACAAAATCAACGATTTCCAAGCAAGCAGTAGTAACACTGTAAAAAAAAGAAAAAGAAAAAAAAAAGAAAAAAACTCTAGCACGTGACACTGTGTGTTGGAAATTCTAAAGATATGCACTTTTTAAACATTTTGTGATATTGCTGTTAAATTGAATTTTATGGTTTAAGAGCGAAGAACATGGTACTTAACGAAGGTAAAACACAAAATGTTAAGTGGCTTTTGGGCTTAATATTAAATCTAAAAGCTTTTAGATTTCTTTCTATTTTGGATTTTTATTTTATTAGACAAATAGCACTACATTCTCTCCCCCCCCCTCCCGATATAATTTACAATCAACGTCAACATTTTTTTGTTGAAATTTGTTATTTTTCAATAAAATATTTTTTGGTTAAGCTGTATTGTTCTTGGTATCTTTTGTACCTCGCATTCGCTGACTTAGTGAAAATAATTTGACAATGCGTTTCATTTCATTTGCACTGTTTCAGATTGTATTTACATAACTGTATGATGTGTTATTTTGCTTTTTTTTTTTTTTTTTTTTTTTTTTTTTTTTTTTGTGCGTGTGTGTGTGTAAAAATCATGTCCGAGTCTCTACTGTAGGTACATTTTTTTCCCCATAAAATTCGAAAATTTTGTGTTATTTCGGGTCATAGAATGAATTTTTAATACATCACTGAACACACATTTACTGAATAATATTAATTAATTAAATAAAAATTTAATTTCATACCACTAAGTACATCAACTAAAAGTTTCTCAGCTGGAATTTTCCTCGAAAAATTTTAAAGTCATTTAAAGCCAAATAACTTATTTAGAAATTTAATTAAAAAAAATATCACTGTGATTAAATTAGTTTTAATGCCTACTCCTCGATTTACATTGTTAAGCAGAAAAATGAATATAAGTTTTGCCTAAAATTTTTATATTTATGCAGTTTTAAAAAGGTTGTAGAATTTTGACGATACGGTAGAATGTGTATGCATTCATCACAGAATATAGTCCACATCAAGCAAATACGCACTATAAATTATCAATATTTTTAATAAAAGTAAATAACTAAGATTGCAAAGTATTAACATAAAAAATAATTTATTTCGAAAGGTTTACAAAAACATTTAACGATGAATCGGGGGGGGGAGGATAAGTTCAGTTAGCAATGACGCCTCGAATAATTACGCAAGCAAGTCAAGGAAGGTCAGGGTGGGGAAAACAGAATATTCTTATAGTCACATTAAAAATTTGCTGTGAACGTATGTGACATCCGTGCGACATTTATATCTACATCACAGTGTAATATCTCTGTGACGTTGTGTCATGGTCACAAATGTAATGTGACAAAAATGTAACACTAAAGATGTACCTGTAATAGTGTGGGATGCTACTCATGTCAAGCTTAAAAACCATAACAGCAATCTTCCAAAGTACATTCTGGATGCAATAAAAGATAAAAACAAAATTGCCAAACTCTAAAGAAAAGCAGCCAATCCTATACATAAAAGGCTCCCCAAAATGATGCGAATAGTCTTATAAAAGACTTTAAGTCGTCAAAATAGGAAAACTTATTAGATACCATGGAAACGGAAAAAACAAACACAGTTAGGAGAGTAGTAAAGACTCTCAGGAATAGCTACGCAGCATATATGGGGCTACTAATCGACCCATCTATAATATAATAATAAAAGCAAGTGTAATGTGTCTGTCTGTCTGTCTGACCGAGCTCTCCAGCCAAATCTATCGCACGCAAGGACCTGGAATTTTTTATACGGAAGCACAAAGGGGCTGGCCACCAGACCTCGAAGCCCGATTTTCGATTTTTGAATTAGAAAAATTTAAAAAAAAATTATTTATAATTAATTAATCACGGTTTTTTTGACTCACTGATATTATTATTTGTTTTCAAATAACGTTCGATTGTAACAATTGATTTCTTTATTCTAGCGTTAGTTTTGCTGTTTTGACGATACATTAAATCGATTAATTACAATTCATTTCTTTTTTGTAGCTTGTGGGGGGGGAAGAGAGAGAGACAGTCTACATGTCCTACACTACTATTCCTGCGCTATTCACTTATCTGCATTTTCTAAATGCACGGGCAACGCCGGGCGGGTACACCTAGTAGCTAATATAAAGTCTCAATAGCTGAAAACAGCGTTCAAGCCACGCTCCAGCCGCGACCAGACTTTTGAAGAAGAAATTCAAGTTTTCCATTACGCTCTGCCAGTAACCTCAGGGAAAGTTACAGAAATAATCAAACATCTGAAATCTAATGAATTAAGAGATAAATTTTATGGTGAAGATATTGTGGTGTTTATTAATATTCGATATTATGACTATCTAAGAGAGATAACACAATAATTGTTCTCAAAGATATGATACAATTTTAAGAATTCCACTAATTTTATATTTAAAATTTGCATGTTAAACGTCTTTGATTTTTTTAAAATTAAAATCAGCGAATTTCTAGAATAATTTATTACTAAGTGCTAAATGTTAAGCTGCAGATATTGGCTTTGATTGTAGCTTCAGTTTGAGGGATTATTTGATTCACATTTAAATTAATATTAATCTGACTTTTTATTTTAAGCGAAAGAAATTTTATATCGTGAAATTTGCTATGCAAGATAATTTTAATACGGTTCTTCAAATTTTCAACTAATTTTAATCAAAGATGAGTGAAAGGAGTGTGGGAGGCGGATGAAAGAGAGTGAGGTCCGCACGAGCGGCGGCGAAAAAAGGGGGGGTGTCAAGTTCAGTGTCGTTATAAGATGTAGCCGCGGGCGGTAAAACCGCAGAGTCGGTTTTGCGTGAATGAGTCAATTAAGGTTGTGATTCTTATGTGGGAAGGATGTCAGAAGGGTAACGATGCTTTTCTCTGGGACGAGAGGAGTGTCTGAGAGTGCTAATAAGGCTATTACTGTGGGTTTGTACTGAATAAAAGATGTTGACCGCTAATCGTTTAATATACTCTTGAATAAGTTCGATTCGAAGGTCTCTGTGAATATAGATGTTGGGAATATACCAAGGAACATTGATAATTTCTCGTAGAATTTTATTTTGTAGAATTTGTAATCTTGGCAACGCTTGTTGGGGTAGTCAGGAAAGTGAAGTTGTACGGAGCGGGGGTATTAAGGAAGTTATTGACCACCTGGTTGACCTGTTCGATATGGTTATTGTCGTACAGAGTGGGATTAAGAGTGAATGTATCTTCCATATAGTACGCAAAAGATTTAGCTTTATCTTCTTCTGTATATGAAGTTCCACTAGGTCCATGGATAGGTGGAATAGGTTTATAAGGTTTCTTGAATTTGCAGGAAATGTCAAATAGGGAATTATCCTCTATAGCTAGGCTATTTAGGAATTTGGTCCATTTTTGGTTTTTGAAGTTCTTGATTCTTCTGTTGATTTCTTTTTGCATAGATTTTAGTTCGTGTTTGAGTTGTGGATCCCTGGTGGTTTGCCATGTTTTACGGATCCGGTTTTTCTCTTTAATCCTATTTCTTATATCGGCAGGCAGGGGAAGGAAAGGCTTGTTCACATAAAAAGTATTGGTGGCTTCCTTTAAAGCAGGATTGATGCTGTTGGTAAATTTTGAGACTTCGTGTTCTAAATCTTCTGTGTTGTTGATGCATGGGTTACCTTGTATGGAGTTATTCAGAATTTCAGAGTATTTGATCCAATTTGTAACTCCTATACTTCTGTCAAGTGAGGGGAGGTATTTATTAATGGGGATTTCAAATACAATGGGGTTGTGGTCGGAAGACAGGGCTGAAATTACAGAGATATTGCATCTGTTAGTAATGTTATTTGAGATGAAGAAGTAAATTGTGGTGGCGCTATTGTACCCATAATGGCTGGGCTCGTCTGGAGCATGAATGTTATAATTATTTGATTGAATGAGTTTAAATATGTCATTTCCTTTTTTGTTAGCAGGTCCTCCAAAGCTTGATCCCGTTTGCGGTCAGTTCTTGGTTGAGCCATCTTGGGAAAGCTTATTTTTGACTCGCTGATATTATAATTAGAGTATATTTTATTGGCAACAAGATGTATTCATTCTTATGTAAACAAATAACTTCAGCGTGTAGTTTTAGCAGAGCAATAGACTACCGGAACGTTTTTAATTGGCATCATGACCACAATAAGGCCCTTTACATGCGAAGATATGTTTAGATTTAATAACGTGTAAGAAATTTTGTTTGTATTACAAATTTTAGCTTTATAATTTCGCAGTTGTCGTCAATGGCAATGTCGTTTTCAAACAAAAATTTGTTGAGGAATAGAAAATTTCACATTTTTCCCCTTTGTAAATCTGTGTCATAATAACATAACTCGTAATTTAACGTATGATTAACGTAGTTATTTTGAAAAATGAGCTTAATTAAGTCATTGTATCTTTTTCGCTTTTTCCTATTTCATGCTGTAATCTGCCAAAAAATGTTGCACCTCCTTCTCTTTTTATTTGAATTGAATACATAAATAGCTCATTTATTTTTACTTCATGTTCTGTTCAGTAAGTTTCGCAGGACAAAACAGGTATTTAATACCAATGACTCCAAAACAAGCATTACAAATCCATTTTTATGAATTCAGGCTTACTGGTGAATTACTCAGGTTACTGAGAGAGGGCATAAATATTCCCAAAGGAAATTGTGATTTTGGGTAATCTTTAGAATATGGTAACAGGTAGTTTGGCGACATTTTGGTAAGGCGATAAAGGTTACTAGCTAGGACTTTAGCAATAATCTGAGAAGTACACAGTTCAAATCACAGATTATTTTGTCTTGGAGAAATGAGAGATCATGAGACATGTAATGTGACATTTTCCGGAAAATTCCAATCGTGATTTTAGCTAATAAGCACTTAGAAACAGTTTCGCTGCTAAAGTGCAGATTCGCCCACTTATTTGTTTGGCGCTTTTTACAAGAGTAAGAAGAATTGGATTTTTGTCAATTTTCTTTGACTTTTTAAGTGAAAATAGGTCAATGTGTACATAGATAAAGTGAAGAGTGTGCACAATGCCATTTTTGTGCAATTCCAGGATGTTTTTTTAAGTGAAAATAGGTCGATGTGTAGATGGATACGGTGTATGTGGAATTCTTAAAAACGTGGCAAGCAGTTTGTGATTCTGCACTTTCTCCCAATTTCGCACCTAATCTTCGCCATGATTAAGCATTTTTGTTCCATAAAAGTTCTAGTTTAAGCTTAATTCGGCTAGCAGATTGTTGGAAAAAATGTTGAGTTAAAAAAAAAAGTGCTTTTTTTTTTTTTTAACTCAACAATTTTTTTTTTTTTAACTTTTGTTTTGCCGTGAAAACAAAATGGCATCCAAAACAAAAGTAGCAGGTTGCTGTAGTAGGGTTAGTCGCGAAAAATCGCCAAGTTACCATAATGTAAAGATTCATCATTTTAACGACTCGCCTTGTTACTTATTATCGCTACCACCTTAGCATAAGTCGCCAGATTTAAAGAACATGCCAAACTTTGGCAAAGAGGATCACAGCAGTTCTTCAGGCAACCATGCTTATAAAAATCCTCCAGTCAAGCAACGTATCAGCAATTGATGGTAGTTTTTTGCCTTTAATTTAAAATATATGCTTAGGACATTTGTAAGCAGCACAGAAGTCTTTGCAATCATCTAATGTTTTTTAAGTGAAATCAGATCATGTATGTATTTGGGGAGAAAAACAGCATTAAAAAATAAATACAAAGATTTGGGGTAGAATGTAATCATTTTATTTTTTAAATAAATTCCGGTACTGTTTGGTTTCGAGGGCCATAAAAAAATTGCAGCCAAAATGTACGCGCAAATGCGCCGCAATTATTTTCGGCAGCATTGGCATCAACAATAGTTTGACGATTTTTTACGGCCCTCGAAACCGAATAGTATCGATAAAAAATATGTAAATCAAAATTAGAACTTAAATTAGCAACAGCCCCTTAATTCTTCATTTTAAGTATCTCACCTCTCTATTCTAAAAATAATAATAATATTTTCTGGACTGCACCATTTCTAGACTAAAGTCACATAGTCATAACTATGATGATGTAGCTAAATTTGGAACTTGAAACCGAAACCTTTCTCTTATTAAGTTTCCATATTGTTTAACTGCAAACTTTGATTCTGCTCCTCGGTGAAAGTAGACTGTTGCTTCCAGCTTTTTGCCATGTTGCAACAATATCAAAAATGTAAAATGTTTGAAATAGGCGCATTATAGTAGCAATTTGATTTTTAGGGTAATAAAAACTAAATTGTTAAAATAATGTAAATGCAGAATATAGTTACAGATGATTTAAGGTGAGAAGTTATGAATGGTTATTTATTCATAGTTCAAAAAAATTTTTGTTTTGAAAATTTAGTATTATTAACAGCTGACATAGATTCATTTTTATAGGTAAAATATTTTGAATATATATACAGTCAAAAGTCGTTAATCTGGACTCGTCGGGACTTCGGCGATTCCGGATTATCGATTTTTCCGGATTATAGATCATCAGTTTAAATCTCATAAGATGGCATGCAGAAATTCTAAAATTAAAAATATGAAACCGTAATTTATGAAATAAAGAACAATTATGATCTAAAGGGTATCAAAATTTACAAAGAGAAAAAGCTTAATATTTATTTGTTTACTTAAATAAACATTTCTTTCAATGTAAGTTGTTTAAGTTTTGCTTCGTTTCATGTGATAATACTTTCTCTTTAATTCTATTAAACAGACATAATTTCTTGTTCAGTTACAAAGTCCTATAATTGCTGTTCAAGTCCTATAATTGCTGTGTCAAGAACACCGACTAATTTGTCAATCGAAATTTTTTCGTTTTCAATAACCTCTGTTACTTTTCTTCGCTATCGGAAGCGAATTATAATGACGAGGAACTTGTTTTAAATCATATCAAAGACGGAGCATATCGAGATGAAATACTACATTTGGTAAGGAATTATAAGCCAAATAAAATAAAAACATCTGATCTTCAGTTATAAGCCAAATAAAATAAAAACATCTGCCCTGAAGATAAGGATAGTGTTGACAGATCAACTTCCAATTCATTACGCGCCCGCCGCGCGGCGTTTCCCCCGCCGAGCAGCGTGAAATTGATAAACAGATTTCGGATTTCAAAACATACTTTCGCTTTAGATCCTTTACATATTAACAAATATATATCGGAAATTCTATTTGATATAATCGAAAGTTTAAGCTTACTTTTATAAAATTGCTCTTACAGTCTGCAAAAAATAATAAGCCGGATCCAATTCGAAAATTAAGGAACAACGCAATCATCAACATTAACTGAAATAGATAATTAGATAATTTTAGCTTATACGTCCATTATACATAAAACACGCACGCGAAAACGTATTCTGCACTTGCGCACACTCATATGCGCAGTCGTAAAAGGTCTTACGTGCACGCGTAAACGCCTATGGGCATGTGTCAACGCGGCGCATGCGCAGAAAGTTTTTTAGTTTTGAGGTCTGGATTATAGATCATTCCGAATTATGGGTGTCCGAATTAACGACTTTTGACTGTATATGTAATGATATTTTTAAATCAATTGGTTAAATTAAATTCTAATCATATTCCTTAATAATGTGTTGGCGATTCTCTACCTAAATTGCATCCCTGTTCCTAAATTTTGGGTGAAATCCTTTCTTTATTATAAATTATATTAACTTGTTGGTGCCCGCCAAATTGCCAAACTCATAAATCTGTCATATTACATAAAGTCCTTAAGAACACTCCTCATGAGAACATAGCATCACCTCGTGATTTCAATTAATATCGCTGATTGGATGAGCAACATGATGCGCACATATCTATAAATAGGGCTTCTCGAGGTACAGGAACCTTGCTTCTCGAGGCTTGCGAGATAGATGCTAAAATTAGCATATCACTTTATATTCTAAAATTTTTCTCATTTCTGTTGCCTCGGCTGCACAACACAAATAATGTATGAGAAATTACGTTTCATATATATAGCATCTATTTTTGGAACTAGCGGTAGTGCTTCAAAAATTTAAGATTATTTTCTCAGTTTTCAGTCTGCAACATAAATTGTGAAGTGTTTCCCATCCCAAGAGACCACTTCATTTTTAAATTTGTATATAGTTTCATTTCAAAATTGAAAGATATAAATACTTCACTTTGGTAGATCAGTACAGTAACATGTAACTTCCTATTATGGCTTTTGTTTTATTTATTTCTTTTGCTAATAAAACTAAAGATTTGCTACAAATCCTTTGCATTATTCAAGATTTATACACAAATTCACCAACTGAAGAGGTATTTCAGGGTCAGCATTTGTTCTAGTGGAGTACTGAGTACCAAAATTGGATAATTTATTGATTTTTTGTACAATATTTAATCAAGTTAATTTAATACAATATTTAATCAAGTGTAAATTTGCAATGATGTAAGTGCTCAAAGCCATAATATTTAGAGTGAAACCAGTTGGAAACAAGGACTTCATTAACAATTTCCTCTACTCCATATTCTTAATTTCTCCAATCCATATTTCTTGCATCAAAATAATATTTGTATGTTTAGTTTAGTCACTTTTTTTTAATCACCATTAGTGTTGATAGTTTATCTCCTTGAAATAGATTTGAAAGACGTAATTGAATGCACTGCTAATAAACCTTGTAGAGACATTAGGTATATTAATGCTGAAGACGTGAATAATGAGCAGTGCCCTTCCCTGGACTCGAAACTGGACGTCTGGAATACGTGCCGAGTGTACTACTAATTACACCACAAAAGCATGCAGAAAGGAGGGAGAAAATACCTTATATACTCATCCTTTTAAGGGTGACTGGGGATTAGGGGACCCAGTTGCCAAATCCTGGTAGTGAAGAATCCTCATTCACCACATTTTAGTTCGGGTGCCACTATAGAGACATTAGGTATTTTGATGCTGGAAGACTAGAACCTAGACCTCTCTACATCCAACTTTTCTTCTAAAATCATACATCAATTGTATATGTGAAGATAAGGAAATTATATCAGCAGTAGTTTGGGATATAAATCAATCTATATCTTCAGTTATCAATTAGGCTTGCATTGTTGAAAGCATGAAAAGTGTGGTAACTTTGAAATGCACAAGCATTGCCAATGCTGAAAGTAACAGATAATGAGAAAGTGCCAAAAATTGCAATGAGTTAAATATCAACTAGAGTATTTAATGCTTTCTGAAATATTTGGAGAGTCAAAACTTATGCTGATATTGGCAGGGTTGGATTTACATATAAGCTACACAAGCTATAGCTTAGGGTCTCCACTTTCTTGGGGGGCTCTAAAGAAATAAAATAATGTATAAATGTAGTATTAAAATATAGTGTAACAGACTTATAAAGGGCTCCATATCTCAAATAGCTTAGGGCCTTATCAAGTCTAAATTCAGCTCTGGACTTTGGCCTTATATATATATGAAACTTGTTGTATATGGAGTCATATTTACTTTTTCCCCTGAACAATTTATTGGATAAAATATTTTTTATTGTGCTTTCTAGTAAATTATATCTCATTAATTCATTGTATATAACTTTTGTATTTCATTGCTTATTTTCGTATTTGTTCTGTACTGAATTTAACAAATTATATTGCCAGTCCCAAGTGATTTATTAAATCTAGACATTATTGCATAATAATTTATTAAATATGAAAGCATTTTTATGATGGCAGTGTTTTTGATACTTTATGGAATCAGTAAATACCAAATAGAAGTTCAGAACTAATTTGACAAAGAAATGAGCAAGTAGCTGAAATTAGGAAATAAAAGTAATTTCATGTGGGATTTCATTGTTGGTTGTAAAATGCTGTAGTTATTTGGGCACTCAGTTTCCTGATATGTATAAATGCGAACCAATTTCTACCAAAGAGATAGGCATCAATTACTTTGTCCTAATTTATTGGCCAAATAATCACGTATATTAAATTTGCAGATTTTCATTACTTTTATCTTTCACAAAGTATTTTTGATGAAGGAATGTCAGTTATAATTTCAGTTATCTTAATTTTTATTGTTTCAGTTGACTGTAGTGAACATCATATCAAGGTTAGAAAATCTGAAATTTCTCTTTTATAAATTTATAAGGAGCACTATTTTTAATAGATAGTATTACTGTATTTATGTATTTGAGAATATGCATTATCATTACCAAATAAAAATTTATATTACATAATAATAAAAGTTTTTTGTGTTACAGAAATTTGGATCCATTGACTGAGACTGTATCCTTTTTGCTAGATTTTAATAGTGCAGAGTTAGATATGCGATATTCTATAAAATTATTTAATTAGTTAATTTAATTACTAATATTATATTTATCTTTTATTGTTATATTTATCTTTTTTGATATCTTTATCTTATATTTATCTTTTAACTTCTGTAATGCTAAGTTGTTTTCATTTTAGTACTCATGAGTCTGCAATAAAATCAGCAATTCTTCTGCAGGCCCTTTTTTTTTTACATATTTTGATGTTCATAAATCAAGGAAATATTTATTATTTGATATAATGGTATACGGAGGAAACTTGATAAAGTACAAAATTTGAGATCTGGATTCATTGAGATTTTGGCAATTCTGGATTTAGAATTTTTCTAAATGTTAGATATCTATATAAATCTAGTAAGATAACATGTAGGAATTTATAAATTTAAAAATATGAAGTAATGAAGCATTTATAAAAAACAAAATTTGCCAAAAAAAACTCAGTATTTTTTTGTTTGCTTTATTAAATATTTATTTCAATGTAAGTTATTGAAGTTGCTTTATTTTTTGTGCTAATTCTTTCTCTTTAATTCTATGTATAGATAGAAATAATTTCTTGTTCAGTTACAAAGTCCTTCTGTAATTGCCTTGTCCAGAAATCCCACTAAATTCTCAACTGAATTTTGATTCTCAACAGTTTTTTTATTCTCAGCAACCTCTCTGTGACTTTCTTCAACCATGGGTGATATTTTCTATATTTAGAACCCATATTACAGATTTTGCTGTCCATTAGTTGACTGATGATTGGGTATTGTCATCACAATGAAGAACTTCTGTCATCTTCATTTATTACCTCTTCTTCCAATTTCTTCACAAATTCTATTAATTTAGCTATCATAAAATGCGACTAGATCTACCTAAGTATGATCCTTGTGACTCTTCGCATAGGATTGAGGATGACCACATCCAGGGAAGGGTGTAAAATATCCTTTTATTTAATGCAAAATATTTAACAGAAGGCATGGACTTACGTGCTTACATAAATCACCAACCATATGTGGTCAGAGCATAAAAGATAATGTAACTCTAATTTAAAGGTAAAAAGTAGTTTGAGACTACGTAATTCAATTTAAACTAACAAACTGACACTGGCAGGATACTAACTCACCAGCAAGATTGCGTAGCCACTATTAAGATTAATAGCTGGTTGGTGAAATCATGCTTTGTCTAATCTTTTTGTTCCAACAGTTTAAATGCTTTTGTTCACCATACTTCATTTACATCCTGGCATGAAAACACGAGGGAAAATAAGAGAATTCAGGAAAGCCTCACAAAATAAAATAACTATTAGTAAAAATAAAAGAACCTCATAAACTAACATCCACTATACACTGTATTATGAGTTATTACTGTTACTGTTGTATTATGAGATTAGCAACTAAAGACAGGCTCTGCTAAATTTTGTTTTGCTTCTATCACATGCTGACGAAATTAAGCCTGAATTATATTACTAGTTATTTATTATACTTATGCCTATTTCCTGTACATTCTTATCCAGGGCAGGCACTAGACATTTTGTGGTCCAGTGTAGTCTCTTTGGGCCCTGAATTCTGCTGTCAAGTGCTCTCTAAATTCTGACAATTTTCCTGCCTTAAATTTTGCATCCTAGTGTCTTTCTTAAATTCTAAAGATTTCATCATCCCTTAATTTTATTGAGGGATGCTTCTCTAAATTCTAAAAATGTTGCTTCTTCTAAATTCTGCCACCCAATGAGCTCTAGTGCCCATTCTGGACTTATCTGAGTAACAAACCAGTTATTTTCACTTTAGATAGCACTAAATGTAATCTTAGCCTATGAGTATCATCTGCAAAACCTAATTTTTGTATATGGAAAGAAATTTCAGTTAAATTTCTCCTTGTCAACACACTTAACATTTCGCAGCCTAGTTGGCTGAAGTCTGCAGTCATTGCTAAAAGTGATTTCAACATAAAAGGTTTCCATGATCTTTGGAATTCAATTACTAACATTTAAGGGGGGAAAAAAATATTTAGACATTGCTGTGTGAGTCATTTCTCAAGCTGCCACATATTTGATAGTCATGATGATGAAAGCGAAAAATAAAATAATGATTCACCAGGGTATCTATCAGGAATATAAATTATTGATTAGGTGTAAAATCAATGATGTTTGGATGTAGAATATTTCAGTTCAGCGTGTATATAAAGCAGAAAGGTGGCTGTGGAGTTAAATTATTGATCATGCAGATTTTGTTAATAAATGACTGTTTATTTAATATGGGGTTGTTTTAGAAAAGAGAAGAGAGAAATTAAGAATTGGTACTCTCCACGTGTTTCATTATGAAAAAATATCAAATACTCATGCATGAAGCATACAAAAGTTACTGGTGATCCGGAAGTGCTGAGTTTAGATCATTCCAGATATTGGATGCCTGAATTATGGATATTGGATTCTGGATTTCAGACTGTGTACCATATGCTATTTGGGCAAGTAGTTAAAGTTACAGAACGTTTTCTTTGAAAATTTGTTGTTGTTGCTGATGTTTGCTTATCTGATGTATAGTCAGCTGAAGCCCATGAAATTCCTCGGGGTAAGGAGCGAAAGATTACACCTGTCATTGGCAACAGCTCTTGAGCACCTTACAGGTGACAGTGCGATTTATCTCAGTTGGTGAGAAACAGATAGTTTTAGATACACACAAGCAGCTCATTTAATGCTTACAGTACATAATTTAATTAATATATTTATACAAAAACAATTTAACATAAACTTATATTTATTATTTAAGACAATTTTAAAAGCACACTGAAACATACTCATTGTATTTGAAACACTTACTAGAACATATTAATTGTGACCACTTGCTAGTGGTCACAATTCAGCTCTTGCTGCTCTTGCTGCTAATAATGTATCAAATGCATTATCATGGACAGTGTGGTGTCTGAGCATGAATTCTGATAGGTATGATTTCATATAATAGCAAGCCATACCTGTATGCTTTTTTGTTCTGCCATTTCACTGCTCCTCATAAGATAGAAGCTTGGAAATGATAAGTGTATTAAATATTTAAGAACGAAAAACATTTTCTTTAACTGAAGGAAAATATTGCAAATTATATGTGCAGGTTAGTAACCATTAGTTTCTCACCAAATTAGAAATATGCCAATTACTATTTCTCATGAAGGCCAATACATAAAAGTATTTTTATTTTTATATATAACTGAATTATAAAATTTTTCTCTTTCCTCCTTTTATCTTTTCTTAATATGTTCTAGTATGGTCTTTCATTTTATCTCCAATACCTAGCACACTGGCCAGAATATTTTCAAGTTGCCGAAGCTCCAAATGGTGATATTATGGGTTACAGTAAGTAAATAAACTATTCTGTAGTGTTATATAGTTTTTAGTACTCGTATCTTTTTAATCCTGGTTAGTTTTTTTCTTAGTAAAGAAAGTAGTTTTTTTTTTTCCCATAAATGGTTATTTAATTTAATTTAATTTAATTGATTTCCCTTTAAAGAAAGAAAATATTATATGTGTTACCGGGCGATGTATGAAACACCGGCATTCTATAGAATACCTAGACATTTTAGGCAAAGTATGGAATTTGAAAATTATTATATACAGTAAGACCCCACTTAATGTGGGAGATACGTTCCATCCAAGTAGAGCGTAATGCAAAACAGTGCTAAATGAGGCTATCTTAACATGTAAATAATGGGGTTAGGGGAAGATGGATAGAAAATTGGTTAGGCATTAATTTTAATAATGTTTTTTTAATAAAAATAAAACTAAAGAAGATGGATAGAAAATTGGTTAGGTATTAAATTTAATAATGTTTTTTTAATAAAAATAAAACCAAACATTTATTTCTTACAAAAATAAAAACAATATAAATGAATATACTTGTAGGGTTTATATTTATTTTAACTAACATTTATTTTAAGTTATCTTTCCTATCTAGCCTTTACTTTCCCCTAGAATTGCCAGTGCTAGAGTATGTAAATTGTAGTAGAGCGCGCAGTATATTTCAAATTTAGCAGAAGTAAGTTGAGTTTAAATAGAAAGGAAAAGAGATTGTAGGTTGTGCTACTTGAATTCGCGAATGTGAATATTGCTCGGTAGAAATTTAGAACCAGCGCGTGTTGGCTTGTGTGCCTAGCTCGGCAGATTTTGCTAGATCTTTCAACTGCTTAATCAGTAAGCTCGCTCGCTGAATCTCAACGGTAATTTTATAATGTGGTTAGGTTAGCTTAAGATCTCAGAGCCGCGTGGATAGTGATCTCGCTATTTATTCATCCAGTCATTATTTTTCAGTTCTACGTTCTGTTTCAGTTAAACTGCCGGGTTGGCGTAGTTTGTGAGCGTCAAGTGGATGCATCTGTTATTTTAAAAGTTGAATAAAAAGGGCTTTAAACCCTTCTTACATTTTTGTGTAAATTCACACTTAGTAGCAGTCACTACCACAGTTTGCTGACAAGTTGGGGCCTCTAGATCTTACATACTTATAAAAACAAATAAAATTCTCAGTCACATCATTCAGTCTATTCTGTGTTTCCGATTTTCTGCCTTTTTGTCAAGAAGGCATTATGATAGATTGGCTTAATGGCATATTGTGTTCAATTTCGTCGTCAATCCATATAGACAGTCATTTTTCCATTTCCTCTATAATGTTATTTCTAGAATGTTGCAGAGCTTGACGTAGTTGGCGATGACAGTATTTTTTCTTTATTCTTAAGAATTGTCCTTATTGTTGAAGTTGCCAAATTCAGTGCAGCACTAATTTGAGATTGATGTTCACCAGAATATAATCTTCTAAACGCTTACATTTTAGTTTCCAGTGAAATGCTTTTTCTGGTTGCTTTCTTTTCTTATTTTTTATTATCACCCATGATAAAGACTAAAGACCATAATATTTGTCACTGTATTAATCGTTATAGTATTATATAAGTTTATACTTACAATAATGTCAACAGATGTTTAAAATGATAAAAATGCGTCCATACGGCACCGCACCAAACAAGAAACACAACTACACTGTTTCGGATATGTTATTTGGAAAGCTAGTGCTACTCACAATTTCAGGAAATCCCCGTAGTGCTGCGAGCAATTTCGGTGAATCCCCGGGTTGAAATAAAAGAGCGCTAAACGAAACAGCATTAAGCAAGGTCTTACTGTACTTTACCTAGGCATTGTATACAATACCTAGGTATTCTATAGCAGCGGTCGCCAACCGGTGGTCCATGAAAACCTTTTGATGTTGCGCACAAAAATTGGGACATTATTTATATTTTTATGAAGATTCAGTTTAAAAAATGAAACCTATTATGGAATATGGATTCTATTTTTTTTTATTTAGCTACTACTTTTAGCGAAATTCCCTCTGAATTTAGTGACTTTTTAGCTACTTTTGCAGGTGTATCTAGTCACTAGATGAGTTGGCATCCATGGATATACTGCTGTTATCAGTAACAGCGCAAATTTGAATTCTCTTTCCTTTTGATTTACAAATATATGCTATTGTGGTCTTTAATAACACAGTTTTTCTCAATGCCAATAGGCATCTTGATGGATTTTTATGAGAACCATCTGCATTTTAAATTATAATTGCATCACTGGAAATTTCTGTTTTTGTTTTGTCTAACTGTTGATGGAGGCAGGTGCCATTGCTGAGTAAGCAGTGATTATTATGTTTACAATAATTAAACACTGGTGGCATAACACTGTCAGTTTATTGATATTGCTTTGCATTTGCCGGTTTGTTGTTGCTTTTCTTGTAATTCCTTTTCAGTGATATGGAAATGTGAACCTTTCTGTACAAGAAAATAAGATTTTTGCATACTTTTCGTGTATTTTTTCAGTGTGAACAAAATATGTGTAGTTTTCTGATTATTAGTGCATAAATGTATTTACCTTTTTTTTTAATTCATATTAGTGGTCTGCCAAATATAAAATTATATATGTACTTGTCTGTGAAGTTTTAAGGGTTGACAATCACTGTTCTATAGAATGCCAAATGCTGCTTAGGTAAAGTATGAAAAAATGGCATGATAAGGCTATTATTTAAAGAAAGTTCATCCCTTAAAAGATATAAATGCTGTTTTGAAAAAATAATGAAATGCTGTCATTAGAAAGCTTTTTCAAATTATGTAAAAAAAAAAAAAAAAATAGTGAGAGGATCTTGGCACATGATAATATATTTGTATTCTTTATGTGGCTGACACTGAAAATCAAAAAGATCTTCCTGAAAACAGAAATTAAATTCAGAAAAAATTATAGGTTTCATAACAGTACCTTTTTTAATACCTTTTTGGTTTTTCTGGCAGAGCTCACAAAGGTGTATGTCAATATTATTACATGTAACATTTTTGCATTTGGTTGAAATTTCTTTCAACATTCTGTCACGTCCTCCGTGTCCAACAGCCAAATGAATTTCGTGAATTACAGAAAATAACTCATTGTCCGTGACTGTGTAATACTGACACCTTCTTTAACAGGATAAATGACTATTTTGTTTTCTACAAATATCATACCATAGCAATTCATCAGCCAAAAGTCCCATGAACCTTTCTTAGTTTTCATTTTGGCATTGTTTGCATCACTTATTAACTTTTGGTAGGAAATGTTGGCTTGGTTTCAGTATAAATGTAAGTTTCGGTTATTTGAATTCACATTCTATACAATGCCTAGGGAGTGTATAAAATGTTTAACCATTTCGTACATTGCCAGTCAGTTTGAGGATTTCGATTAAACAGAAACTTATATGGGCAATTTTTAAATTTTTACACCCTGTGGATAAAATTCAATAATATAAGCATTAAAAATAAAGCTTATGAATCCATGTGCATTGAAACAGATGCATTGTATACACATGTTTTGTTGAATATGTACTCAAAAGAGTATGCCAAAGGACAGGGAAATTCTGTTAAATGTTGAAATTGGGGATGGAGATAATCAGAAATTACTTATGTTTTTTTAAAGTATTATTTTTAAAATTTTATTGAAGTAATATATGAATGGTACTTATGTATTAGCGCAACCACCTTAATAGAAGCTGACAAACTCTTGGAAAGTGCCAAACTTAAGAAATCATATGCTCAGAATAATTCTTTAACAAGAAAAACAGTGCCATTTTTGTGTTCTTTTTGTTATATTCCAGGTTCTAATGGTTTTGTAGAATTTTTGTCTTAAACTCTTTTAAAATATGTGCTTATGAGATTTGCATGTAGTGAAAGTAATTGTGGCACAATTTCTGCAGGGATGCAGTATTTTACTCCAAAATCGAGCATCGAAATGCTTTGAATATAATTTTTAAGAGATTGTCATGAAATTTCACCCAGACAAGAGAAATAAAAACCCGCTTATAAGTAGATTTTGTGATTAATTTTGTGAACGAATGCTCAATTAAAATGTAAAATGTACATGTAATAATATGTAAGTATGTAATTTGTAATTTTTTTTCAATGGTTTAAGCACCATTCTTTTCTTTTGTTAAAAATCACCAAACTATGACAAGGTAGTTGCACTAATACATAAGTACCATATTAATAAGCATTTCATGCATCACATAAATTTATCTATTTCATTTGAAATATTGTCTGAAATTATTATTATATTTCTTGCCTTTATTTTTTTTAGTTATGGGTAAAGCTGAAGGACATGGAGAAAACTGGCATGGTCACGTAACCGCATTAACTGTTGCTCCTGAGTACAGGCGACTTGGTTTAGCAGCTACACTTATGGCTGGACTTGAAGATATATCAGAAAAGTAACATATTTCAGTATCTCTTATGTTTTTTAATTTTAAAATATTTTCTTGAAATATTATTTATCGAGCTCATTATGTAGTTTTTGCTAATTCGTGTATACATATTGTGTCAGAATTATCTTTAAAAGCATAAATGTAATATTTCATAAAACAACCAGTATGATTTATTTTTTGTAGAATGAATAAAATGGCAAACTTATTATCATTATCCAATTCAATTTCATATTTGCTTTGGCAATATAGAGAGTGGCATGATGTCATCCAAAGGCATGGCAATTGCCATGTTTCAAAGTTTCTCATATTTTGTTCTTGTTGTTTCTTTGCTAGGACTGCATTCAGAAATGTTCCGACTTATTTAATTGTATCCTTTAAAACATGGCCGGCATGAGAAATACCAGGTTGTTCAATAAGTTCGCGGAACGGAAATTAAGAAACCAATTTTTATTTATAAAAATGACTTTATTTTTCAACGTAGTTTCCCTCAACTTCAATATACTTATTCCAACGGTCTTCTAATTTATGGATCCCTTGACTGTAGTGGTTTTTCGGCAGCTCTGCAAAATATCCCTCCATGACAGCTATTACCTCTTCGTTTGAAGAAAATCGTTTTCCACGGAGATATTGTTTGAGGTGTGGGAAGAGCCAGAAGTCGGAGGGAGCTAAATCTGGCGAATAGACTGGATGTTGCAACAATTCGTACTTCAATTCAGTTATTTTAGCAATGGTTTTTTGAGCTGTGTGCGCATGTGCGTTATCTTGATGGAAAATGATTTTCTTCTGTAATCCAGGTCTTCTTTCACGAAATTTTTCATCTAATTGATTCAAAAGGTTACAATAATAATCCAAATTAATTGTTTTGCCAGTTTGAAGGTAATCTATAAACAAAATTCCTTTCGCATCCCAAAAAACTGATGCTAACACCTTCTTGGCTGATTTTTGCATACAAACTCGCTTCGGCGCCGAAGAGCCGGGTTTCACACCTACCTCCTTAACCTCCTGTTTTGATTCAGGATCATGATGGTAGACCCGAAGTCTCATCAATTGTGTTAAATCGATGGATAAAGTCGCTTTTATTCTTCTTAAAACGCTCCAAATGTAGCTGGTAAAGTTGCATCCGAATGTGTTTTTGCTCCATTGTTAGAGAATGTGGTACCCATTTTGCACAAGAGTTTTTTGAAACCCAAATTAACACTCAAAATATATGCTCATTGTTCCCAATGAAATGCCTAAAGCCTCTGTTAAATCTCTTTCAGTCAATCGACGGTCTTCCAATCCATATTTGGTATTTTTCTGATGATTTCCTTCCTGTGTTGATGCAGTTTTTGGACGTCCCTCTTGCGTATCGTCTTCAAGGCTGGTATGACCACTTTTTGAACAAACTAGCCCACTTTGCAAACCATTGTTTTTGAAGGAGCAGATTCACCCAAACACATTCACCATTTCGGTATGAATTTCCATTGCCTTTAAACCTTTCTTTACAAAGAATTTGATAACTGCACGTTGCTCAATTTTATCCATACCTGAAAAAAGCCACAACACGTTAGATATAAAGGGCGGTTAAACAAGGGTTGAACGTAAATTAACGGATCGAAATGAAACTTTTGATGTGTTCCTAAGAAAGAACAAATATGAAAATGGCGTCAAAGTTTTAGGTCTAATATTGACAAATAGACGGCGCTCCGCGAACTTATTGAACAACCTTGTATAGCTGGACAGTCGGTATCATCATGCTAACAATGAGCTTCACACGCTTTAACAATGAGCTTCAATCACCAAATGCAAGTCTGTGTTTAGATGCGCTTTTGTATTCTTTTTAAAAATAGTTAGTATGACTAATGTTAAATTATTTCTGAATTAATCAGGTAAAATTACTTACCTGTCTTCTTTAAATGTTACCGAGCGAGTTAAGACATAATTTCTTTAATGATGACAAATGACAAAATCATTTCCAAGTTCTGCTAATGAATAAAACACTGAAATTTTTACCTTTCAAATTAAAACTGTACATCACCTAACTAACTGAATGATTTAAAAACAGTTCAAACCCTTCGTACTAATTTGTATTTCATTTTTCAGTATTTTTAATTCATGTAGTTGTTATGTATGTAGTCTGATATGTGTGATTTATAATATACTTTGTTGTGATAATTTTTATAACGATATGCACCATTATTATAACTAAACATCATTATAATGCCACGTATTTAAATACAGCATAATTATCTATGCATCACCACAGAATAAGTTTCTTTTCTATTTAATTTTTAATAATATAAATTTTGGATAGGACTGCATTCAGGTTAAATAATAAAAAATTGCAGTATATTTACAGTTAAATTAATATCTGATATTAAATTTATCTCTAAAGGAAGGCTTAGTAATTGAGTTAGAAGTCTGAATTTATTACTTTTAAGTCAACTATATAGTGTAAGATAGTTTAAAGAGAAAGATCAGAATTTTTAAAGTTATGGATAAATGATGAAACTAAAATAGGAAAAAATTAGTTTATATATAATGTTTGATTGTTTCTTTGGAAAATATAGGAAGGGACTATTAAAGGCATTGCAGTTTCTTTATAAATATTTTTATAATTTTCCAAAATATTTTATATTTTGAACTTTGTATTTTGATTTAGTTTTAACACATATCTGATGTGTATACTTATCTGATGTGTATATTGCTGTAAATGGATTATTTTCAAAATAATATCTATTTCATATAAGTAAAATTTATTTATTCTCATAGGAAAAGAGCATACTTTGTTGATCTGTTTGTACGAGTTTCAAATAAAGTTGCAGTGGATATGTACAAACAACTTGGGTATAGTGTATATAGGCGTGTTCTTGAGTATTATTCTGGAGATCCTGATGAAGATGCATTCGGTGAGTTTAATTCCTATTTAAATAGAATTTTGCTTTAAAGGGTTAAAATATGTAAATTACTTGTAGTTTTATATACTTATCATCTTGTGTAAAATTCAGAAATTATTATCTTAGTTAAATAATAAAAAATTGCAGTATATTTACAGTTAAATTAATATTTGATATTAAATTTATCTCTAAAGGAAGGCTTAGTATTTGAGTTAGAAGTCTGAATTTATTATTTTTAAGTCAACTATATAGTGTAGGATAGTTTAAAGATACATATCAAAATTTTTAAAGTTATGGATAAATGATAAAACTGAAATAGGAAAAAATTAGTTTATATATAATGTTTGATTGTTTCTTTGGAAAATATAGGAAGGGACTATTAAAGGCATTGCAGTTTCTTTAAAAATATTTTTATAATTTTCAAAAATATTTTATGTTTTGAACTTTTTGGATTTGGATTTAGGTTTAACACATACCTGATGTGTATACTTCTTTATTGCTGTAGAGATGTTGCAAAAGTTAAAATATAAATTTTAAAGTTTCAAGTTTGAAAACTTTTATTTCTAACTATCCCTTTTTCTGTACTTTTCAGTTAACAGGGTGCCAGTCACCAAATGTAGCCTCACGTTTAATGCATACTGTGCTGAAGCTGTACAAATTGCCAAATTCATGCAATTCTCTGAAGTCTTTTTCAGCCAAAACAGATCAGTGTGAGCAGCATGGACCTAGAAAAACTTCCCCCCATATAAATCCCTAGTAGCCTTTATTTTATGATAAATACAATTGAAGCAGTACAAAAGCATGAGAAACTTTCATTGAATCATATGAATACCATTTTATTCTGTGACATTTTACCATCTCTGATGCAGCTTGAAAATTCATTTTTTAAAAAAGTAAATAGATTTATTTGTAAATAAGTTATTAGAGTGCTGTTTAGCAGTCTCTAAAGAAGTGAACTAGTAAACCAAAGAAGTATAGGTATTGTAAGCAATATTTGTAATGCGACACGAAAATTTGGCATGACTTTAACTTATTATTGTTCATGAACCTAGTGGCTTCTATTGGAAACTTTATAATTCGTTAGCTGTATTGGCTTGTTTTTTAGTGTACAGTACCTGTTCTTTGGCATTGGTTGGAAACTTCACATCTTCAGGAAATAATTCTTTGACATCTTGTTCAGTCAAGAGATCAGATCCTTTAATATCACCATTTTCTTGGCACCTTAACTTACTCTCCAAATCTTGACATGCTATTGAGTTTTTTTTAAAATCTGGCAGATCTTTAGAGTCGTTTAAAAATCTCTGTGTGTGAAACTTGCGACTGTTCAAATCTGTCTGATAAAGAATGAGTACCTCTGTCCTGTATTACATTGAACACATGATTTTTATTTTTTTTTCCCTTCTGGTCATCTGCATTTGGAACCTCATTAGTGCATTGATATTCAAACAGCCTCTTTCTTTTTCTTATTCTTTTACTTTTAAAAATGGGTTCTATGTATAATACTATAGCTAATTCTTTTGTTGACTCTTGGACTTTTTTGTATATGTTTGCAAGGTAATTAAGTAATTAATGTTTTGTAATGTTTGCAAGGTAATTAAATTTATTCTGAATGTCACACTATTCATTAGTGAAACTGCAGACTATATTCTCACAGTGGCGTTCTTCATAGTTTTGTTGATGACATTTACCCTCTAGCATCTTGAGTGCTCTAGTGATAGCATCTTGAGCTGACACTGGATAGAACATAAACTGCTGGTGACACTGCCAAAAGCTCTATATCTAAAACATTCAAAACCCTTGCTTTAAGTATTCTACCATCTAATTTCATCCTGATCAGGACTAAAAAAGGAGAAGTTGCAGTAAAGTTTTAAATAATAAAATTGGTTAATTAATGTAAAATACCTTATACATCATATACCTTTAATTTGTGGCATAGAAAAGCATTTTAATTACAGTGTATATTAGCATCTTTTCTAGTTCATTTTTATCCTGTTCTTTCCTTCTTGTAGACCCATATTGAAAATAGACCCTGACATAATAAACTAAAGCAGAATAAAACAGAACTAATCTTATTCTAAATTGGCGGGGTGGGGTGGAAGGAAATCTTTTGATGCAGAACTGAGGATCTCTTGTGGAGTGTTACTAAATTGCTGTGTATCCAGATTTATAACCCAGAGAGAAGGTAATGCAAATACTAAATTCACATTTTACTTCAAAATTTTCGTCAAATGATTTATGTGGGGAAATGTTCCACCGGGAAAGGTCTTTTTGAACTGTTAGGGGAAATGTTGCCCCAGAAAAAGGAATTTTTTAATGGTTAATGTAATTAAATGATAGTTCAGGGAGTAATCGATGTTGAATTAAATAAATACAGCTATCTGATCCAACCTTAGATGAGAGAAACAAACTGATAATATTGAATAAGAACAGAGAGAGAAAGTTATAATTTTGTTATAACGCCGTTTAAAGAGTGTGGTTGTCCTTTGCAGTTCATCTCTTTAAAACTACAATTTATACAGGAAATATACCAATAATATATATTATATAAATATGTAGGATAAAAATTATGAAAGCAGACTTATAATTTTAATTGGCAATAGCCCCTTTTATTCTACATTTTAATTTGGGTATGTTCCCTTTCTGTCCTAAAAATAGCAACTATTTATAATATATCAATCTAAACCGCTTCGTTTCAAAATTAATCTATATCATATGATCTTGCATGAAGATATCTTTTAGTCAATCACTGAATAAGATTTCAGCTGAAACTGAAACCTTTTTGACACTCTAGCATGCTTCTTCTGAATGTCGGCATCTTTCCCACTTGCTTGCTTCAAACTAACATGTGCAGCAGGCTTTTTTGTACCATCCATTGCCTTAAGATCTATTGCTAGTTTCCAAAAATGTGGGGTGCGTATTGCACCTGTAATGATGTGAATCAGAATGTGTGTCTCAAGAATTGCTTTATCCAAGGGGAAAAAAAATTATGTTGTATCTGTGTTATATTTTTTGCAAGTTCCATACTTCGATTATGCTATATGCATTCTTTATAAAAGCACCATCTACAACCGTCAACCATGATTAAAAAGTATTTCTGTGTTCTCTCTCTGCATTATAAATTATTACAATTATTCTAAATTATATATATATATATATATATATATTAACAAAAGTTTAGAATTTCAAATTAAGCTAATTTATTATTAAAGTCATGCAATATGCTGTGAAAGTAATTAAATAATCAACAGATAATAATTAAAAATTAAATCAACAAAGGGTTTAACAGCCTAACAAGAAGTACACACATCCGTATGCCTGAAGCATCAATAAGTATTTAAATGACTTTTATAAATGTAAAATGTGTCAAAGACCTGTTAGTTTCCTGTTGAATATTAGTATTTTCATTTTACGTGAAATGATACATTGACTTTGTAGATGTTTTTTCTTTAACCATGAAATATTTTGCCAATGAATATGAGTCAGTTTTATTTCAGAGCCTTGTAGTGTAGTTGTGACAGTATCTTTTTTTTAAGCAGATAGCAGGATTTAGAGTTTATATGATTCTTTAGATCTCTCTCAGATACTCGAGGACTTTGCTGTAATTAATAATCAACTAATTAAACAGTTATTCGCCAGCTTATTATAAAATTATTCATTGATTGCATTTTGATTATTTTCTTAAGATCTATGGCTAGTTTCCAAAAATGTTTGCTGAACTAAAACTGCTGAATTATTTAATATTTATGTAGTTATTCACATATATTTTATTTTTCCAATATGTTTTTCCCAGATATGCGGAAGGCATTATCCAGAGATGTAAGCAAGAAATCTGTTATCCCTTTGACTCATCCTGTACGTCCGGAAGATATAGAATAGCATTATAACTGTCACCAAAAGAATTACTGCTGTGAAGAGAATCTCACTGTCATATGTAGCAGAACAATAGTTTTGGGAACATTTCAGCATGGGGAAGAAAAAAAAAAAAAAAAAAAAAGACTGCTTGAGAATTAAACATTTATATTCAACTTTTTCATATTCAAATACTATTAAACTTGTTCATACTCAAATACATGATGTTGTTCCTTCTGCCACTGAAAAGAATGTGCTTGATGCACTGAAAAGTTTTTCAGTACAGGTTATCATACTTATGAAATCTTGAAGTATTTTCATAATCTTCAAAGACTATATCTGAATTTCTCTTCTTAGTATGCTTAAATCATCTATTCCACATTTAGCATTTATATTTACACAACTAAACTAATGTTGTGTACTGAAAACAATAACCATCAACTTTTAAGAACCTTCAGTTGAACACATATTTTAGGTTTATTAAAAATTGCTCATTGATTAGAATAAAAAATTATTTAACCCTCTAAGTAGCACGACCACTTTTTTTTTTTTTTTTTTTTGGTCATTTGGTCATCAATTTATAAACAACAGTATTTTACTTTTAACTTATAAACAGCAGTATTTTGCTTTTAACTTATAAACAGCAGTATTTTGCTTTTTACTTTAATTAATGATGTAAGAATGGAAGTTTATGAAAACAGAAATTAAAACATGTAATTATACAAATTTAGCGAATAGATGGCATTTCAATACAAGTCTTCATGAGTAAATTCAAAAAGTTGTGCCACTCAGAGGATTAAATTTACTTACCACATTGATTATTTATTAACATAAAGGTGCTGAGTATTTTATGTCTACATTATGATTGCAGGTATACCTCAATAAGATGCGAGTTTTGTCTATTCAGCATAAAGATTGCTTCAGCTATTCATTATGTTTTTTAGTTATTTAAAAAAATAAATACATGTTTTACTTCCTTTTTTTTATTTATAATTTAAAGGTTTACTTTGTTTTAGCTGTAACTGAAATAAAAGCTGATTGCACATGTCTACAATAGTTTACTAATGGAAACTAATGTTTTAATGACAGATGATATTCATGGATGAATTTTAGCTTAAAACAGTTGCATTTTATTTTTTTTCCCATTTATTTGTAATTATTACTTAACCAGAAGATTAAATTTTATGTAATGTTCTAAATGTAATTATTGAAATTATTTTAATAACTGATCAAATTTGCTATTAAACTATTAAAATAGTAAATGCAATGACAATGTATAAAAAATTAAATGAGCGATATGTATAATATGAGTATTCTATGCAAAAATGACATAATTTATATATATTTATAATATCCTGCTCATTGTTGTGCATAGCTTCTTTTTTATTCATCCACAAATTTGTATATTTTTAGAAATAAAGAATATCTCTTGTTAAAAAGTAAAATTTATGGATGTTGCTTCACCTCATCTATAAAAATGTTTGCAAATTTTTGAATCTGGAATCTTGTTTGGGTATTCTTCTGTTATTGGAACCAGATTCAGAAATGCATGTATGTATGCATGGATTTATGTATTCATGTACATGCATATATGCACATACATACATTTCTGAATCTGGTCCCAGTACCCTTGTTTGCATGGTAGTTTGATTTAATGATAATGTGGTTTATTACATGAGAAATCCATCATATATTATAAATACAAGTAAGTTTTTTCAGCAAGTTTTATACGAAAGTACTCGTGTGTATTGGTTTAACAAATTGGCGCATAAAGCCACAACTGTTATGTCGCGAATTTTAATTATGTTAATATGTGTTTTAAGTTATCATTGTAACAAAGACAGGAAATGGTTGCAAGAGCCGCCTGGTTTATTGGTTTATGGCCTTTTTTACTATCAGTGAGAGCAGTTTTTTGTCATTTGCTTTGCTGGTGGCCATTTTACTAATGGCGTCATAACGAAAATCATCTTCCTTTCGCTTTGTTGTATTTGCAATGTTTCTTTCAGTGAGCTTAGGTAATTAGACTTTCTTATCGCTAGTTTACGCTTGCTAGTTGGGGGTTTAGTACCCACATTTTTTCCAAGTACAGTTGTTAGCTTCATTGTCAGATTTTCTTGTTTTTGATTCGTCGTGGGGGTGGAATTCCTCAGTTAAAGATAAACTAAAATTCTGGGATTGGTAATATTTAATTTTATGATTTTTTGTAGGCCTATGAACTTACAGAGGCAGAGAAACCGAGATTTCTTGGGAGGCTTGCACCTGGTTAGATTCTTTCGGACTCTGATTTTTTGAGCTAAAAGGAGAAAAAGAGTGTGGGGGCTTGACCCCTTGCTCTCGCAAGCTCTGACTGTTAATTCAGATTTCGGAGCGGAGTCCCATATGGAATGATCTGAGTTGTAACATTTTTAAGTCTCGTAAGAGTGCACGAGGACTTTTCGCCCTGCGGCTGTCTTCAGCCCAAAATGTGTCGGGATTGTATTAACTAAGCTACTATAAGAGCATTTTCTTCTAGAAAGATTTAAAATAACATGCTGATTTCCAAGAGTACTTTACCAACAACTTTTAGCACTGGATACTTCTGGCATCTTCTTCTTTATTCTTTGAGAACTCTCTGCTGTTATGAATGCAACGTTGGAGGCGAATTATAAAATCTGTGAGGAGTATCCGGCGTGGTGCGGGTTTCAACAACGGTTCTTCGGAGGTCATTGACTACCTTCCGCAAAGAGATGAATCCATGAAAAAGGAAAGAGACTTTTGTCTGTGAGTAGGAGGATTGTAATGTTCTTAACAATCAAAGAGATGAATTCGCAAAAAGGAAAGAGACTTTTTTCTGTGAATAGAAGGATTGAAATGTTTCTAAGAAATCTTAAGAGATGAATCCATGAAAAGAAAAGAGACTTTTACCTGTGAGTAGAAGGATTGTATGGTGCGAAAGAATCAGTGAGTGATGATTTTGTATTTTTTTTTATTTTGAATTACCTTAATGATTATTCTCAACAGGCTGGAGTTGTCAGTTTAATGTTTGCTGAAATTAGAATATGATATGGTAGGGTTAAATTTGCTTAAAAAATTAATTAATCGTTACACTGCAAATTTCTTTATTCTTATAGGAAATTACCATGGTTAAGACTATGTTAAAAATGAAATGAGTAAAATATTAGTGTTACAATTGTGATACTGTAGAATTTGAGAATGTTAACTTAAGTAATGTGTAAGCTGTATTTGGGTCTGATATTCAGTGTTATTTTGCATAATATTATTATGGTAGGGAACTGATCAGTTTACCTAGTTATCTTATGTTTGAATATTTTAGAAGTTAATAAAAGAGTTTAATATATATTTTATGTTTTATTTGTTTAATTTTGTATGTAATTTACTTTGGTTTGTCATGCCTCTCCATTTGTTTGAGCCAGGAGGCTTTTTAAGAAACATGGAGTTTAATTGAATTTGGATTATTGTTTTTCCCTAGTAGGCTTCACAATGCACCCTATTGTACTAACTCATTACCATTATACGATTGTTTATACAATTGATCTTATGATATATGATGAATGTGATTTTTAGTTAGTTTTGTCCGGCACCATGTGTTAAGTCGAGTTAAAGTTTAAAAAGTATAAAACACCTCACTTTAGTACACCTCACGGATTTTAAAATGATTCCCTCCGACCCTGCGTTCATAACAGCAGAGAGTTCTCAAAGAATAAAGAAGAAAATGCCAGAAGTAATCAGTGCTAAATGTTGTCGGTAAATTACTTTTGGAAATCAGCACATTATTTTAAATCTTTCTGGAAGAAAATGCTCTTCTAGTAGTTTAGTCGATACAATCACCACCCATTTTGGGCCGAAACCAGCCGCAGGGCGAAAGTCCCCGCGCACTCTTACGAGACTTAAAAATGTTGCAACTCAAATCATTCCATATGGGACTCCGCTCCGAAATCTGAATCAACAGTCGGCGCTTGCGAGAGCAAGGCCCGCAAGGTGTCAAGCGACCCCCCACTCTTTTTTTACTTTTCCTTTTAGCTTAAAAAGTCAGAGTCCGAAAGAATCTAACCAGGTGCAAGCCTCCCAAGAAATCTTGGATTCTCGGCCTCTGTAAGTTCATAGGCCTACAAAAAATCATAAAATTAAATCTTACCAATCCGAGAATTTTACTTTGAGAAATTCCACCCCCACAACGAATCAAAAACAAGAAAATCTGACAATGAACTCGGAAAAAACGTGGGTACTAAACCCTCCCCCAACTAGAGATAAGAAAGTCTAATTACCTAAGCTCACTGAAAGAAACATTGCATATACAACAAAGTGAAAGGAAGACGATTTTCGCCCTTTATTTTGTTTTGACGTACAGATGTCAGGCAAAAACATCATTAAATTGCATTCAAAATGGATATTTCCGTTGAAATATGATACCTGAAATTTTTCGCAATTACAATACTTCCTTTTTACTTCATACAAGGAAGTAATAACTATAAGGGTAAAATAAACTAAAATCATCTGTGATATTTGTTTTCTGAAAACTTGTGTTTGAGATTTAAAAATAATAAAATATAAATTTAATAAACCATTTTTTAAAATAACTTTTGTTCATATTTTTAGTCTAATTGTTTATGTGCAATTATTTGTATTATGATTATGTTGTTTACTGCATATTATAGAGAAGAATGTAAGGGGGTTGATGAAAAAAGCCATTCCTTTAAGGGGTCAATATCATAATTATGTCATTGAAGGGGACCCAGATTTTACAAGTGTCCGTTGACTCAACCGATGGAAGAAACAGGACCATATTCATCTGCAGGCTTGGTGCGAGACTTTATGCCGCTCGAAAAATGGGTTTTTTGGAAGTGGACTTTTTGCAAACTCCATTTCCAAAATTTAACCACCCTGTGCAGTATGCTCTGCTTCTAGCCTTGTCCATCATCAGTTAAGTGTTTGTGGTGAAATACTACGTCAAATTTTGAAGGAATTAATTGAAACTGAAAGTTAACAGATCAAATGTTTAATTGTGATGAGTCTAGTCTTAATTACTAAAGGTTGCGCAGTAAGAATCTTGCAGCAAGAACTAGAATGGCATCCTCTGATATAATAAAGAAAAGCTGAAATTTTTTGCATGCAGTTATGCTACAGTGAATCTCAAAATGGACCTTATAATGATTGGAAAGGTCCTAAAATCTTAAATCCTTTACAACAGTTTTAAAAAAACACTTCAGTTAAAAAAGCAAATGGATGAGATTTATTCTTTCAACAGTGAAGTTTTTGAAAGAAAACAATTTTCTCAGAAAAACTATTTTTTTACTAAATAGTACTCCAACACGCCCTGATGCAGAGGAACTTCATAATGGCATTAAAGTAATGTTTCTGACCTTCCAGTGTTCAGTTGATATATGAAGTCAGTGACACCAGACTTCATATATCAACTGGATCAGTGCATTTTGGAAACAATAACACTATAATTAAGAGTTTTTCTCATTGAATAAATTATGTATTTAGTTAAAAAAGGCATTTAAAAATTTTATATGTAAGTAATAAAAATTTTATTTACATTTTAAATTATGTACATTCACATCTTTACAAAGACATATATATATGTCAGATGATCAGTCTGTTTACAAAATGGCAACTGAGTTCAGCTGTCCATGTTTTCTGTTTCAGATGTATTGCTTTCTTTAGTTGTTTCTTGAGATTTTTTCCACTTTTTGGCAAGCTCTAGTAGTTTTAAATGTGGTTTTGCAACTTCATCAGATGGGAATATGTAGTCATAATATTCTTCCCATCCTCCTTCAGTCTAAAAATATATATATAAAAAAATATTTAAATACACATTATTAAAATGAGAAATTTTTCAATTTTATTCTAATACAAGTCATTGAATTTTAAAAGAAATATTAAGTTTCATGCATTTTTTAACACCATATAAAAACAATTTCAGTTTTTTGGATTTCCTTATGAAAAGCTGTATTTGAAGAACATTTATTAGATTCCTATAATTGTTTGTTTTACACTTTGTTTTCATAAATTTCCACTCACCAGGATTCCTAATGGTTCCAGTTAATAAGAAAACATATTTTAAATAACAGTGCAATCCACGTAACAACAGATTTCATGATGAGATATAAGTGGTCTTGCCACTTATAGGGTGAAAATAAGACATTAAAAATTCATTTATCTTTTTAAAGTTTAGTGTCTGCCCCGAAAATACAAACATTTATGCTTAAATAGTAAATTCAGTGTATGTTATAGATTTGAATGACATTTTCAGGTAAAAAAAAAGTTGAACTTCTGGAGAATATGTGCAATATTATAATTGATAGAAGGATGAAATGGAATGACAACAAATTTATTAATGCTATTTCCAACAGCTGAATGTTTTCTTTGATGGCAAGCTGAAAATTATTTAAAAGCTTTATTTTAATAACCATGAGAGAAATTAATGGCAGTTGATTTGAAATAACCAAATTCATTCAAAAGATTCTGAAAAACAAACTTTAAGCATGCAAAATATATAGATAAGAGTAAAAAGAAGCTATCTTTCGCTAACAAGGGGATATAATTTGCTAAATCGAACAAAGTCAAATTCATTGTGAATTATTAGAATATTAAGAAAATTAAGGGAATTGTCAGAATCAATATCAAAAGTAAACTAAATAGCTGGATAAGTCGAGTCCATGACAAAATCAGGGATAAACCTTTTTTATTACCATCAAAAATCACAAATGTGCCATCTAACATGCCATAATGTTAATATGTAACGTTCTAATGTGCTGTAGTAAAAACAGAACCAAAAAGAAATTTTTTTTCAAATAATTTGACATAAAATATCAGCAAGTACTAAACTAAGGGGATTATCTATAGCTTGTTCTTCAACGTGGGATATTCTGAAAAATAGAACTCTTGGCTTCAAAAAAATTTGTGAGAGAAATTAACTCTTCAATTTCAGTATTTGTGATTTAAGATACTTTAATACTCCCTTGACTGGAACATTAGTAAACAGTGATAAAATCAATAGAAATCATACCTGAGTACTGAGGAGAAGTATTTTTATATTATCTAAAGAATTATTATTTAAAAAATCTAAAAACTAATTATTTGGCTAAAGGGCATGCCAATGTCAAAAAGAACTCTATTTTTGGAATTGTAAGAAAAGCACAGAAAATCTAGCACAGTTGGCAATAGGTAGTATGAGCAATTCTTTAAGCTGAGTTGAGAGTATATGAGAAGACTTGATAATTGTTTTCACTTTCAGAAGATCGGAAGCTGTAGGATCTTAAGAATTAAGCTATATGGGCTTTAATTTATCAGTTTCACGACTCCACTGATGTATGTCTATTTGTCCATAAAAATTATCTGTTGGAAATAATAATGTTTAAACTAGAATGAATTTCATGTAATCTTGGTTTAATCTTTCCTCGTGGTTAAGATTAAAATGAGCAGTTTATTATTAAAATAATGTTATGTAAGTGGCAGATTGTATCTTTCTGTGCTCCTAAAATTTTACTGAAAGCTTTTAGAATAGGAGCAATAATTTCAGGAGCTCAAGGTTTGTGTGAATCTCAACAATGGAACAGCCTTACATGAGTTACTTAAACCTCTTCAGTCTTCATGACAGTGATCAATATATATGTGGGGCTATTTGGGTCTCAGGTCACTACATCTTCGATTGCCTAGAAATGGCTAGATTTCACCTTCAGAAACCAGCTAATGAATACTGCTATTTTGCTTGAGCTAAAAACATTTTTAATAATCAACATATCAGTTTTGATTTGCAGCAATTTAGAAAACCATGGTACAATTTCTGCTGTTATGCTGTAGCTATCCAAATTTATGGGATTTATATAAAACTATACATAAATATGTACACTGTGCAAAAAAAGGGGGAGACTGTTCTATATTTCCCATTCTACTGGGTTGATTGACAAAATTCAAGTCCTGTTTTTCATGTCTCGAAAGCGCGACAGGATATGTATTAGATTTTTATATAGCATTGTTCTAATATAGGTATTTTGACACAAAAATCAGACTTTTCTGAAATGACATGCCAATTTTTTTCCATGTTTTGATCCTACGACTCAAATTATGCCAAATTGCCAAGTTTTGTAAAACTTGTACAAGTAGTTTTTAAAAAATTAGCTCTAAATATTTAGCTCCTTAATGTTAATTGAATTTGATATATATTTATTAATCTCTCTTTTTTTTATTAAGCTTACATGATTCCTTCTTCCAGAATTTGAAATTTATAACCCAAATTTGCACATTTTTTACGATTTATTTTTTAAATTCGTATTTAATAAATAGTTTAATATTTTTATAAATTTTTCGAAAATATTTTTGTATTATAAACCTACAAAATTTTTAACATAACCTTAAAGTAGTATTTCTAGGCACACCTGCAAAAAATTACAGTTTTTTATTTAAAATTTTCTAATATATGCAAGCGTTTTGAAATTTGGCTCTTTTTTTTTTTTTTTTTTTTTGAGCGATAATAATGCCAAACGATAATACACACTTTGTTAAAATTATTTGAAAGTATGAACGATGACTTTTTTCTGCTCATCTACAATGAAAAAGAAAAGGAAGGTTGCTATAAATTAAGAAGTTCGCCAAGTACTGGCGAAGACTGAAAAAAATACGCCAAGATAAATTTTTGAATTTCTCTGTAAATTTCGCACCAAATTTGGAAAAAAATTGGCATGTCAGTTCAGAAACATCCGATTTTGTGTCAAAAACCTATGCTAGAATGATATTATATATAAATCTAATATATCTTTTATAAGTCGCGCTTTCGACACACAAAAAACGCAGTTTGAATTTTGTCAATTGGCCTAGTAGAACGGGAGATGTAGAACTGTTCCCCCTCTTTTTTGTGCACAATGTACATGTTTTACTACGTGATCAGGTTAAGCTTACTAGTAACTCAATGCACTAATGGCTTCATATATATATTACACAATAGTATTAGCATGCATATATGTCTGTAACATATCAGTGTCATGGTACTTACTTATTTGCTTATTTGTATTATCAATTTATGTCTTATTATTCCCACATGTTTGCACTACTTATAATGCCTATACTGCTATTATCCATACAGATATTCCCAACTTGTACATACTCATTACATTCACATCGATATTTATATGCTGCATGAATATATCAAAATGTATGTTTAACTGTAGCAGGGGTTTCTGCTTCAACATAATAGCTAGACTAGTTTATGTTTTTTTAGTGATCTTGTGTATTTATATACAAAATTATTGTGTTTGCAACAGAAACTGAATATTTGTATATTTGAATGAGGAGTGTTTGCATCAACATATTTTATTAATATTAACTAATATTTTATTAATTAACCAGTTAATAAATTTTTGTTTATACTATCTGTAACCGAATTTGGTATCAATATATCACTAATGTGATTCCTACATCAACATATTTAGGACTAGTTTATGTACTTTTTTGGTTTGCATACAGTGATAATGCTTCATAGCCACCACAATGCCCACTCTTCACTCCAAAACATTACTCTGTTTATGTTACCTACCAATTTTTAATTCTTTCATTTGTTTTCCCTTACAGGTTTTGGGGAACATGACCTAGGCATATAGAAATAATTATAATTGTCAGCAGGACTTGAAACACACTGACAAGTACCTTTCCTAAGAGGACCTGGCTGTCCTGCCGGTGAAGAAAAGAAAAGGGGTGGGAGGAATGCTTCTGAAAACTTGAAATTATAATTTATTCTTTCATCTGATCCTCCAAAATCAGAGATGTTAAGAACAGGATTAGAAATTACAATTGGAAAATTAACAGAATTGGTGGGGTTAGAAAATTGGAGTGCTAGCTTTTGGAATTTAGAAGCAAGAATGATATTGACAAGTAGTTTCAGTTCTAGACTAAGATTTATGATCAATAGAGAATTTTAAATAGATTTGGCACTTCTGAAACGAAGATGATATAATTCATACTCAATATTAGACAAATGTTCATTTGTTTTTTATATGATGGATAAGTTACAATTCGAAGTTATGTACAATTTCAGAAATGTGAACTGAAAATTTAATGTTGCATTTGACTTGTATAAATTTGGGAATATTCTGACATCTGCATTTAAGCAAGAAAATAGAGATGGTTAACACATTTTAAGGTTGCTCTTTTGCCTAATTTTAAATTGGCGTATTTCTCTATTTCATTAAACTCTATTTCATTAAAAAACATTAAACTATTATTTCATTAAACATTATTATTCTATTTCATTAAATACATTTTATCACTTCTGAAAAAGACCACAAATACAAATGGAAATTCTCTACCTGAGGAAACAGTCAATTCATAGAGAAAATACATAGAGGAAATACATAAATACATAGAGAAAATACATAAATACATAGAGGAAATTCTTTTTGGATACAATAATTTTAAAAATGGATATTTGTTTATATGTGTAAAACAATGCCTAATCTCTATTTGTAGTCTTGAAATTTTGATTATAAATATTTTAACGATTTATACATTATTTAACGATTTATGCAAGTCACGCACCCTACCACATGATATTAGAAACATCATTAGCAGGAGTATTTTATACTTTGTCAATTTGTCTTTTGCATTGCATACAATACCTACAAAAATGCCTGCTTTTCATACTTAGTAACATATACATTTTTAGCATTAAAATTAGATTTATATTGCCTGTATTTAAAATTTCAGATGATGTTTATTTGAACTATATTTTAACGTAGTGTCCATTTAATGAAGTTTCCTCATGGGATTCTGTTATTTTTTTAATAGAAGTCCAACTGTTCAGTTAGAGTAAATGCATTATAATGTTTACATAGTGTCAAATTTTCTGAATTTTCTAAGAAAATTTTAAAATATGAATTTCACTCCAAGCTAAGAATCTTAATTTCTACTTGTTTTATATATTAAATGTAGTGTACATAAAAAATATATATTAAACACTATTTATCTATTTAAATATAAACAAAATTTTTTGAATAAGAAAAACCATATATCCCTACCACATAAAAGCTTCAAATACTTTAAGCAGATTTAAAAAATAATAAATACATAGAGGAAATTCTTTTTGGATACAATAATTTTAAAAATGGATATTTGTTTATATGTGTAAAACAATGCCTAATCTCTATTTGTAGTCTTGAAATTTTGATTATAAATATTTTAACGATTTATGCATTATTTTCCTTGAAATTTTTTAAAATATATAAGTAAAATGATAAATATAATCCATATACCCCATCTTCATTCATAATTTTCCTTCGCTTCTTAACTTTCTTTGGTAATAGTCTTTCAACTTCTTCCTTTGAATGCTCATCTCCATATTGCTCCTTTTATGAATCAGAAAGAAAGAAAATAAAATAAATAAATAAATAAAATGCAATTTAACAAATTAAAAGTTTTCATTTTCTCATTGAAAAAATATACTCTGTACACAAAAATTGTAAGTAAAAATTTTTCATGCATATACTGGATGCTTAATGCTTTAATGCAGCATTACTGCCATAACTACTAAATTGAATGAACAGTAGGAAATGCATATAATTTTAAAATTAATCAAGGTATTAATCTTTTACTTTTTGCTTCTATCAGTTTGATGGAAGCAAGAAGACTATTTCCTACACCTGTGCACTACTGCACAAATTTTCCTAATGTTTAAAACTCATTAAAAAACCAACTAAATGTGTACAAGAAGAGAGACTAATGCTTAGAATTCATTAGGAAAAAACAGCTGCATCAGCTTATGTGATTTTTTAATCACACATTACATTTAGAAATATAATTACTGTTAAATTTCTTCAATGAAAAATTAATACTTTTATAGTGTTTTTCATGAAAATTTAAGTGACCTTTTAAGAGACTGATAAAACTACAGTAGTGACCAAATTTTATAATTTTGTTCCCCCCCTACCCCCCCCCCCCCCCGAGAGCAATATAATAAAATTATTCGGTGGAAGGATAATTTCATCAAGAATGTAATGCAGTTATAGAGAAGAAAACTGAAATACATAAAGAAAACGAAATATACAAAAATTCTCACCATATCCAACAATGGAATATGATTACTTTGAAACCACTTTTTGCACACAGCAGCAGATACTAAGAAAAGCTAAATACTCTTCAGATATAAATGCTTCATTATATTGGAAACATTAATGTACTTACAACTTGTTAGTTTAGTTGGGCTCATATTCTTTTACATCCCTCTAGACATTTATATTTCTCTTAATCACTCAAATTCTGCCTCTATCTTTTGATATCATATAACCTAGACCATGACAGTAATTGAATGTTTCATGTAAGGTGCAATGCAATCAGGACTAAAATCTCCTTACATATTATATGCCATCACTAACAAACACCAACATTTTGGTTTCATTACTATAAATAACACAATTCCATTGTTCCACCATCCAGTTAATAAAAGTTTTAGCCCAGTTTAATTTGTCCATTGTTTAAGAGATAAAAATGGTTTTTGTTCCAGCATGTAAGCATTTATACATTTTCCTGCAGTCTGCACCAAAACGGTGCTTTTGCTCAACTTCACATTTTATAGCACCATCTCTTCTTGTACACATTTAGTTGATTTTCTTATATTAATTAAGCACAGTCTCTTAATTCTTCACTTGATCATCACTTGATGTTGCAGACTTTTTTCTACTTTTACTGGCTTGATTTTGTAGTGATTGGCTCTTTTTGTACCCCTTCAAAAATTTAGAAGGGCCTCCTTGATTTAAGTTCAATCAATCCTACTCCATTGGCGAACAAGATGATGATGTTCGACTGTCTTAACACCCATGAACAGCAACCCCATTGAAATAAAGGAAATCTATTTCATATGAATCTAAGCTAGTTATTCATCTTTTTTTTTTTTTTTTTTCCTGATTATTTGGCTATAACTTTTGACAGAAACTTTGATGCATTTTGCTCTTGATTAAATATCTTTTCATTTATATATAATTTTATGGTATAAATCAAAAACAGAATGGTATTTTATACCATCAAACCTTAGAGCTACACTTTTTCCAAAAGGTTTCCACAGTTTTAACCACTTGTCTATTCACTTATTTGGAACTGTCAAGGTAGGTACACTAACTACCATCAATGGGAAAAAGCTGCTAAAAATAAAAAGCGGCAGAAGCAAGGTCAACAGTATTGTTTGTATCATGAATGCCTCCAAACATTGTCAACTTGAGGTTGTGCAATTTCTAATGGCTGGAAATATGAATGCTGGAGAAATTTATCGTTGCATACAAAATGTGTATGTTACGCAAAGACAGTATTTAGATGGTGTAATGATTTTCATAAAGGAACAAGCAGTACAGGCGACATGGCATGACCAGGTCAAAGTATATATGATTATCATCCTGTTAGCAATTGCAGCTGTGAACAGTTTCATGATAAATAATTGGTGAATCATAACTCACAAGATAGCAGATGAAATGTCTATGAGCAAAGGAAGTGTTCATATACTTCTGCATGAAAGGTTGCAATACCGAAAAGTTTGCACGCAATGGGTTCAGAAACATCTCACGCAGAAGAGTTACCGCATGGATGTTTCCACTAAAACCTTATGCATTATCATGAAATGGGTAACCATATCCTTTTACTGCTGCTAACAAAACAACATGATATCACTGATCCAGCCACCAAACACATAAGTGTGGAATGGTGACACCCTTCATTCCCATGGCCAAAGAAAGCTTATTCATCCATGAGAACTGGAACAGTCATGCTTACGCACTTTTTCAACATCAAGACTTATACATAAAGACTAAACAATAAAGAGAGAAAAATTGGTTTGAAGAAAGGAAATTTTATTTATTTTTTTAACCATTTTAAGAAATATAAGCTAAACTTCATCAAATATAATTTTAAGTTCTGATGTTTTAATTGAGTTTTTTTATCAGGGCAACTAACTGGATTTTTCACTGAAATTATTAAAATTGGGGACTCGTGAACATTTGAATGTTTATATATAGCATGAGCAATGACAGAAAATTTAAAATTGTGTATGTGAGAAGATAGATTACCTCAAACTCTTTCCATGCTTCTAGAAGCATAAGTCTCTCTTCCTTTTCACTAGAATTTTTCAGACTTTTGTTTGCTTTCTCATAAACATGCCTTGCTTGCAAAATAGCATTTTTTCCTTCTCCACAGCCAAGTTCAAATCTTGCAAAACTTATCCAAACCTGTAAAAAAATTATATCAATTTTAGATACAGTTAGAAAATTATGGAATACATTGAAAAATAATATAAAATATGAATAAATTTTCATGTCACAAAAGAATACTTTTCTAAATTTAAATAAACAAAATGATATTCATTCACATTAAAAAAGCAAACATATACCAATGAAATACTCGAATAGTTTTTACCTTTACATGTTGTGTTCTTTCTAAAAGTCTTTCATACAATTGTCTTGCAAGGTCAAATTCTTCCTGCTCTATTTCAAAATCAATGTATGCCTTCCATATAACTTCAGGCATATCCAATCTAGGCTGGTTAATGGCAACTTCGTATATAGCACGAGCACGTTCAAAATCTCCAAGAATGGTTTCAAGCTCAGCAAACTACAATGAAAATGAAGGAGGAATATATACATATGAGTTTAGCTTAAAAAAGAATAACAATATGAAATTCTTTTAAAGATTGCTTAAAATACTTTATTGTAATTTAATTTTTGAAACTAAACTTTCTTTTAATATTCCTTTTTGGTTGCACAGTATATTATTATATTGGAAAATAGTCTGATCCTATTCTTCATTTCGGAAAGAGAATTCGATCGTCCCCCCCCCGTATCTTTTTCCATGTTTAGGTCATTCACTCAGTGGCTGAGAGATTTAAACTGCCGAATACTGGGTGTTTGACCCAGGTTTGGGCTGGCTGGTTTTTACTATTTTTGCTGTTTTCCAATATGTTATGTGATATTCATATTCCCTCAACAAGTCCTCCATGAAGGCTTGTATGTATTATTTAAATAACCTGACATCATTAGCTCCACTCGTCAGTATCCATCCTGCAACTGGAACAATGAATCTTAATTCATCCAATGTGGAGTTCATCTCGGACAAAAAAAAAAAAAAAAAAAATTGCAAAACTTGATTTAAATTTTAAATTTTAACAAACCGGGGATCAGAAGTTTACTAACGTTTATTTTATTTTAAATCTTTACTATCACTTCTTATTTTCTACTTCCGGCCAGAATTAAAAGCGTTAACTTATTTATGCAAAATTTGTCTGGCGAACGCCAAGTACTTAAGTTGTGGCTTTTTGCCAAGCGAGAGAGAGGAGGAGTTAGTCGAAGCAGGCCGCTTACCTTAGAAGTTTTACTCAGTTGCTGGTTGCCTTCCAGGCCAGAGGTTTTAATCCTCGTGATAATTTTTAAACGTATTGTAGTGTGTTAACAGTTCTCTGTACTACATACGGCTTCCTGTTAATATAAGGCCAATCTTCCACGTTTATTATTCCAAAGTTAAGTTAGAGTTTAGTTAAATATTTTTATATTCTTACGTTTAGACCACAAGTAGTGGGTCTTTGTATTCCGAAGTACGGAAATTATTGTAAAGAGAGAAAAATAAAGGGTTTTGTATACCCTTCTTGTGTATCCTGTCTACTTCCCACAGTTATTGAACATAGCTTTAGTAAGCTCTCTGTTCCGAGTCAGGTCCTTGCATGTTCCCGAAGAAGGTAGAAGAACATGACCTGAAAATGACGAAAATTATTTTCTCCAAAAAAATTTTTAAACCAAAAAATGGGAAAACTTTAGAATAGTCGTCCTTATGCATTAAACTACCAATCACAAAAGGGGGAGGAAGAAGTAAATTTTCTGATTTTGCAGAAGGAAAGAAAACCACAGAGTACACATTTACATTAAAGTACAATATGATGCTATTAGTAAAGCAATCACATAAAAGCTTAGCAAAGAAAGGTTGTTTTCAAAAATCTTGTCATGGCCGTAATCAAGGTAAAATACTTGCAGTTAGAAACTACATTTACTAATAAACAATGCACAAGAAATATTTTGATATTAAATAAAAGCATTCTTATAGACAGATCTTAAAACTTTTATGGAAGCAGGTTACAAAGAATTTGAATAATAAAATATAGGAAATTTTATGTAAGAATTTTTTAAAATGCAACCTCCTTTAATGTTTTGTCAACAATTTCAAATTTCAAATTAAAATTCACTTCAGTGAAATAAGCACTTCAGTGAAAAGTTTAAAAATGTCAGATTAAAAAGAAGGAAAAAAAGTTTACTCTGTAAAAAAATCATTGCTGTAATATGTATAATAATAAAAAAATTACATTTATACTTTACATCCCTAAACAAGCCATATGTAACAATCTATTTCAACAATATGTAAATGCAAGGATCTTATATTGGGCATATTATTGAACTAATTAAGATTTAGAGTATAACAAAATGCACTTTAAATTTGAAATTTTTTCATGCAGAGATATATGGTTTACGAATTAGGGAAACTAATGGTATTCCATCATAAAAGTAAATTCTAAAAAAAATTAGCTAGTTTAAGAGTACAGTACAAAGTCCGTAATCCGGACTCGTCGAGACTTGCACTTGATCCGGTGATTCCGGATTAAAGATCATCAGTTTAAATCTGATAAAATGGCATGCAGAAATTATATAATTAAAAATATGAAACCATAATTTATGAAATAAAGAACGATTATGATCTAAAAGGTATCAAAATTTACAAAAAAAAAAAAAAAAAAAAAAAAAAAAAAGCTTAATATTTATTTCTTTACTTTAGCAAACATTTCTATCAATGTAAGTTGTTTAAGTTGCTTTCTCTTTAATTCTATAAACAGACATAATTTCTTGTTCATTTACAGAGTTCCACTGTTCAAGTCCTGTAACTGTGTCGAGAATACTGACTAACTTGTCAATAGAAATTTTTTTACCTTCAATAACGTTCTCTGTTACTTTCTTCACTATCAGAAGCGACACATGGGTAAACGCTTTACTGGCTTTATGCACATGCATAGCAGTTGCGTGCATCAAACGCACATGTGTAAACGCTTTACGTGCATGCGTAAGTTTGTGGCTTTGGGGTCCGGATTATAGATCATTCCGGATAATGGATTTTTGGATTGGAGCCTTTGTACTGTATTTATTTAGCTATACTAATGAATTAAATATGCCAGAGGTGGCCAAGCTCCTTGAAAATCTGAGCCATTTTTCAAAATTTGAAATTTTTCGTTAGCCGCAATTAAATACGTATTTAAAAGGTATGCAAAAAAGGAATTAAAAAAAAATTTTTTACAGAAATTATATTTATTGAAAACATATAAACGTACAAAATATGTGTATTGAATTTAAATATTTAAAATTAAACACATTTATTTTACTTTTCTTGATAATTCTTTAAAATTTGGTGAAAAATTGGTGACAGCACTTCTCAGTAATTCTTTGATATGCTGGTTAGTTAATACTGTTTGGCGTCTGGACTTCACGAATTTTAAAGTGGAATAAAATTGCGGTATATCGAGAATTATTGACGTGTATATCATAATCGGACTAAAAGCTGGCACAGTGCCAAGCATCGAAGCTCGCCCAGTAATGAGAAAAGGACTGGAATGCGAGTAGCTGTAGATATAAGTGTGCATGAGAGTGATGATATGTTTTGTATATATAATAAAAGTAGCATGTAGAGTAAAAGAGTGTATCTTGTGAAATAATTACCCACTAAAGGATACACGAAAGCTGGCGATAAGGATGTGCAATTTTTAAAAAATGTGCCTAATGCAATAAGGATTTAGGGAATTCCCCAAAGACGGCTCAAGGTAAAAGCTTTAATAATCATTTTTTCTTCGGAAGATCATGGAGCAGCTTGTAACTGAGTTAATAGTGCAGAATAGAGCTCTAATGGAGAGACTTACTTCAGTTATTACTCCACAAATGGACAATTCGAAACTTTCAGTTCAGTTTGAAAATATAATGAACACGAAGAACAGTTTGACTCGTTTCTAGAGAGATTCAAAAGTTATTTAGATATACAAAATGTTCCACAGGATAAGCGTTGAAAAGTATTGATTTCTAGTTTGTCCAGAAAAATGTATAGTCTCTTAAAAAAACTTGCTGGCTCCTGATAATCCTTTCGATAAAGATTATGATGTGCTAAAAACAACATTAAGAAATCATTTAAATCCTAAGCCACTTATAATTCCCAGCAGGCATGTATTTTTAAATCGAAAGCAGCATAAGGGGAAAACAATTAGTGTGTATATGGCAGAGTTAAGGTCACTTGCCATATTGTGTGCTTATGATCCGAGTATGTTAAATACGATGTTGTGGGATGTATTTGTTAGTGGGCTAAGAGATAGGGCTATTCTGGATAGAATTTTTGAGCAGGATAATATCAGTTTAGATTATACTTTAAATATAGCTTTGGCAATGGAAAAAGCGTTAAAAGGTGCAAATGAAATAATTGGGAAACCAATAGAAATCAAGGAATTTAGTGCCAGGAATAAAGCAAATTCTAAGTCAGTTGTTCCAAAACAAAAGTTTGAAAAACAAAACTTCGCAGCTATGAGAGCTAAAGGGAAAATGTGTTCGCGATGTATGGGGACTGACCATGATAGAAATTCTTGTAAATTTATGACAAGTATCTGCATATTTTGTACAAAAATCGGGCACATTGACAGAGCATGCTACAATGCTAAAAACGCTGAAAAAATGAAAGTGAAACAAAAACAATTAAATGTAGGAAATGAAAACAAAGTTCCTATAAACAGCATACATTGCAGTGAGGTGAAAAATAGGAAACCGCCAATAATGGTTCAAATGAATAAAGAAGGAAAATCGCTAGTAATGGAACTGGATACAAAGGCTGCAGTATTGGTAACGAGTTTAAAAAATTTCCGGCAAATCTCAAAAAAGAAAATTAAAAATACAAGTCTGGTATTTAGAACATATAACGGAGAAAAACTGATACCTTTAGGATTTACTACAGTTAAGGTAGAATATAAAGGTCAAAATAAAAACTTAAATCTTTACATTTGTTAAAGAAAACCTTGATACAATATTTGGTAGAGAATGGCTTTCAGAAACAAATTTAGACTGGTCCTCAATATAGCCAATTTCTATCTCTCAAAAGAGTAGTTTAAATAAATTATTGGAACAATATAAGGAGATTTTTGATGGAATATAAGGAGAGAGAAAAAAATATGAGGTTCAACTTGAATTGAAGCCAAATGTTTCACCAAAATTTTGTAGAGCTAGGCAAGTACCATTTGCGTTAAAGGGCTGGATAGATGAAGAAATTGATCGTTTAGAAAAAGAGGGTATAATCAAAAAGGTTGAAACTTCTGAATAGGCAACTCCAGCAGTACCAGTAATTAAGCCGGACGGCTCTATACGATTGTGTGCCGACTACTTGGTGACAGTAAAACTAAATATTGTTACGCATTAACACTCTTTGCCGACCATAGAGGAAATATTTTCATGTTTGAGTGGGGGAAAGCATTTTTCAAAAATTGATTTTAAACATGCTTATTTACAAATGAAAGACCCTGACTCGAAAATCGCTAACAATAAATACACAGAATGGATTATATAAGTGTAAGAGATTAATGTTCAGGCTAAATGCAGCACCGGCAATCTGACAACATTATGTAGACAGACTATTCCACCAAATAGAAGAGTGCAAGGTCTTTATGGATGATGACACACATTTAAATACTTTAAAAAATTTCTTCGAGAAATGTAAAACTCATGGACTAAAATTAAATTTATAGAAAAGTAAATTTTTTCAGGATAAGATAAAATTTTTAGGTCATAAAATTGATGCTAATGGTTTATATAAAACTGATGAAAAAATATCAGTGATTGCAAAAGCCCCAAGACCCAGAAATGTCCAGAAAATTCAAAGCTTTTTGGGATTGGTTAATTATGGAAAATTTTGCCCTAAATTAGCGACAATCGCAAATCTCTTATATCAATTAACTAAGAAAAACTCAAAATGGCTTTGAACGAAGGATTGCCAAGAGGCTTTTCTAAACATTAAAAAAGAATTGTGTTCACAAAAATTTTTGATGCATTATGATCCAAAATTGCCCTTAACATTGGCAACTGATGCATCACCAGTCGGGTTAGGTGCGGTACTTTCTCACAAACTTCCTGATGGAACCGAAAGGTGCATATGCTTCAAGGAGACTGACTGAAACAGAGAAAAAGTATTCTTAAACCGATAAAGATGCTTTGTCAATCATTTGATGAATAAAAAAATTTTTTCTCTACTTAAAAGGCAGAAAATTTACATTAATTACAGATCATAAACCTCTTGTTGCAATTTTTGGCTCAAAGAAAGCCATGCCAGTTTTGGCAGCAACAAGACTCCTACATTACGTTTTGGCTTTACAATCATTCCAATTCGATATTATTTACCGAAAAACAAACGAGCATGGTAATGCTGACTTTCTGTCACGATTGCTGACGAACTCAGAGCAATTGTCTCTTCAGTTCTATTTTTCAATTACAGCAGATTGAAACTCTTCCAATCACGGCCAGAGATTTGGCTAAAGAAACTGAAATAGATCCTGAACTCGGTCCTCTGCTACGAATACCTCAAAGCAGCAGTGAATTGAAAGGAAGGGAGATAGAATACAGTCTCCAAGATGGCTGTATAATGTATGGTCAACACGTTTGTATTCCAAAACGATACCGTAATAATGTTTTGAAAGGGTTGCACCATGGACACTTAGGGACTGTAAAGATGAAAACAGTTGCTAGATCTTACATATTTTGGAATGATATAGATAAAGATATCGAAAATACTTCCAAAAACTGTTCTGAATGTGCAAAATATAAAACAGATCCTCCTACGGTAAAAGTTCATCATTGGAGTACCCAAGCACTCCAATGGAATGTATTCACATCGATTATGCAGGATCTATTTTTGAGCATATGTTTTTGATAATCATCGATGCTCACTCAAAATAGCTATAAGCCAATCCATTGAAATCAAGCTCGACTTTCAAAACAATAGAATGTTTATGGGACTTTTTTGCACAATTCAGATTACCAATTGATAATGGGCCACAGTTCACTTCAGATGAGTTTAAGATATTTTTACAGAGTAATGGAATCAAACACAAAACTACAGCACCATTTAAACCATCTAGTAATGGGCAGGCTGAACGGTATATGTTTACAGTAAAACAATCTTTAAGAACAACGCAAAATTATCCAGGAATTTCGAGACAAAAACTCAGTACATTTTTGATGCAATATAGGAAAGCTCCGAATTTAACTACTCTACAGAGCCCTGCAATGCTAATGCTGAAGAGGGAAATTCGAACAAGAATAGATTTATTGAGACCAGATCTCAAAAGGAGGGTGGAAGACAAAGTTCGAAAAGGAACCTACGAGTTTGCAAACCGAGGATTTAGAGTAGTACATAGAGTGGCAGTAAGAAATTATCACCAAGGTGATAGACGATGGAGATTTGGAACAGTCTAATCCAAGGATGGACAGCTTCATTACACCATAAATGTAGATGGTCAGCTATGGCGACGACATGTCGATCAGATGCGTAATGGAGGAACCATAATAGATGAGAGGTTTATACGTCTACCTCCAGCTCTCGTGATTTCCAAAGAGCCTGATAAGAGTGGAGTTCCAGAACCATCCAAAGATAATACCCACCAGGCAGATGAGTCTGTGTCATCCTTCGAGTCCAAGGTTGTACGAGATGTTCCATGAACCGGACCTGCTGCTGATACAACCAGGTTACCAAAGAAACCAGCAGTGCCACAACCTTTGCGTCGGTCCAGTAGAATTCGACATCCCCCAGACAAACTGCAGTTATGATAAAGGGGGAGGGATATGGTATATCGAGAACTATCAATGTGTATATCATATATATCATAATTGGACTAAATGCTGGCATAGCGCCAAGCATCGAAGCATACGCAGTAATTAGAAAAGGATTGGAATGTGAGTAGCTGTAATTATGAATAGCTGTAGATATAAGTGTGTATCAGATTATGATATATTTTGTATATATAATAAAAGTAGCATGTAGAGTAAAAGAGTGTATCTTGTGAAATAATTACCCACTAAAGGATACACGACAAAATTGATTTACATAAGTAAGTTGTTTCGAATATTGAAATAATTCGACAAGCAGCCTTTTTTAATTCAGGATACTTCGATTCTGGTACAAATTTCCAAAATTCAGTAATCGCCATTGATTTATATTCTAATTGTAGAGCTTGATCTTCTTGCATCACTATTAATTCTAATTCTCCAGATGCTTTTTGGGTCATAATTATATTGTAAATGGAAAACTCACCTTGAATTATGTTAATTTCAAATGGATTCAGAAAATAATAGACGATGGAAGGAAAAGAAATTTGTTACAACGTTGCACTTAGTCTTTCATATTTGTTGACTGTAATTTAAAAGACATTTTGAAACACATCCGGAACGATAATAACTTTTTAAAATATAATAACACAAAAATGAAAAGGTACATTTATCGAGAGCCACAAATAATCCTTCAAAGAGCCGCAGTTGGCCACCCCTAAAATATGCAAAAAAGCTAAAGTTGCAGAAATAATTTATAAAAGTTACTGAAATTACAAACACTGTTATAATAATAATAACAACAACACATATTGAGCATCCCAACAAAATGATAAGAGTAGGATATATGCTTTAATAACTCACCTTCATCCAAGTGGTGCAGTTTTCTGGTGCAAATTCTAAAAATTTCTGGTACAAAATACGACATCTATCAAACTCTCTTAACTGGATTTCCAAATCAATATAACCTCGGAACAGCTTGTCTTTCGGACGCATTCCAATAGCAGTGCCCTGAAAATATATGAAATGCTTAAATGAATATATGTCTAAAAAATATTTTGCTTTATTATACTTATCTAGATAGACAGACATACTCAGAAATTAAATATTAACAGCATAAATTATCAAAAATTTGTACATTATAATATTTTATCTATATCAATGTTAGTATCCATATCATAACACATAATTTTAGCAATAAGAATTTGATTAAAACCACTGTTAAGAGATTGCAATGTTTATTTCCTTATCAAAAACTTTGAATTAAACAGGAAAAAGTGCAAACATTTTTTCATCAGATAAGAAATGTCTATTATATCCTACATAAAATTAATGCATTATGACATTATATTCTACATAAAAATATTAAAGAAAAGATAAAATAAATATGAGGTAATTTCATGTTATATTTGTCTCAAAATGCTCCTTTACTTTTATCTTTATTTTCACTCATCATATGAGTAAAACAAAGTAGGGAATTATAATGGAGAAACTCAGAGATGTACATATTTAAAAACAGAGAACAGAAGTTTCATCATAATGATGTTCATAGCATTCTGTATACAGAAATTATTAGAACTCAGCAGTATGCTTACCGAAAAATTCAAAACTCATTTAATATTTTTAATTACAGCAAAATTTCAAAGACTGCCATTACCTTTTACAAACATCAATGCACAGCTCATTAAATTCTTTAAATTAATTGATGTTTTGGGCAGAATCTTATATATCTGAAAGTATGCGACCATATTCAGTACCTCCTCCATTTAAGCACCAGAAATGTTAAAGAAGCATATAAATAATGACAGTGGCATTTAAATAGAGAGCATAGAAAATTCTTAATAAGTAGATAAACTTTTATATCACAAATAAATTTTATATTAAAAATACACTAGATACATACAATCAAATGTCATTACAAGGTTAGCCTAACGAATCAATAAAAATGATCCTGTAACCAAGACTGAATTACGTAAAGATATACAGAGAAGAAAAAGATACAATTTATAATAAATAGTGATATTTGATTTATATTTTGAACAGTTAATGTATAATTTAATATAATTAGTGTAATTAAAATTTAGTGAAATGTATATTTCATTAATATTTATTCACATAATTTTTATTTATACACAGTATCAAACAAAAATTTGATTTAAATAAAAATTTGAACAGCTCTCTAAACTTTTAAGTTTTGAAATTTTCATTAGAAGCAACACATTATCATTTAAAGTCTTGTAATAATGTACAAAATGCTGAATGGGGCAGCTACCCTATTCAGCAACACAATTTCAATATGGTACTCGAAATACGCTGGAATTTTGAAATAATCAATGCTCAGTGCTTTCTTGAAATTAATCCTTAAATCATCTCAATAATTTTGGTCATAGATAACTCATGACTAACAGACTATGGAAAATTTTCGCAATTAATACCATGTTGTATATAATCTGTGATCTGTGTAATACATGACTCCAGTTATTTACCATTTGAATGATTCAACCGTGGTTGTTGAATTTTGAACTGTTGCTGAAAGTTTTCTAATGAAATTATACTCAGAAAATGAATATCAAGATTCAATAATTTTTATATACTTTATTTGTATTTTCTTAATAAATATACCTGTGTTTTTTAAGAACATGATTTCTCCCCCCTCATCAAATACAGATTATGCTCTGGAGCAACACATTATCATTTAAAGTCTTGTAATAATGTACAAAATGCTGAATGGGGCAGCTACCCCATTCAGCAACACAATTTCAATATGGTACTCGAAATACGCTGGAATTTTGAAATATGGTACTCGAAAGTTTTGCTACATTAGAATTCAAGATTTAAGAACTTACAGGATTCTGTCCATCGCTATTCGTATCCCTAAACAGTTATCAATTTTAAGAATAATCATCAATCTTAAATAAAAAAAAAATAATGAAATTTGCAAAATTTATTTTAATTCTGTTTAATAAAATATGTGCACAAATACACTCACTTCCAAAAGTTAAGCCTGAAGATGTAAAATGCAAAAAAAGTCAACAAATACTGTTTTGATTCACACAAAATTCGGCAGGAAAGTAGCATATATATTTATGCATAAAACAAAATCAATAATTATATACAGAAATGGAAACAATATTAAATTTTTGTACGTTATCAGATAACGACATACTGGAGACTTAAACAGAATTATGTATAAAATGAAAAATAAACAGCATAAAATGAAAAAAAAAAAAAAAAAAAAAAGGGCATTAATATGTGATCCTCCTCATCTGTATACAAAATTTATACCTTGTGGCCATGCTTTCAATTAGATGGTCAACCACCGCAGAATTAAGGAATTGCCATTCTTTTTGTAAAGCAGTTTCCAGCTCAATAAGAGTGGCTGGAGGTGGGAAACATGAAGAAACAGCATGGCCGAGAGCATCCCATAGATTTTCAATGGGATTAAAGGTCGGGAGAATATGCTGTCCACGCCATACGCACAATCCTCTTCACTTCTCCAGGTAGTCATCGACGATGTCAGCTCTAATGGGGACGTGCATTATCATCCATTAAAACAAAAGTAGGGCCAACTGCTGCAGCGTACAGTCTCACAATGGGTTCTAGGACTTCATTCTTGATACCGGACAGCCGTCAGAGAACCCCGTTCTAAAGATGTGCATGTCGGTGCGGTATCCTAATGAAGTCCCTGCCCACATCAATAATGCGTTCCGCCTCGGAATGCGTGATGTTCGGTAATGTTTTGGGTCTGATTGCGTGTTCGTTGTTCACGCCATACCCTTATATGCTTGCCATCTGGCTCCAGAGCAAATCTTGACTCATCTTGACATGACACTGTCCCAGTCAGACAACATTCCAATTGACATGTTCCCGGTACCACTGTAATCGTGCCTCTCTTGATTGGACACATAGAGGAACACAAACTCGAGGTACCCGGGCTTACAGTCCACTCATATGTAATCATTGGCATACAGTAGTTGCAGATATCACCTTACCAATGGACGCTGTAACCATAGATGTCACACGTGTGGAGGTCGCTCTGCGATTCTGCTTAGCTACAACAGCAATATATCGATCTTCCGCGGTGTTGTAACCCTTTGGCGATTGGCTACGGGCCTTTTGGGCAACTGTTTGTGTCATTTGGAATTGTTTCCATAAACGTGAAATTACAGAATGATGAACACCAAAGAAAAGAGCAACACCTGTGATTGACTGTCCTGCTTCTAAGCGCCCAACAGCACGCCAGAGCTCAGAATCTTCCATTCGTCTCCTGGAAATCATAGAAACACATATGCCTTGAAAACAAATTGTACGAAAGTTTTAAACACCTTCTATCAGCACTTACAATCAACTTCTGTAACCCTTCATAAAGCTGGCTTCTTAAAAGACTGTCTTTTTTGCATATTTCTTGACATGAAAGCGCGATTGGCTGTTACCTAACATATTTGCATACTTCCATCTACCTCTGCAGCGAATTGCACCCTCTTCAATTCTAATTGGCTTCCGGAAATTAGCATTTTCCCCTCCGTGCTTAACTTTTGGAAGTGAGTGTATAAAATATTACACTTTACTTACTAATGGAGAATATACACTATAATACATTTTTTATAAATAAAGTGAACATCAAGTGCACTAATAAAGAAGTTTAATTTCCAATCAGATCAGAAGAGTCAGTTTAGAAGTATGCTATTTTAATCCCAGCACTGAATATTTTAAATTAAATGTATTTATAATTACCAAAAGCTTCCTTGCTGCAGTTAAGTTTTTTTCACGAATTTCATACTGAGCTGCCAGGAGCCATATCTTTGCGAAGGTGAATACTTTATGAGGTATTAATTTCAGACATGCTTGGTATACCTCTCTTGTTCGATCTTCTTCCACTCCTTTAACTTGTAACTCTTC